ATTGGTGTCGTAAAATGATTGAAAGATTTAACGGAGGTGACTCAAATGCTGTGTTCGACATACTAACAGGTGACGAAAGCTGGATTTACTGTTATGATCCTAAAACCAAAAGACAATCTGCTCAGTGGGTGTTTCCTTTCGAGGAGTTGCCAACTAAAGTGAAGAGAGATCGAAGTGCGGGAAAAAAAATGGTGGCCTCGTTCTTTGGAAGGATAGGTCATTTTGCAACAATTGTGTTAGAGGATCAAAAAACAGTTTCTGCAGAATGGTACACTACCAATTGTTTGCCACTTGTCTTGGAAAAAGTTCGAGAGAAACGACCTCGCAGTAGGATCCTCCTTCACCACGACAACGCCTCGTCGCACACCGCCAAGCGAACGATCGACTATTTGGCGACATCAAACGTTGAATTACTGGGTCACCCGCCGTATAGCCCCGACCTCGCGCCTTGTGATTTTTATTTATTTCCAAAAATTAAAGAAAAACTTAAAGGAAAGCGGTTTATGAATGCTGAAGAAGCGGTGGCTGCGTATCGCGATGCCATTGAAGAGACCCCTAAGGACGAGTGGGCAAAGTGCTTTTCCCAGTGGTTCCATCGCATGCAGCGGTGTATTGACGTGAATGGACAATATTTTGAAAAGATATAATAAAACTAATAACTGGCTAATGTAATCAGTTTTTGATTTTCTAAGAACTTTCAGTTTGACCCTCGTATTACTACAGGCACATTGATTTTCACCTTATTATCATATCTATGGAGCATATTCATATATAATAATCACTATAATCTATATTTAAATTGAATGCCATTGTATGTAAAATAATATATTTATTATCACTCAGCAACTCATATCTTCACATTTTTTTCTGTTAATGTTATACCTTTTATCATTCAATTATTTGAATATCAATTAAATAGTTTAATTTTCTGAAACTTTTTTCTCCTAAAGTACAGTTAGTTCTAGTAGAGGCAGTCTAATTACATTACATGTCGAGTAGAAATAAATTAATGTCCGTAAAAATAGTTAACTGACCGACCCAAATAATTTATTTGGTGATGTAGACGTTAAAATTACTGTACTTTGTCTAAAAATATATCTCCAGAAATTGATACTAAAGAAAATTTCTTAAAATTATTAATGGAAAGAACACAAGTTTTTTTCATATAATGTTTTGATGCTCTATTACTTAGCTTCAATAATGTAAATTTGAGTTAAATCGGAAATAATCTATATTTACCACAAAAATAAGGTTAGACTAGAATACTAAATTTATTAAAGGTTTTATATGTTTTTGTAATTCGTCAAATGACCGTGTCATCCATGACCTAACACTGGCAGCACAGGTCGTGGAAGATGGAAGTGCGTGGGTCAGCCAGTGCGGTAATTAGCTCGCCCAAACAATCCGCACAGGATCGCGACCTCACTGTCTGCGCGCACGCACACTCATTCCCGACTTAATTGATCTGCGCTTTGTTCATTTCTACGCTCTGGGATCTCTACGTAACCATATTCGTTTTAATGTCTCATCATGTACCTAAATAACATAGTTAATGGAAGTTAAATTTTGCATTGACAGATTTATGAATGGTAACAATTTGGGGGTGAAATGGTTTGAATTATACTGTTTCAAATTTCCATTGCAGCAACTTTAGAGTATTAGTTATTGACGGGATTTCTACCACCTACTAGGTAGGAGTTTTTATACTTTATAGGTTTTTAATGGGCCTCAATATTTCGACACATTTGCAAAACATATGATTACGTAGTAAATGACTCAATAAAAATAAAATGCGTCGATGAATTACTTTGCCAATTAATAAATTCATGAATTAACATATAACATGCTAAATATTCTTAATGAAAAAAAAAACCTTAAAAATCAATTTTGTTCCTGGTACTTTAGCATTTTTCATGAAGGATTTTTTCCAGTTTAGCATTGTGAATGCAAATCAAATATAATAGTTATACAATTATGCTATCTTGGGACTTAATGTGTAATGATGATTCATGACCCACGCCAGCCCAGTACAGATTAGTGGGTGTTAAATACTGCAGATATAGGCGGGACCTAAAACATTGAACACACATGTGTTCCAAAGAAGGAAGGAGCTAGAAATACAAATTTCGGTCACCCATCCTACAATAGGCCCATGTCAAGGTTGCTTTACTTCCGCATCGCAGATCGAAGGCGCTTACCACTGCGCCATCGAGCTCCTCTTAGCCATATTCAGGTAATTTATAATTAAAGAATATCAAAACACTGTCAAGTGAATAAAAGTTAATGTATATTCGATCTATCGTACCTACTCAAGTGTTTACAGGAACGTTTTATTCGCCCTTATCGAACGTAATTAATTAATTTTAGATCACTAAAGAATATTTATCTAATTTGTAATAGAATTAGTTGACACTATAGTTGATAACTTCATAAATGAGGCGAGGGACACCCACTGAGATGTTAATTGAATTTATCTATAATTCTAATTTCGACATGCAACAGTTAATAGAGGCACGCAATACACATTAGGACGATGTATAATATAATATAGCGTATAAATAATTTATTTGTTGGTTTATTATAATTTATATATAAAACAAACATTTTAATTCATGAGTTTGAAGCTTTTTTTACTTTTAGCACATATAACAAATTCTTATTTCAGTCGATGATTATTTTTTGTTAGTTATATTATATAAATCTTCTTAGTTTGATACCAAAATTATAAAAGTGCCTAAAGTATTAAACTATGTGTGCTAAAACATAATTAGGGCACCATTTAAGACCATCCGCCATATTGGATATAAATTGATGTTATCAGGTGAAGTGCTTTATAATCTTTACAAGATTTCACATACTATTATGTATCTTCGTTTATTCAAAAGTATGAAATTATAAAGCTTTTAAATTTCTTAATAATGAAAATTGCATGCTTGCAATGTCAGAGTGTATCATTAGCGGCGTATAAAACAGAATAAACGAAATAGTACAAGCTCTTGAGATCTGCAGACTTCGTTTGTTTATTCTTACGCTGTTTATATGTGCGTCGACTGACGGCACGTGATTACCGTATACATGAAAGTTCCTTAGCTTTAAAAGTTCCAACATAAACGAAGATAAAAATTGCCTACTTTTATTTACTACTAGCTGTGCCTGCGACTTCGTCCGCGTGGAATAGTGACTTTCGGCAGCATCTTTAATTTTTAGGGTTCCGGACCCAAAGGTTTAAACGACATTCCTATTACTAAGATTTCGCTGTTCGTGTCTGTGAAAATAGACAGTTGAATTTTTCACAAATGATGTATTTCTGTTGCCACTTCAACAACAATAGAATAAAACAAATATTTTAGGGGTCTCCCATACAACAGACATGATTTTTGCTGTTACCAGTCTGTCTCTTATGAACCTTGATAGTTAGCCAGTTAAGATTTTCACAGGTGATATAGTTCTGTAGCCGCTATAACAACAAATACTAAAAATAGAGTAGAATAAATATTGAAGGTGGCTTCCATACAACAAACGTGATTTTTTTTTGTTCGTTTTCGGTACAGAATTCTTCGTGCATGAGTTGACTTGCAATTGGTCGGTTTGTAGCCTAATTATTTTGCAAATCAAATACATGTATTCATTATATAAAGCTATTTGCAGTATTTCACGTTATTTGAGAGCAAAAAAATTAATGAATGTTCGTCTACTTTAGCACACCCAAAATAATCAAAACCTCTCTAGTTTTTACAATTTTTGAATGGGTAGGTATGTCGTTATTAAATATTGACATCATATGAGTTTGTCTTATAATAGTCGGTTGTAATAAATGGCAAGTGTAATATAAATTTACAAAATCTAATATGTAACACTTAAGCATTACATTCTTCATTCATTAAACAGATAAGTCAACAAAGAAAGTGGCGCTTAAAAATCAAAAAGGTCATAGGGCTTGATGAGTTTAAAGTGGCATGTCCGGTATCAAAATATTATGTAAAGTGAGTACCATACAGTTAGTATAATTGTATTAGCGCCCGCACCATTACCCACTAATTGGTGTAAAAATTAATACTAGTAACACATTGCTTCGCGCCTGTCTTGTCAACACTGTCCTCATTATTTACATAAATTATATAGCCCCAATTTTTCTATGGTTTTGAATACCTCAATAAATACAAATATTTTCTGCTGCGGAAATGTTGTAAATTACACAATCAAAGCTAAAGGCTATTTATTTTGAACTATAGTTATTTTGAACTAAAAAAGAATATTTAATTGAAAATTAGACATTGGATTTTTATAGAACTCCTAACACTATATAAATATAACAATAAAATAATTCATAAAATTAGTATTTTGTAGACTTATTGTAGAGCCACCATGAAATACCTTTATAAGGTTTTTCATACTTACATCAATGTAACCGTCATAAATACCACAGATACTCGATTATTATTTATAAAGGGGAAATACCTATTTGTTTGCTGGTTTGCATAAAATAGGCTCCGAAACTACCGGGCAGATTTTAAAAATTCTTTCATCTACTGGAAATTACATCATAGCGGGTTACAGGCTATAGTTTACGCGGGCGAAGTCGCGGAAAAACACCTGATTTCTTATATGTTTATTATGATGTATATTGTAATTCTCGTAACTATTTTACTTACAAAGTACCCCTCGTATGAAATCAACTCTTTCCTTTTTACGCTCTATTATCTTACCTATTGGTTGTATAATGATTATAATGGAACTTGTTTTTTTTTCCAATAGTGTACAATTGGATGCAGCCTTTGGAAAGAAGGATTGGAAAATTCTTGTCAAGCTGTGTGCGTAAGTAACGTTCAAATATTAACAACTTTCTGAAGCTTAATTCAAAATCGTGAAAAAAGTTCATATTATACCTAAGAAATTTCCCGATGAAAATTCCTATAGTCAAATAAAATTCGTTAAAGTCGTACTAAAACTTTCAGAATGTCACATCAGAATCAACTTTCTCCCGGGAACTATATTGCGTTATGGGATGTAACGAGGCTCTCAACACATATTTTCAAAAATTAATAGGTTAGTGAGTGTAGTAAGTAAGTACTTTATTATGCAAAAAAAAGGTAGCCAAAGTCGATTGTTTTTTGTCACAACATATACTATTATGTACGTATTTTAATAATCATCTTGTACGTCGAATGACTAAATAAAACTACGCTAATTTAAACTTGTAAAGTTTTTATGGACAAAGTTTAAATTTTTTTCTTCATTGGTGATTTAGAGTTGATCGGAATACCACCTGCACCAGCGTTAGTAGCAGACAGTCTGACTGCCACTTCGCTCTCCTTGGTATGGGAGGCGCCTACACTTGGAAATCTCAGCTACTTGGTGCAATGGCGATATGTGGAACTACCGGGTACTTGGCAGTACTACTCCAACACAAGTCACTCTGATCGATCTATAATACACGTTGAGAATCTTCGCCCCTATACCAAATATAGAGTAAGTGCTTTTCCAAATGTTTTCCAAAACTTAAGAATAGTTAATACAATCTTGAAATATTTAGTAAGTTGTTTACACGTCACATACGTGTGTCGAGTTAACTACACACACAGAGACACACACAAGTTATCTTCAGCTCCGTAAAATTTCCATTAGAAACATATATATCTGCTATTCTATTGTTTATAAATATAATTTGTATTGAATTAGTTGAAGGTGCAAGTAATTTGAAGAAAACAATTCAAATAATAGACTTTCCCTTTTTATATTTTTCACCATTATAGTATGTGCTTATGTTATTTTAGTTTCGTGTAGCCATATTCCTATCTGGACGCGTTGGAACAGGAGAGCCGGTTTACTCCGCACCGTCTGTAGTGATATCTACGCTAGAAAACGGCAAACCAAGTTCAGCGCCGTCTGCCTTACGGGCAGCTGCCCCTGACCCCAGTAGAGTGGCTATTTCATGGGAGCCGGGTCCATTTCCGAACGGACCTCTCATATCCTATGTACTGCGACTCACTGACACACAGCCTAATACAATTCAGGCCTTAGAGGTAAGTGATGTAAGGATTATTGCTATTTATGTACAATTTTCGCTACATGTGAATTTGTAGGGAGAGTTTTTACCCGATTAGCAGTAGTTTCACAATTAATGGACTATTTATTTATAATATAAAGAAAGAAAGTTGGCAAGTAACCTATTGTTCCAGGACATGCCGGCATCCAACAACACATTGTTTTACATGTTTCAAAATTTAGCACCAGCAAGAGAATACGAAGTATCAGTAGCAATGCGCAACGCAGTAGGAGAAGGACCTAAAGCCATAGTTAGAATATCTACTCCGCCTTTACCGACACGTAAGTAGAATACGAATTTTTGACATAATTTAATTCTACAGAATCTTTGCTAATACAACTTTTTTATAAATTTTTAGCTACTCCTAGTCAACAACCAATTCTAATTTTGGGAAGTGAACAGAATATTTTAGCAGCACTAACTAGCGATATACTTTCCGATCCTGTTGAACTATTCAGTACTGAATTTACTATAACTGGTAAGGTTGTGATGATATAATTCTTTAGACACGTGAATTTTCTCTAAGGATTATCTAACATTAATTAATTGAACTGTAATTTTAATTCACTATTGTTGTATTAATCCCACATTAATGACCGATGTGAATCCTTATATCTAATAAATCATATTTATTAACTTTCGATCACTCTTTTTCTAGAATCAGCCACTTGTATAGGAAAGAAGTAATAATAAAAATATTGTATTATATTATTACTCTATAATCATAACTTAAATTGCAGGTGTTGGCTTGGACGTATCAAGTGATTCTTTGTTCGTGTCAGTTTCAAACGGTTTTGTATATAGAAGTTCTCTTTCAAAAAAAAGTGAACCAGAAGCAGTCTTTGTCCCTGGGATAATTCCTTGTCAACCTCTAGACTTATCGGTGGATTGGTTGAATCGCCACTTATATGTGCTTGCCGAGATTACTTATATGGTAGAAAGCTCAAATCCAGCTACAGATATCTTGTCGAAATGGGAAATAATACGATGTGATTTTGATGGAAAAAATATGATTGTAGCTTATTCAGGTTTCAATGTGCGTCCGATACATTTTGAAGTTGATGCTTATAATGGGTAAATAAAAAATATAATTCAATTATTTTTTTACAATTAAACATTTATAATATATTTATGTAAATACGTTAAATGATGGTGTTAATATTTTTAAGGTATTTATTCTGGGCTCTACGAGGTAGCGACCGTGGTGGATTATATAGACTTGACTTGGCAAATATTTCAAACGGTGTGCGTCACGAGTCACCTCCTGAACACATTGTAAGAGATCCTTACCTGGGCGCATTCACGGTAGACCACGCAGATTTCAGATTGCTAGTCGCACATCTCAAAAGAAATACTGTTCTAGCAGTATCTTTAGATGGGTAGGTATTAAAATAAATAATCAATATGAAGTAATTTTCATTTATCTAACTTTATATGTTCCCTTTTCTAGGCGCGAAGTCACAGATTTTCGTAGTAATATACAATCTCCAATGTTCAAATCAACTCGTTCGATTGCATATGCTGGCGGTCTTTTTTATTGGACGAACGGACGTGAAATGCTAACTGAAGAATATCATCCACAAATCAATACCTACTTTCACAATGAGTATCCTTTGGCTTACAATACTAAACAAGTAGCCACAAAACAAGTCCTGGTTGCATTGAGGAGTTGTCAACCTATTCCAGTTCCTGTAAATCCACCAATTGCTGTACAAAGTGTAATGGGAATAAATCGAGCTAAGGTAACATGGTCGCCGCCTCATCTCTTAGGACACCAAGGAAGCGGTGCATGGCAACAATGGACATTCCATTTACAATTAACACATGCAACTTCTAAAGAAACGATAAACATGTTAGTAGAAAATATTAATTCTTATGAACTATATGTAAACTTTTAATTGGAAGCTAGCCTAATTAGTATTATTTATTATTTTCAGAAAAAATATTACTGAATCTACATATATCGTTGAAAACCTTCAACAAGACACTGAATACATCATTAAAGTGGCAGCAGTGACATCATCTGGTTCTGGTAAAAATTTGACATTTTATTTAAAGTCAACATGTGGAAGTGCAGATGAGAATACGGTTCGACTATTAAAACTCTCATTTGATACAGGTCCTTGGTCATCGGAATTCATAGGCAGAACTTTAGCATCATCACCTACAACTTTACACAGTACATTGTTGTGGTCAGGACCCGATGGACTACTGCAAACGGATCTCACTGGCGATAATTTACAAACATTGATACACAGGTACTAAGCATAGAATCAATGCCATATTCCAATAATAATATTATTGGAAGTAAGTTATCTTAAATTTAATTATTGCAGGGCGCACCTAAAAAACTTTGACATAACAGATATAGCCTGGTATCGTGATAAACTTTATTTAGTCACAAATCAATCAACAGTTATGTGGTATAATACAACATCAAATATGATTGGAATGATGCCGAATATGGATAATGTTGGAAGTTTAGCTGTAGACTGGGTTGGGAAAAAAATATACTGGTCCAACCCTAAGCAACAATTGGTAAGAAAATGTTAACTAGGTGATGAATTTTCTGTTTTGTGGCCTTTGATATATTTTCAACTGACAATAATTATTTATTATAGATAACCCGAGGAAATTTCGATGGTAGTAATCGGGAACCAGTGCCTATTGTGACGGTTGCAAAAGAACTCACTATTGACTCGCTTGGTGCCTACATCTACTGGAATACTGGGCATGCTGTAGAAGCTGCTAAACTGAATGGCGAAAACAAAATGGTGTATTATCCAGCTCAGCTATTTAGTGGAAAACAAGGTATAATCCCGATAAATATTATTATTTTATGTGTTCAAGTAGGGCCTGGTGTATTTATTCGATCATTTGTTATAATTATCTAAGATATTGTAAATATTTCAGTGATGGGCCTTACAGCTGATTTGGAAAAAAAATGGATTTATTGGTTAGTGAGAAGTTATGATGGATCTGAATTACATAGGGCACCAAGTGCTGATCAAATATCACACGGAGTAAATGAAGTGAGTAAATTTAGATAAATAGATATAAAACTAACCTGTTCTTTTCGGATTCAAACATGATTGAAAAGTAATATTTACTTTAAACAGATATCTGGCTCCCTGGTAACACGTTTGGCTGGTACTGCGACTCTGGGACCATTATGTTATTTTAGTGGTCGATTAGTTTGGGTCCAAGATGCATCACGGGCAGTGGTGTCCGATTTAGCTGGAAAATATACAGCCGAATTAATACCAAGAGTTCATGTCATCACCGTGAGAGACCCTACATTACATGCCAACAGTGGTATGTATTTCTTTAATATTCCGGTAGCGGGGTGAGGTAGTTTTAGATACATCTAAACAGTAAAAAAAATGGAAACTCGATTTATTTGAATCTTATATTTTTTCAATTGCAATATACTTTTAATTGCAATATAATTAATTAATTATTGAGTAGCTCGGTGGCGTAGTGGATAAGCGTCGCGGCCCGCGATCGGTGTCGTTAAGCAACTTTCACAAGGGTCGGTCACGGGATGGGTGACCAAAAAAATATTATTTCGAGCTACGCCGTGCTTCGGAAAGCACGTTAAGCCATTGGTCCCGGCTGCATTTGCAGTCGTTAATGGGTATTAACGACTGCAAATGCAGACCGGACCTTCCACGCTGGCCCAATTGGATTGGAACCGTCTGAACCCCTGCAGTGGGGACATAAAAGGGCTGATGATGATGATATATATAATTCTTAAGAGTCATTATAACAGACGATAATAAAACAGCTGCCAACGATCTTAAAAAAAAAATAACTCAACCATTCTCTTATACCGTTGCGTGCGGCATATTTGCCATCCATTATAATTCACCTACCTATTATTTACAACACAAACCTAAAATCTCACATTTATATATAGTTTTAGATATTTAAATTGACTCAGAATATCTTCTTTCATCTCTTAACATTATTTTCAAATATAATCCAAGGCACAGGCATCCAACTTTTGTCACACCGACATATGGAAATAATATAATCTTATCATAATCCCATCGCTTGTATGTGTAAAAATTATAATGAGATTCTCCCAGTTAATCAGGCATTAGACATATTTAATGCCAATCTTCTTAAATTCAAAAATGTATTAAAGAAGTTGTGGTAGACCTAAATGTCGCATCTTTTTAATCATCCAGATTGATTTATACTAATTCTTTATGTTTTTTCGTATTAGTAAAAAAAAAAATAGTTTTTTTTCTTTACCATATCTCATTGTGTAAACACCTTTAGGATATTAATTTAGTACTACACAGTTGTTACTTATTATTCATATATATTTTGATTAATGTATGTTGTGTTGCCTAATAAATAAATAAAATAAATATTGACTCTGTAAATTATTGTCTGTCTTTTGTTTTTGTTATTGTAAAGTTATGGTGTGAATGTCAATAAAAATATTCTTATTATTATTTATGAGATATCAACGACGACTGATTGCAATAATGGTTGCTTGTAACAATACTAACCGACAATTATTATCTAATAATAGATCCTACGTTTTGCAGAATCGCTGGTAGCTATCCCGGAGACGATAGATGCCACATCTATTGCTGTTGCAGGCGAGTGGGATCGTTTTAATGTAACGTGGGCGCCCTCTAGACGCGTCAACATCAACAATAGTCGTGTTTACTATGATGTTAGCCTTAATATTCCAGGGCAGACGAAAGTTGAGGTAACATTCTTGAATAAAAACGCAACCAAAATCTTTTAACCTACTAGTGTAGAATATAAACAGCTAAATATTTTTAAAATACAGAGTAATGTATAGTATCAAAGTAAATCCAGAGACAGCTCTGCGTTAGAAGTTTCTCGAATACATTAACTGGGCTTCAGATGGATATCTTTTTTCACTTTTTTGTCGCTTTAAGTCGGTTTTATTTGTTTTGTTCTATCTTTATTTCTGCGCAGGGTTTAATTTCATACCGGGTACTATAAACAGCGCTCCTTTTACTTAATGTTAATAAATGTACTTAAATTTTTAATGGGTAATATGAAATAAAAAATAGGTACTCGTTAAGTTAGTAGATTAATTATTAATACATATGCAATGCAAAAAATCCATATCTAATTATTATATTTGATCAATTTTGCATTCACAATACTATACTGAAAAATATTCTTAACTAGTGACCGCCAACGACTTCGTCCGCGTTTTCCATTATTCCTTCGCTCCTAATAGTTGCAGCGTGATGTTATATAGCCTAAAGCCTTTCTCGATAAATGTTCTATTCAACACAAAAATAATTTTGCAATTCGAACCAGTAGTTCCTGAGATTAGCGCGTTCAAACAAACAAACAAACTCTTCAGCTTAATAATATTAGTATAGATGTAAAATGCTTAAAAAATATACTTTGTTCCTAGCACTCTGAGATAAGAATCAACATCCAGGCGACGGCTCTAAATACTGAACTACGAAGGACCTAACTAACTGACAAATTTTAAGCATTTGTTACTTTCCGCAACTACAGAGCTTATTTTCATCAAAGTTCAGGCAATCAACACAAACAGCCGAAAGAAGATTTTTAAGATTTAAACTTACGATAAAGATAAAAATTCGTTCTAATTATTATATTTGATCAAATATTGCATTCACAGTGAAAATTGCCGAGTGCCAGGAACAAAATGGATTTTTTAAGCATTTTCATTAAGAATATAAATCCATATCTTTTCCATTCAGCGCACGGTAGAGGAGCCGTGGCTAACTGTGGAAGGAGGGATATCTCCGTACAGTACGCTACATGTGTCAGTGAGAGCTCACACCGCTTGGGGCGGTGGCGCACCAGCTAGGACCACCGCACGCTCACCCCAAGCAGCACCAGCTCCCCCACGGAAGCCTAGAGTCTATGTTCAGCCTTACAGCAGGTAATATATTGTCAGTCTGCTGTCAAGTGTAACTGATGAGTTTTTCTTCAGTGTGTGAAGTATGATCAAATTATTAGGAATAAGGTAAACTTATCTTTAGCATTATTTATGATCAAAGGTCCAAAAGAGGCACTATTTTTTTCTGTTATATGGGGCAACTAGGAATTAACGATTTTTTAATTATCGGGTAAGATTTAATGACGACATTTTGAAATTTGTGATTTATGTTCGTAATAGGAGGAAGCTAAGTATTTATGAGTCAAAATACAGCTCATGTCCTGTTACATAAAAGGACTTTAAATAAAAAGGGTTGACTTTTTCTAAATAAAACCTTGTTAAATATATATCTTACTCGAAAATTATGAATAAGGAGAGTATACTAAACATACATTACCAAAAATCTACTACCTTTACCTTTACCTTACCTTTTTAAAATTGATTTGGCAAATGATCTAAAAAATGCCCACAAAGTGATCTTAAAAATGCTCCGAAATAATATCAAAGTAAAAAAAAATGCAATTTATTAAATCCTCTAGAATATATTTCTAAAAGTTTATAATTGATACATAAATCGTTATGTAATGTAGCGGTGGCTCTCTATCGGCAATATTCCGATGGGATGCTCCCTTACGAGCCAACGGCGTCATTCGAGGCTATGAAGCACAGTGCTGGATGCAATCGGCAACAGCTGGCTTGGTAGAACCCACCGCGAAGCCCTCTGCATGTGCAGATGCACGTCTCTCTCCCAGCCACACGCAGCTCACGTTGAGAGATTTGGCACCAGCGTCTATTTACCACTTTAGGGTAAGCATATTGCAAATTAAACTTCAGCAAGGATTGATTTTTAAGACTAAATCAATTTGTTTTTCTGTTATTGGAATAAATTGAAAATTTTACACACAGGTTCGGGCTTACACTGATGCCGGTTTTGGTCAATATTCCAAAGAAGTATTGGCTTCGTCCGATGAAATAAACCCTGTGCCGAAAGTGATAGTGTCATCACAGGAATCTATTAGAGTCGTTGATTTAGATTCCGAAGAGAGTGAAACGATACCAAAAAGTATGAGCATTCCTATTGATTTTACAGTTTCAATCGAAGAAAATATCGTTTACTGGGTTAATGATTTGGAGGAAATCTTCTCATCTAGAATTAATGGAAGTGGACATTACAAAGTAAGTATGTTTAGAAATATAATAGAAATAATACTTTCTATTTTTCGATTTACATTTATTAATTCTCTATTTTCACTTCATATTCATGTTACAATTTAATATTTGTGTATTTCGTTTTTGTTTATTGTGAATATCAACTATCTATGTATATGTTTGTTTACCCGTATACATCTCTTTCGTTTTTTATAACTTTAAGAAACTATATTAATTTGAGCAGTTATAATGTAAGTACTTTATTTTAGCTTACATCTATCAATGGTTCTGCAACAAGTATAACTTTAGACTGGGTTAGCAGATCTGTCTACTGGACACAGCTAGAAATGACCTCTACAGAATCATATTATGTTACATACAGAGCGGATTTAGGAATGGTAAATACAAGACCACACATTACTCGTGTGTTTGCGAGAAAGCAGCCTATTTACAGTTTACAAATTGAACCTTTGACCAGGTAAGTTAAATTCGTATAAAATTCGTCATTTCTATTATATTTGATCAATTACAACAAATTTTATTTTTTATCGAAAGTTTAAAATATTTGTAAAAATATTTCTTTCGGCTGTTTGGTGGATTGCCTGAACATTGATGAAAGTAGTGAAAAAGGAACAAGTGCTTGAAGGATTTGCCAGTCCTATTAGATCCTGGGAAGCTCACTGATTAGAGCAGTCTCCTGGATTGTGAAAGGTTCTGGGTTCGAGTTCCATCTTAGAGTATCAGGGACAAAGCGGATTTTTAAAGCATTTTTTCATTAAGAATACTCGTCATTTCTATTCATCTACATTACTCTATTTCATGATGGTTTATTTTTTTATTTTAAGGTCATTATTTTGGTTTGAATTAAGCAGCCATCCGGGATTGGGAACACTTATGAGGTCTAAATTAAATGGTTCCGATATAAGAACCTTCTTCAATCGAACAAGAAATACAACCGAAAAAATTTGCAACTGTCCTGAAAATCCTCAAGTAGCCAAATCATTTGTTATCGATATGTCAACGTCAAATCAAGAACTTTATTATATCGATCCTTGGGTCCATCAAATATTAGCTGCTGATATGAATGGATGTAAATGTAGAGTGGTAGTAGATGCTACCGAAAAGAAAAAACATGGATTCACACCAATGTCTATTACCGTCGACAGCAAATACGTGTACTGGTTTAATTCTACAGAAAATGAAATATTCTATGCTGTCAAAAGCAAGAGTCAAAAAATAGAGCATGCTAGAATATCACACGGAAATAAAATAATGGCTCTTGATGCAGCGAATCAGCCTTACCCTCCCCAGGATTGTCTTTATCCGAAACTTCAGCATTTGCAACCAAGAGTATTGTCCAATTCTGCCTACAGTTTAACATTACAGATGCCCTCAATTCATAAACCACAACATTGTCGCCACTTGGAATACGAAATGACCACTCCAGAATATACAGTATACTACCGCCTATATTCCGAAAATGATCGGACAGATTGTAATAAAGAATCTTGTTCTTATATTACTACTACACGATCGGAAGTTATTCTTGACGACTTGAAGCCATTTACAAAATATATTGTGATGATAGGAGCTACGAATTTCTACGCAAAGCTTTACGAAGTTAAACCGTTAATCGGAAGTCCTATAATATTACAAACGGCTGCTGAAGGTATATATCACAATATCTGTAGTTGGGCATGTTTATATAGACATTACCAGCCCGCGTAGCATGACGAACTAGAAATACTCGAGAATCGGGCAAGAACGAGACCACGAGTGAGATTTGAATTAACATATTTCACTTTAGACCCGTTTCTTGAGTCATTATTATAATAATATATTATATAGGACTACTGCTATACGACTATAACTATAACGCACTCACTTGTACCACTAGATATGTTTGTTCAATCAATTAAAATGAAATTTGAATAGTAACAATTTTATTTCAAAATATGCAGCTTAGGTACAATTTGATTAATCTAATATATTTGCAGCACCTACTGCTCCGAAAAATGTAACTGTGATAGCGCTGAGTCCTGTACAAGCTCGAGTAGAATGGATTCCTGATCCAGGATTAAAATATGAAGTACACTGGCGAACAAATGATTCCACTTCTTCTCCACACAGATATAAAGGTAAAAACATATTTTATTACATCTAGGTATAGTAATTAAATAAATTAGGTACACTACGTGAATTACAGATATAAAAAGAATGTTATTGATTATAAAGTAGATATGTCGTAACCAGGCTTCTAGAAGTCTTTGGTTAAATTTAAAATTATGTTTTTCAATTTAATTTGGAAAATATTATAAATTTCCTGCTTATTAAAAAATATAGATCGAATAGTCCTTATTACTTTCAAGAGATTATATAACTTAAATAGATCTCAATTTAATGGTATCTTGACTGTTTGACAGAGCACAGCACTTTTGAAGTGTCTTCCGGTGGCAGCGTGGTTATGTCCCGACTGGCTCCGGGCACAGTGTACGCTGTGTGGGTCCGTGCCCGTTCAGCACATAGTACACAGCCAGCGGACAGTGCGCCATTAAGACTCGCTACTTATCCTGCGCCTGCGCCGCTACAACTGCGCCATAAAGCCGCTTACCGCTTACGATTGGCATGGCCACCTCCTCTCACATACACTTTGTATAGGTGAGTAAGAACTCTGAACACAAACACCGGTAGCGTTTTGACTATGTTTGGCGAGTGCGGAGTTTTAAATAACCGTAACATCATAAAATGAAACCATTACTACTGGAATAAACATATCAGATAACTCCTCATAATTGATCAACAAGACTTCTGTATAATAAGGATATTACATAATCAGCAAGTAACATACTTCTTATATTTCATCAATTTTACATTCACAGTGCTATACTGGGAAATATTCATAATGAAAAATGTTTAAAAAATCCACTTTACATGTGTAGCTTAGTGGTTAAAGCAGTCGCTCGGATTGAAAAAGATCGTGGGCTCGAATCCCATATCAGAGTACCAGGAACAAAGTGGGTCTTTTAAGCATTCTTCATTAAGAATATTTTCTAATACGCAGATTGTTACAAACTTCTGTATTACTGCCATTTATGTTGTTTTCAGCTTTCATGATCATTAACATTAGAAGGATAGTTTTTTTTATTAAGACCGTTTTTAATTTATATCAAGTATCAAAGATAAATTATCTATTAACTGGCCAGTAACAGGGTCATGTGTGGAATTCTCTTCCGTAAACCCACCAGTGGCCTGCCCCGAGGATCCTCCGAACCCTACCCATCAAAAACCCTCCGGCGTACCCTCTTTTGGGAGATGAGACCCGGGAAACCATGGTCGATTCACGAGGACTCACGCCCCCCTAATATTAATTATCTATGTCTATTAAAATATACTTGTGCTTCTAAATGAAAATGCTTAAAAAATCTACTTTGCCCCGAGGTATGCTGAGATATTACTCGAACCTTTCGCAATACGGGCGACTGTTCTCTGTGTGTGAATTAAGCATTTTTCATTAAGGATATTTTCAATATAACATTTTGAATGCAAAAATTGATGAAATATAATAATATACATGGGCTCTTTATAAAAATGTACAGCATAGCGGCAACATATTCGGCGAAACAAGAAGACCTCTCTGATGATAAAAGTATCAGAATCAATTTCAATTTACAATTGCAGCAGACACGGCTGGATAATTGAAACGTCACTCCAAGTATTTAATCATAAAAACAACATTCCCTAGCCTGCTATCTCTTTGTCGTTACTACGCCAAAGGTTATTCGATCCACTATCTTGTTAAGAAACTTATTTCTGCACTTACCTACAAATAATTATTGAGTATCTAGGTAGTCAGTTGATATTTTTATTTCATTTTATGTAGACATAGAGTCGAATATACCGAAGCAAGCGTAATCAATGGTACATGGAAGGAATGCGCAAATCGTGGCGATGATGAGTGGACAGCGAATAACTTGCGTCCGCATAAAGGTTACCGTTTCCGACTTTGTCTCCAATATGTGAAAGAGGCTCCGCCATATTACTGGCCCGAAGACGACAGATTCATTTACGAAACACTGGGTGAGTATTGACAAATATGAATTTCCAGAAAACTTAACATTTTAGGATATGGCTAAAAATCCGTGATAAAAATAATAGTTGAATATAAAGCATGATGCCATTACAATATCAATGATTGTTTTCTTATCGTTTAACCGGCTCGAAGGACCACTAAAATGTTAACTACCTGTCTATCTATTAGCTAAGTAACTGATTGTAAACAATAAATTACATATAGATATATTTTCCACTATTACTTTATAGTGGAAAATATAAATCAACGAATTTATGTTCTTTACTTCAAGCTACGTTTGCGACCTGCGATTTTGCTCTTAGAACGTAGCTAAGATACATAAATAAGATTTAAAAATTATCCTCTAAAACAGGTGACGTGCCTGCAGCACCTAGCTCTGTCCTTGTTGAAGCAGTTGAGGAGCGTGTTATACGCGTGTGGTGGTCGGAGCCCGACTCACGAGGATCGCCCATTACTATGTATCGTGTCTGGGGTCGTCCAATGCACAGGTATGTAATAGATACAATAACAAGCGTATTCCACCTTAACTTTCCTTCAAAACACCACGCGCACTGGCAGATTAACTACCGATCCTTGACTAACGTTCCTACGCGTACAAAGAAATTTGGTGACATTTATTTTTGGTGCGTTCTTCCATTTTCCTGCTACACAAGGTTCTTTAGAGTAGGGGTGATGAAGTATTTTTGTGAGCCGGCAAGGTGTCTTCTTCGCGTCTGTATTTTTAGTACCAATTATCATCAGATATGGTGGAATCATTTGTTCGGATTTCGCAAAGCGCCGCAGGGACACTCAGTGGAACTAGAATAAATCCACAAAAATCCGCGCGGGAAACTAACATTAATTATGTAATAGTTTGTACATATGTACATATAGGTATATATGTCCTTAGTATAGCAATAAATATTCTTATTCATATTCTTCTTATTCTAACGTACTCTATGTTCCGGTATGATTCAACTGGCATTACCGTTCTTCAAAAATAATTAATCTTGACAGATGATTTTTTTTATTGTAAAATTTACATGGAATCTGATAACGTAGCAGACTCTGATGTCGCCGATATTTAAAAAATATCTGTCAGGATTCATTATTTTTAAAGAACAGTAATGACGGATCTATCAAGCCGGAAGTACGGTTTCAGCGAATTCTTCCATGTATTAATTTTTTACAGAGTGAATTATGTGAATAACTCAAGCAACATAAGTGAAATGATGGCAAAATTGCCCTCTGATATGCCAAAAGACATGAAGCAACAGATTTTGAACGAAGGCTTGGAACTACTTCATAATGGAACAGGTACAATAAAACTTTACGTACTACAGTCATGTTTAGCTTATGAATCATCTGACTATATATGCATGTGTGTCTACTCTGTCTGACATGACAATAGATTGTACATCTTTAAGAAGTTCCCTAAGAGACTTTTTAATAGCTGTTTCCACTTTTTAAATCTACACTAATGAATCATCACTATTTAAGATTATTTTTATTGATATATTTTAAAATGTTTTATAAATATAATTAGCAAACATTTTTTTTAATGGTTTTTAAAAGTTACCTACGGCAAATAAGACACGCGTTGTAATAAAACCCCATTGAAATTTCGTGCTCGTACTTCTTTTCCTGTTTAACTTTACTCACACTTGCTTATTACCGATAGATGTTGTGATCTACTATACGTGTGTGAGTGAAGTTTACACAGGAGTAAAATCATTTTAGCATAATATTTCAAACGCGGGCTTTAATTGCCGGAGATACATAAGTATATTCTTAGAGCAGGTGAAAAACGAAGAATGACTAAAGTATAACATATCGTTTTCTTTCAACGCCTACATCACACTTTTAGTAATTGTCATTTTGGCCCCCCTTTTCAGCCAAAACCTGGTTGTCTGCCCTACACTTATCCTACACATAGCTAACAAATAGATTTTCGTATAGAGACATATTGGTTCATTGGCGCGGGTCAAGTGTCGGACGGTTACGTGGCGCGGGTGCAGGCCCGCAACAGTTACGGGTGGGGCGCGCTGTCGCCGGGCGCGGAGCTGCACGCGGCGCCCGCGCACGCAACTCGCCCCCACCACGCCGCGCTCGCCATAGCCGGCGCCGTACTCGCCGCTCTAATGCTCGCAGTAGGGGCATTAGTACTTTACGGTAAGTAATTGATTTTGCAGTGCCAGTTCAGCCCATAAACAATATATAAAATAAATTATATATTAAATAAAAGATATCATTTATTTATTTCGCTCGAACTAGTATGATGATTAGTTGGTTTTTTTGTTTGTTATTGTCAATTTGTCACGTAAGTCCACTTAACGTTTAGATTACGTATGTAAAATAAAATCCAATGGGATACTAGATGTTATATACCTACTAAAATAAACTAAAATGAACCACAAAGCTATTATTATCAAATATAAAATAATATTATTCTTTTTGCAGCATATAACAGTAGAACTAAGAAAAAAGCTGCTAAAGATAATCAAATTCAAACCCACGTTATAAGAAGAGGCTCCGATTTGGAGTTAGCTACACTGAGACAGCTACCTATCAGACATTCTACGAACATACTTTATAATCAGGTAAAAATACTTTCCTTTAAATTACTTAATAATAATAAAACGATAGCTCATTATTGTATACACCACACAAATACATTACATGAATATTCTTAAAAAATCCACTTTGCCGCTGGAACTCTGAGGTGGGATTCGAACCCACGACCTTTCCTTACTCAAGACTAGTACAGAGCGTATTTTCATAAACGCTCAGACAATCCACCCAAACAGTGAAAGAAATATTTTTATAAATATTTTAAACTTTCCATAAAAATTAAAATTTGTTCTTATTATCATAATTGATCAAATTTGCATTCACGGTGCTATATAAGAAAATACCCTTAGTGAAAAATTGTTTAAAAATCCACTTTGTCCCTGGTATTATGAGATGTCGCGAAAGACAAGGACAAATGGAGGCACCTGGAGGAGGCCTATAACCGTAAGGGGCCATGACAATGTTTAAAAATATTGTTTTTCCTTTTTTTACAAATATTCATTTTGTAACCATGTTATGGAAATAAAGAGGCTTATTATAATAATAATTATTATTATTATGAGATGGGATTCGAACCTACGACTTTTCGCAATCCGGGCGACTATTCTAACCACTGAGCTACCTAGTGAATACAAAATTGTTCAAATGTGATAACAATACATATTTCTACCGGACAACCTTGGACTGAGAGGATTAAACAACAATTACAAAAACAAGGGTTCAAGCTAATAATAGTTTCATACACATTTACTCAATTTCTATCTGTTTATGTACCTCTGTGACAAACAAATAATAATGTTGAACCGATAACTCTTTTAACCTCTTGCTTCCACGTGTAAACAGTCTAGGTATTACCTATGTAATGTGGCGCTAATAACTACAATCAATTATTTAATTTATACTTTTATCTTATTTGTACGTATCACTATTTTATTTTTATTATTTAGTTCTACTACTTTTTAAGTTTTGATAGTAAACCAATAAGAGTGTTGGTATTTACACACACCAGCCCTTTTACATTCCCACTGCAGGGGCTCAGGCCTTCCTTATGGATGGTTAAGGAGGATGGGCCATGACCCTCCACGCTGGCCCAATGCGGATTGGAGGGTATTAACGACTGCAAATGCAGCCGGGACCAACGGCTTAACGTGCCTTCCGAAGCACGGAGTAGCTCGAGATAATAATTTTTTGGTCACCCATACCGTGACCGACCCTTGCGAAAGTTGCGTAACGACTACGATCGCGGGCCGCGGCGCTTATCCACTACGCTACCGAGCTACTCGCTGGTACTACTGTTGGTATTTATTACTCTATAATAGGGGTGCAGATATGCGGAAAATACAATCTTCAATCATACAGCGTTGTCGCAACATAAGAGCTAAAATCAAATGGATCTTTTTTTTTACCTTTTGAATATTTTATTTGATTGAGCCTCTAATCATGTGACAGGACTGTGTTCGATACTGTGTTTTTAACGGAACAGTGCTGACAATTGATGATTTTTATGGGGCCAAGGGCCAATACGTGCCGTCATTATGTCGTCAAATAATCCAAATACTTCACAAATCTACGAGAAATTAATATTTTAAAATTCCTAATTATATTCATGGATGTGATGCTAGTCTGCATGCGGAGAACAGGCGATTTCTTCGGTCCAAATGAGTACGCTGAGGTCGCCCGCAATCCGCACGGGGACACTATCAATCGACCTAAATAACCCATATGATATATGACCTAAAGCGAACTAAAAGTATCTCACGAAAACAATCTTAAATAAAACATTTAATTATAAAATATAAACAAACAGGGAGTACACTGCCCTACGGACGCAGAACTGGCGAGTTTACCACATATCCGACGCGAGCACATCACACTCACCAATTTCCTAGGCTCTGGCGCATTTGGGGAGGTGTTTGAAGGTGTGGCACGTCATTTAAACGGCTCTAGCGCTAATACCAAGGTTGCTGTCAAGGTAATTAAAACCATGCTTTTTTTAAGAAATGTAATAGCCAAAATACTTATTTTTTTAAAGGAGTTCATAAATATTTTACCTGAACTCTGATTCCAGAGTGTAAATAAATAAACAACTTACATTATTTTATTTATTACATTACATTACAAAAACTTTGTTACAACCTCCCTAGACATTACGCAAAGGCGCAACCGAACAAGAAAAGACGGAATTCTTGAAAGAAGCTGCTCTAATGTCAAACTTCAAACATGAACACATTCTACGGCTGTTGGGCGTCTGCTTGGACAACGATCCCAATTATATTATCATGGAGCTCATGGAGGGTGGCGACTTGCTCAGTTACCTTAGGAAAAAGAGAGTTTCACTGGTAAAATTTTTGTAATTTTTTTTTTCTTATTGATTAAAAACGAAGGCTAGTGCATACTGCCAATAGCATAGTGCATTACATACTGTCGCAAACATAAACGTACTATATTATAAATTTCTGACAGACAGATTCTGAAAGCCAAAACCTGCGGCAAATAAGACCTGCGCTGTAATAAGGCCCGCCATTGTAATTTTGTTGCGGAAAATGGATATTTTTTGTCACGGCATATATTTCGGTGTTAGGCACACATGCGTAAAGTTGAACAGGAATAGACGTCGACTAGCATGAAATTTCAAAGAAAGGCCTTATTATAACGTGGAGCTAAACTGTCGCAGATACCTTAGTAATTAAATTTTTATAGTTATTAAAAAAGATTAATCTCCTTCAATATATTTTGAAGCTGTAATTTGAGTATTTATAACTGATCCTATTTTTCAGTACACACCAGAATCACTAACTCTCCTAGACCTGTTGAACATGTGTGTGGACGTGACTAAGGGGTGTCGTTATTTAGAAGAAATGCATTTCGTTCACCGAGACCTGGCCTGCAGGAATTGCCTCGTAGCACATCGCGCTAACGGCCGCTTCGTCAAAATAGGCGACTTCGGATTGGCTAGGGACATATACAAGAACGACTACTATAGAAAGGAGGGCGAAGGTTACTACAATATTACTACTTAAATTTAGATATTTAATTAATTTACATGCATATTTGAGTGAATGAAATGTGTATAGAAAAGCCTATTTATATGAACTTGATTGGGACAAAATAAGCATTAAGTATCATTGTTGTTATCAATAAGGAATGAGACCTTGCACATTATTATTGTTATTAATGTTTTAAATCTTAATTTATCGCCTAACTTGTAGACGTTAAAAGAAGATCGTTATAAAATTAATATAACAAAAAATCCTAAACCATGAAAACATAAAACAATTCGCGGACAAACCATATGCAATCCACTTCGTCACATGTATCCTAAATACAATCGAGTATAATTTGCAAGTTCAAATATTTCTGATGACGTTTCAGGTTTACTGCCAGTGAGGTGGATGGCGGTGGAGTGCCTTATAGATGGAGTGTTTTCTTGCCAATCCGATGTATGGGCTTGGGGAGTACTTTGTTGGGAGGTAATTACATATGTATTATTATATCTTACCTCTTGCGGCTTCATATGCGTGGATCACATGATTTTTAAATGCTTGTTCGACCCCCCCAGCATTGAATTTTTCAAAATCCTTTCTTAGCGAACTTATGTGTCTGTGTATAAATAAGTATTTGAGTGCCTTTCAGCCCGAACTTTCCATTAGTTTGAGATTTTGGTGCATAGGACTATACGTCAGGCTAGCACAATACGTCAAAGATAAACAGTTTTTGTACTTTATTTTCAATACATTGAGTTTTAATCAGGTGGAGAAGATTGTCAGTTTTGTATACCCGGTCGTACTGTTGACTGTACCATTGTAGAGAGCCTAAGTGTAAGTTTTTTAAGTTTACGTTCACCGTTGATAGGGAGTGCGTTAAGATTTTAGTGTGGAACTCGGTACAGCGCCCTTAGCGGTGACTACCAAGAATCACAAATCTCCATACAAATTGTTAACGCGCTCAATAGTGAACGTAAAAGTTACACTAACCAGCCCACCAGTCAATCATCTTCTCACAATATATAGCTACTCATTTAACGTACCCCATCCCCTCATGTTTCACAGTCGTAGTGTCATTTAGGTATACTGTCCTAACAAATGTTTTTAAAATTATACATGTTAATAATATATTTATTTAACTTAAATCTCTTAATTTTTGAAAACAGGTGCTATCACTAGGGCAGCAGCCGTACCCGGCGCGCACCAACCGTCAGGTGCTGAGTTACGTGAGGGACGGCGGCAAACCAGACTGCCCGCCCAACTGTCCTTCGGCCTTGTAAGTGGATTTGACTTGTAGTACTTATAGTATGTTAATGGGGCATCGAAAATACGGCATCAGAAAAAAATATTTTAAATTATTTGATTTTATGAATTACTTTCAATATCTTATTCTCAGACATAGTAAGATCTCAATTATAGTAAGTATGGCGTACTCAAAGTACCCGATTTATATACGTATGACACTCTATTACGCATCAATTGCACGATTTAAAGGTTAAACAGTAAAATAATAAATAATTTTGACAGTAAAATAATTCTTTTTATACAAATAAAACTTTGAGCCGCAAACTTTACATCTAAAGAGCCGCAAGTTGCTGAGTATTACGAGAGCTGCAAATCGCTGTCGATAGAACTTTCTTTTATGCAGAGTACTGTCTATTGGTGTATGTGATTAGTTCAGTCACCTTACATCATATTTCCACATAATACAAAGTTAAGATGTAAGCTCTCCTAAATCATCGTTTCCATAGCTGTTCTCGATATTCTGGAATCCGGCTCGAAGGACCATTAATTGTTAAGATAAGTTAAGATTTTATTGTACACTCAACAAAGATAAATAAATAAAAACTTACAAACATAATATCATTTGCACCATAGGTAGCCTTATTGCTTAACAGCGATTTTTTCCAGGCAACCTATAATGGAAGGAGCAATGATATAGGTATAAAGTAGATAAGCTATGCGCATTACAAATAAATTTTAATGATATCAATATAAATATTAGAATTATAATAAAGGTATATAAAATAAATAAATATACGATGCTTAGAATAATAACAAGGTAAAATTTCAAATAGATTTCTGTACATCTGACAAAAAAAACTTCGCAACTAGAGATTTGAAAGACTCCAGCGTTTGGGCGCATCAATTAATCTTTAATATAAATTATAAATTATATTTGTCTGCACGTCGCGTAGATATTCATCATCCCTTTATTTAAAGCACAAGGTGAACATGTGCTGGTGGTGCAATAAACCTTGATAACTGCCGAGTTTCATTATAGCTTATTTACATTGGTCGATAGAATGCACATGTGGTTATACGAACTACATCTGCGGGGATAAATAGTTATTTTTATAGTATTTGTTGCTATAACGGTAATAAATAATCTGTGTAACTTTCAACAACAAAGGGTCCCATTTTGACCCTTTGGGTACGGAACAAACAAGAAGTAATGAGCCTCAATATCCCACAGCTATGAGCTTCTCCAAAGATGCTGGAGTTACTCGGCAGACGCGCGTCCTTCGTTCCGCGAATGTCTGGAGGTGGTGACGGCGCTGCGCGACCGCACCTCGCCGAACATACGCCTCACCGCCACACCCGGACACGCGCCCTACCTCACGCTGCTGGGAGACGGTAACTAAGTATTCATATCATCATATCACTCCCCTGACTCTCAATGGATCGACATTGCAATTGTGACGCAAGTGTACCTCACCAAGAGAACGAAACAGTACAATTGCAAAGTTTACATCACTCCCCTTACTCTCAATCGATCAACATTGCAATTATGACGCTAGTGAGAACGAAACAGTACTATTGCAATGTCAATCGGTCGCGGCTGTGTTCGAGACTAACGGGGCAGGCACGGATCTATGTGGTTTTTTTTATCTGGGGCAGAAACTTTGTATAGCTCTCTTCCATCTACCCCTGCGCTCCGTGAAGTCGGATTTTATAGTATTTTTATGTATGATTTTTTCTTTTATTTCATTTAGAGGATTTCGAAGCATGTCCGTCCCATGGTAGCCTATGTGTATGAAAAGATTTGTCAAGCTCGTTCTTTTTATAACTTCTTTTTATACTTCCAAACAGTGATACCAGCTCTGCGATTCCGTAAAAATCCGAAACCGAATTTGAATTCACTCCGAAAGTGACATCCGTTTAACCTTGAATTGGTATTAACGTTTCGTGGCATAAGTGAAGTGAGTTTCGCAATGACATAGTGATGGAATATGTGAGACATGTATAATCAAATTGATTGATTGTTTTGTTTTCATACAAAAAATGGAATCAATGGAATTTCTTCACCAAGTGACGTGAATTCAAATTCGGGTTTGGATTTTTACGGAATTGCTCTGCAGATACATATTATACAGGGTTATTCGTAAAATATTAGCACCCTAACTAGTACTAGATAGCTAAACTAGGTTATAATTGATATGGCTCAATGATAAAATTTCAAAGAGCGGCTAATCAGAATATAGCCATCTGGTAACTCATTTTACACCTTATGTTTATTGAATCAAGAGTCACTATAAATTTTACTCGTATATTCGGTCATCGTTGCAAATTATCTGCAATACGTGATGATGTTAGCTATACAGTCCTGCGTCACTGCTGATGTTTTATAATAACCCTGCATACTAACCAGTTCCTAACTTTACTTTCAATGTAGAAATAAAGAAGGGTTTTAAAATGTAAGATAAGATAATTCTTATCCTTGTAATCCTGTTGATTTCTACTTTGACTAAAGTACATTATCGCTGGAATGCAAAACGCTTTAGTTCTGAAAGTTAACATTCATTGGACAAAACTTCTTCATAAGAATCTATTTAAAATATAGTCCATATGTTAGAGATGTATTGATGTTTTCAGTATACAGTTCTTATTTTTTTTTTTGTTTTCCGTACAAATTGTTTCCATTTATGTCATCCTTTCATATCATTAAAAAAACAATTTGTAATTTATTTATCCAGAGCATGACGATTACAGATCCCTTTCTTGTACCATAATAAACTAACCTAATATTGTATTGTGCATGGGACGCATGATCAGACGCCATCGACAACCGCACCTACCTGCTGGACGAGAATGCCAACGCCTGCTTAGGTTCGTCTCATACTTTCATGAGTAATCAATCCATAACACTTAGCAATTATGTATATAATAAATATATTCAATTACAGACGAAGACCTCCCAGAACACGAAATGGAACCGTCGAGATTACTGCCAGAGAGGACACTGAAGTATCTCGATCTGATGCACGATAGCGACTCTGGCTCGGGCGTAGTATGTGATGGATATGAAATACCAAGGAGCCCTATAACTAGCGCGCCGTTCTCCAGACACAGTATAGTTGGCGTAGCGCCCAATAGACTGATAAAACCTCCACTATACAGAACGCATTCACTTCGTACTAATACACGCCCACCAAATGCAACCATACGAAGTTTGCGCAACGGCATCGTGAAGAGGGCCTCTTTTTGCGATGGCATTCATAGTGGCCGACCGTGCTCTTCAAGAGAGATGTTAAGACTCGATCCTAACTTTGATAAGCACATTTTCAAGACTACATTTTGAACTGTGATATTAGGCTTTGTAATCAACCTTTTTTGTATAATATCCACCGAATGGCAGCCGTGTAACTTGTAGATTAATATTATTTATTTTATTGTATAACTGTAAATAGTCAGTTCCCTGTATATATTAGCATAAGTGAGGCATGTATTATGTAAATCTACCAATAATTAAATAATGCTATGATCAAGTGAATGTTGATTTGTTGGACGCTCTGTGAGTCTAGTTGACGGGTTTTTTGGATTAATTATTAAAAAGCCCAGGTTATTTACAACGCTGTTTTATTTTCCAACTATATTTATGATATTGACAATCAATGTCAGAAATATATTGATGCATTTTTTTATAATCAAACTTTGTAAATTTCACGAATAAAATAAGAAATATGTAGATAGAAAAGTATCTACTCAGAATGATTTAATCCCACTATCATATTTAAATTCCACATGATAGATAACCGATTTATGATTAATCTTTGTATTTTCAAGAAGTCAAAATAGTACTTTTTGAAAATAACTATGTACAATTTAGTTATTTTCAAATATTATTTGTAAAAAGTAGTAGTATTTTTTTATACAATATCTCAAGAAAAATAATAGCCTAGGATTTTTACCTATTCTATGAGTTACTTCCATGACTGTAGATAAATTGTACATATTAATAAAAAACTTAATATATCTTCTCAATATTTGAAACAACTCGTTGAAATGTAGTTAAGACAGCTTTTTAAATTGAAACAAAGGACAGACCAAAAAGAAATCTAATAAATATGTTCTTACAGCATCAGAAATCATATTTATATATTAATTAATATTACAGTTCGGAATTATATGGAGAGTGAATAATTAATCAACAATTTTTTTATTTCTACTTTTGAATTCCCCAAACAATCAAATTTATCCAAAAGTACTACTAGTATTTTTAAAAGATTTTAAATGTTTATATTCATAACGACACATTACAATCAGATAAGTAACAAAAGAAGTTTTCAAATTAATATATCTAGTCTGAAACTTGCCCCAAATCTAATATAACATGAAATACTTATATATCACTTCCTAGTACCAACTCTAGTATGGAAACTTACCAAGTCAAAATCGAAAGCACGAAAAAAAAGCAATTTCTAACCTTTATAAACGCCAACTATCTAGTTATTCCCTACTATTAATAGAAAAATTATTGCAAAATTAAGACCACTACTTTGACTTTCTCGATTTTTGGCATGCGTTGCCATGTCACTAGCCAAGACGTCTTTATAAGGATGCAACCGCACAAGTATTTTATTTTTTTCTAGTATGTAATTTTTCGTACAGTTTGCAGAACCATCTTCCTAATTCCTCGTATTCCATATTTAAATATAGCATCTCGTTATAATCTATTTACAATTTTAATGTATTATAGAACAGGGAATGCTTAAAATAAAACGTATTATCAAAATAACGGAAATTAGGGTCCTTATGAGAATTTAATGAATAACAAGAAACTACGAAGATGTTATTTAACTTTAGGGGTCATCCATAAATTGCGTGATACGATTTTCATAACTTTTTTGCCCCTTCCCCCGTCCTAGTCACAGCTGGTCACATTTGTAAGACCCCCCTTCTAGCGTGATGTCACTTATTTTGCAAGGTTTTTGTAAAGTTATAGTTTAAAGTTCGTGTTTTAACACTTAGATTATAATAGATTTTGAAATGTGACGTCACGAAATTGAAGACCCTCCCATCCCCTTGTGTGACAAGCCACATTGTGTGAACAATGTCACACTTTGTCGAGCCCCTCCCTCCCCCTTAACGTGTGACATAATTTATGGATGGCCCCTTATATAAATCAACCGATCAATAGTTGGTGTGATTACATTACAAGTATATTATAATTATAACAGTGGCTATTAGTGAAATAATATAACAGTAAGCGAGAGGACAATTCGGGTTACTAAAAATACGTATACCATACTTCAAGCTGAATCACAAAATACCAATGTAATCGGAGCATTAAGAGGGCGCCTAAAACAAAATACAAATCTAATATCGAATTTGTATCTATAGATATACCACAATCTGATCTCATTAAGCCAAAACAGGAATTTTTAATATTAGTGTCTAGAAAATTAAATGACATATTCTTTTTCTCGTAAATTTTATTTCTTTTTTTTTTAATAGTAACTAACATAAAATAATATTACAGCAATTAAAAAATAATTCTGTCTCACTAACAGAAAATAAAGACAAATTTCCAGCTTTAGGCACACTCTTAAAGAATTAAGAGTATTCATTACATATATTATACATGAGGTAATCTAGTCGCCGTCTTCAGCGAGCTCTTGTTTGACTCTCTTCTCCTGTTTGATCTGATCCGTGGTGGTGACCGGCGGAGCTTCATTATCGTCGTCTTGAGCGTCATCCTTACTGTTCTCGTGTAAGAGCACATATTCGCGCTGCGAGAATCCGAATTTAACAACGTCCCGTTCCAACAGTTCCACGTAACGACGACCCTCTACCTTCTTGTTATTCACGAAAGTGCCGTTCGCTGAATCTGTCAACACGTTTTTGTTAATTAGATTATTTATAATAGACGCCTTTAAGCTCTAATAAATGGCAAATTTGTATCGGTAATGTCGATTTAAACTTAAAAATATAGACTAAACAAAAAAATATATTTAAAAAAATGTTGACCTTTTCTAGGTCTCTACTGGTTCTTCGAGCCAAATTTATATAAAGAGTGAGCGTGGTGAATACAGTTGCTAAGCAGCTAATAAGCTAGCCTGAGGGAAGGCTGGAGAGCCCGATGCGACGCAATTCTTTGTTTTTGTCTCAGATAAAACGTCAAAACAGTTAATTTTATTTTGTGTGATATGCAAAAATTATACATTATTCCATTTAAAATAAAGTGAAATATGTGTTAGTACGATATCATCTTAAAGGACACAAATATCTATCTATTCTAGTCTTGGTGGTCCACTACCGTGACCCCAGATTATTCAAACAATTTCTATACTAACAAGACAAAGAGGAAACCTTGATTGTTTGTTTGTTTGAATAGACTAAGAAACAACTGAACCGATTTTAAAAATTCTTTCACCTACAGGAAGCTACATCATATACGGTGAACATAGGATATATTTTATCCCGAAAAAAGGGATGAAAATGAGAGCAGAAATTTGTATAGGGAATTAAAACAATGTCATAGTAACATTGTTTACGATTCAATTCGTCATTGTAATTTTATATCCGTGTCAAAGAGTAAATTATATCTGTCATAATATTTAAAATTAAATTCTAAGATTGGTTGACTTTATTTGAGCTACTTTTTATTCCACTAAACTGTTCCCTTGGGGCCACGCGGGCATAGCCGATGGCGGAAAGCTAGTATGATATATAGAGCTTACCCAAATCTATGATATACGGTCTGACACGTCTGCCTTGCGAGCCATCAGATCGGGTGAACGGCGTCGCTCTGTATTGCAGGGCCGCGTGCTGTTTACTGATCGAAGGGTGTTCCAACGCAATATCCACCACTTTCTTATCTCGCCCGATCAGGAATGCCGACTGACGATGAATATATAATATCGGCAACGCCTTATCACCCTTGAACGGGTAGAACCTGAACAAACAACACGTAAATTTATTATAATATACACAATTATAATCAATATGGGTGTAGACAACTTTTACTTTATACATGAAATATAACAAAAAACAATATTTAAAAAAGTATCATCATTCATATATAAAATGTAATTTTGAAATTTCCCGCGAAAACGCCACTTTTGTCATGACATCGCTATGACGTCACGGCCCTCTGAAACTAATATCGTTCTATGTATGCGTAAGGTTGGATTCTCCAAGTTCTGATATGAGTAAGAGGGGCGTGACGTCACACGCTGTTTGCGGTCAAGTAACAAGTAAAAAATATTCGTTTTTTTATAATTAATTTAAGCAATATTATAAATATAATGAGCATAAAAGTGTGATTTTAGGTAATAGTAAATTAAACACACCCGTATAGAAATACAGATTTGTGATCTTGCCGGTACAAAGACTCAAATCTTTGTTATTATCTGTATTATTCTGTTTACTTCTAGAAGTATGCGCGAATTAGATGTGTTCCGTTATACATTTAAATCTATACTAACATTAGGGATAAAGTTTCTAACTGTGTTAGTGTTTAGGAGGTAATCTTCAGAAATACTAATCTGATCATGAAAACTCTTTCACCGACGGATAGGTATCATTTACGTTTACGCAGGCGAAGTCGCTGGAAAACAGCTAGGAATATATAAATTATATGCAACAATGAACTTGAAATTACTGTATAATCACTCCTTCTGAACAAAGTTAAAGATTAGAATCGCATTTTGAATTGTGTTACGCTCGATACAAAATAAAGCTCAATGATAAAAATTATTTATTAAAATCATGACACTTGCTATATGATGACTCTCTGCCGTTAATGTTAAATAAGACGCAAGCTTAGATAAATTAAAAACTAATAAAATCAATGATTTGGGCAATTTTTGATTATAAGTGCATTATTATTATATACGATTATAACTTATCCATACCTCCATCGCCTTTTAGGTTGTTTAGCATCATCGGGTTCCGTGTACTTGATAACTACACCATTAACAGTATTTTGGTCCGCAGTCAGTTTCCCGGACAATCCAAAGTTTGGTTTCTCTTTATCAGCGGGATTTTTGTCACCCTCCTTTTTCACTTCCGTTTTGCCCCAAGTATATTCTTTGTCGTCCGCATCACCGAATCTATAAAAACAAGAAGTCTAATTAGAGCAGGGTTTTTCAAACACGAACCCCTAAGGGTTAGTGAGGTTAGGTAGATGGGGGATAACCTTAGATTAGGCTCTTTCGGGACGGGTAAGGGTTAGGGATGCACAGTTGCGCATCCTTGGCCTTTGAGGGGGAGCAGTCTGGTGTATTAGCGCGCTCACCGGGCATTGCACGCCCCGTGTCCTGTCTGGGGGGGATGAATCGAATGTTCCTTCCCCTAACCCGTGTTGGAAACCGCCTCGCAAGAAGAGGAACAAAACGTTACCCGGAATATGGTTCCCATGGGACCCATGCCGTGCTTCACCTGCGTGTGAGGGACGTATCGCTAAGTTTTAGTGGGTTAAATCCTGCTTTTTGCTTCGGGGGTGGGGCCGCAGGAGTCCCATATAACTCGTGGATCCCGCGCAGGATGAAGAGAGAGAAAAGCGAACCGCATTTCTCAGCATCAAAAAAAAAGGTTGGCCTTTAATATCTCTTTAATTATTAAAAATATTATTTTATAATTTTGAAGGAGGGGGGAGAGATTTGGTTTGTTAATTAAGGGATTCGCTATCGTTTAGAATCTTTTACGGAAGTTCCTGGAGCCAATAATAAAAAATAAAAATAAATATTTAACAACATCACATACATTGCTTAGATTCCAAGATGAGTAGCTAAAGCCCCCGTATTATGGAGTATCTGAGACAACGAAGGTACCACAACACCCAAACCCGAGTCAATATAGAAAAGTTCATTTTCTACATTGACCCGACCGGGAATCGAACCCGGGACCTCAGAGATGGCGACACCTTGAAACCGGCATGCGAACCACTCGGCTACGGAAGTCGTCAGTTAGTTTGACAGTTTGACATATCCTATGATAAAACCCGATGCCGCAGTGATTAATGCGTTCTCTCTGCAATGCTGAGGTTTAGCAACTTTCGCAAGGGCCAATGACGTGTGACCAAAACATTTATTACATTGAGCTGCATAAGCGTGGTTCCAAAGCCGTTTAAGCCTTTGGTCCAGGCTACAACCGTAGCCGTTAACACCAATCAATTCACACTAATCAGTATACACAAGTTTCTATGCAAATCTATACAAATACTATAAAAATGAAAGATTTGCTTGTTTGCATCGAATAGTCTCAGTAATTACCGTACCAATTTTAAAAACTATTTCACAAAGCTATATCATACGCGACTTTTATAGCTTATAATTTACGCGGACAAAGTCCCGCGACTTTCCGACGCGTAAATTATGGCCTTTGTCAATGATGTAGCTACCCGTAGGTAAAAGAATTTATAAAATCGTTCCAGTACTTTTGAAGCCTATTCGTTACAAATAAACAAACACATCTTTCCTCCTTTATAATATTAGTATAGATGGAATCTGAAAATATACACACTAATATCTCAATCTTACTTACCTGGTCTTCCTTTCTCGCGGTTTGTCGTTCTGTCTAGGTGGAGGGCGAGCGCGATCGCCACCCCTATCATTGCCTCTATCTGTCATCCTGTCCGGTCCCCTGTTCGATCCTCTAGTCGGTCCCCTGTCCGGTCCCCTGTCCGCTTGTACCGGTGGACGACCACGGTACCGCCCATCTGGACTCCTGGACCGGGATACAGCTCTGCAATGATCGTCACGGTTAAATACCAGAATAGTTTTTCAATTCGGAATTTTCGGAAAAGTATAGGTTTCAAAATATCCAATCTAATCAATCTTTATAAATTAAAATAAAGCGCTATGTGTGTTGTTAAGTACTAAAATCGAGAAAGGCACAAATTACGAAGAAAGAAGAAATAACGTTGAAAATACGAAAATAATAATGAAAAGTAGTAAATAGTAGCTCGGTGGTGTAGCAGGCCTCGGCTCGCGATAATTGTTGTTGTTAAGCAACTTTCGCAAGGGATGGGTGACCAAAAAAATATTATCTCGCTAGCACGAGAAAGCACATTAAGCCGTTGGTCCCGGCTGCATTTGGAGTGATCCATTCCGCATTGGGCCAGTGTGGAAGGTCATGGCCCATCCTCCTTAACCATCCATAAGGAAGGCCTGAGCCCCTGCAGTGAGGACGTAAAAGGGCTGATAATGATGATAGATAGAAAAAAATCCAATAAAAATGTTAATCAAACGACATTACTTTGTTTTTGACTAATAGGACATAACAAGGTTGGCCGGGTCAGCTAGTATCATAATGGAATTGTTGAATACACATATAAACCAATATGTATAAAAGAAAGTCGTGTTAGTTACACTATTAATTACACAGAACGGTTGAGCCGATTTGGTTAAAAATTGGTGGGCAGGTAGATTAGAACCAGGAGACGGACAAACAACGCTTTATAAAAGTAATAATAATAAAATACTCAAAATATTTATCACATAATGATGTCTATGGTTTATTTTTCTCATTCATTGACTGTTAGGAAGGACTAAGAAGTTAATATATTTTTACATTCAAATTTCTTAGGCAGAACAAAGTTCGCCGGGGTCACTAGTAATATATATATATAAGTAAAGTAATTTAATAAATAATTACCTATCTTGCGTTGAAGATGGCTTATCAGATCTGCCAGGGCGTTCGCGACGCGCTGCATCCCTCTGCCTGTAACCCATAATGGTGTTCTTAACTTTTGGCATCCATACCATCATTAATTATGGCTTATTATGGTTATTTATAAAACACTAGCAGCCTCGTAGGACTATAGGTAAACGTCATTAAAAATCACATATGAGATTCAAATTACTAAATAAATATATTTTATCGCGTGTATTTAAAAATGATTACATGCTTTTGATTATGCTTAAAATTACTATGGCTTTAATTATTAAAGGACCAACATCTTAGTGTAGTGAACACGGAACCGAAAATGTTTGAAAACGATATATTTTTTTTTAAATACAAGCGATAATACCGTCATTCATTTCATTTAATGAGTGGTGTGCTGAAATTATAATAAGAACCGATTATAAATAAAAATTATTTTATTGTACTGTTGTGAAATACCTTATATAAATATATTAATAAACGAAAGGGCGACGGTACGCTCGCGCACTGTGTGTGAAGTACCTACCTACACACTGCAAGTAGCTATTAATTTACAAACAGTAAACTAAAAGTTATTTATTTATAAAATGTAACGCATTAATAATACACGTAGAAAAAAAAAGGGCTTAGTAAGAGTTACTCGCGCACGAATGGTAAGAACCCTTGAGGGATTGAGGGTTAAATATTTATTTTCTTGTTTTTAATATTTCCTGTTAAAGCGGCAACAGTAGTTCAATGAAAATTTCAACTGTCTAGCTATGAAGGTTCATTAAAATTTGGTGGCAGACAAACGTACGAACAGCGGCGTCTAAGAAATGGTTCCCATTTTTACTCTTTGGGTAAAGAACCCCAAAAACATTGTGTTTATGATATTGGCTATCCAATGCTGCCAGGTTGTTGGTGTTTTACAAATAACCCTGAATATGATATGTGTAGTTAGCAGAAAAGTAATGTTGACACAAAGCCTAATACTATATATTTATGTTGTCACAAATTATAAAGGCATATAAGAAGACAGATATTTTATATATTTGGAATGAATCAAAAACAAAAATATAGTATCTGTTTAGGTATTAAGTTAACCACTCTATACTAACATTCAAACATCTCGTCATTATATTCCTTGATTTAATAACTTTAACGTAATCAACAATCATAGGATACTTCGTATTAACTTAAATTACCATATGTTTAATTAATATTCAGATTAAATTCTATTTACTGTCTGTATAAATACAGTCAAAATTGTAAAATATATTACTGTTCCTAATTTTAAACAAATTATATTGACCAAATGTTTGCATTTAAAATAATTTATTAATACTAGTTGCCTTATCTGTTTCTATATCTGCATGACCTTCTCAACCTAAAATTATGCAATTACATTTAAACATGGTCACGTTTATATAAATATTCTAAAAAAAACCAAAATAATATGATTGTATTATAAAATTCAGAATCTTATCACAGTTTTATTGAAAAAAGAAATATTACAATTATGTTGTGCGTCATTAAATCTGTGCTAAGAATCCTTCGTATGAGTATATGAAATAATATTTATTGCATAAAACGAAACATCCTCGACCTCCTAGGCGTTGTAACATTTACTGACACACTCCTGTAAATCATCAACTTACCGTAACTCTTTAATAATACGATGATTTGATGAAGATTTACCTACTCAAAATTCATCCAATCGTGGATTTCTCGACAATGACATTAAAATAATATGATTATTATTTACTTGAATTATCATAATACATTTATGTTTATGTTTCTTCTTTCAAACTTTCTGTTATAGTTTCTGTTATTTATTTTATTTCATCTACCTCCAGGTGCAGCTTCTTGTCCAGTAATATTTAAATCTATACTATGTTGCTCTTTTTACCAGTAGTGATAAAATCCAAACAGTGAAGATATTCCATAAAACCTTGATCTGTTTTCCATATGTACTCCATTTTCTTTCAGTCCATAGCATAATGTCATAGCGACCATAGCATAATAAGTAGCATAATCATCACGACAACGTAATATTTATCATATTACATTAGTCATCAAGACAGAGTTTCTATCATAGCTTTATATTTATCAAGACTGTATAATAATATTCATCCAGAACGTGTAAATTTCATTCAGACTGTGTAATATTCATCCAGACTGTGTAATATTCATCCAGACTGTGTAATATTCATCCAGACTGTGTAATATTCATCCAAACTGTGTAATATTCATCCAGACTGTATAATATTCATCAAGACAGTATAATATTCTTCATAATATATTATTCACCACTATTGATTAATATACTCATAGTGTGATAAACATTCATCACAACAATCTAGTATTATAGTATGATATATTGTGACATTTTAATAGTATATTTTTATCGCAGGAACATCTTTTACTATTGTTTTACTTCTTATTTGAATGTAAGCTTAAGAATACATACAGCACAAATTTTTCATTATTTTTTACTGTAATGCAACTGCATAATATGCCTCCATGATCAAATCGATATAATTTTTTTTCTTCAAAAACAATCCCTTGTTTTGATATTTTAAATTATCATCGATAATTAAATGCCGGACAACTTTTTTTGTATAAAATTTCTGTATTCCGTTATAAATATTTAATATCACAACACTTTCAGGAATCCAAAGGTAATATTATTCGCGTTATGTTAAAATCAACATCTATCACATAATGTCATTAGTCCTTTGAGTTCATTTCACCGTGCTACGAGAACGGAATGTATGAATGGCACAATATCCAAACTAATTATATATCATTTTTTGTTTATTGTCTTCTTAAAAACTCCGAAGACGTTATTTTATAACATTGGTGTCCGATAAATCTGACTCTTTCAAACATGCCTAGAGTAATTATCATGTAAGGTGCAAACAGTGAAATATCTTTGTAAAAGCAGCATATTCGTATCGAATTCATTATAATTTTCTGTAGAGATTCTGTAAAAACAAATACAGTTATTTAACTTCTTTTAATAATTAGTGAACAGTTTTCATGTCAGCACACACATGCAGAGTTCACTCAAATACTCGTATTTCGTACAAAATACCACATTTTTTTTTAATAATAAGCAGTGTACCTATTAGAGACTATATTTTGTATAAACTATATTGTACTTATGTTTTTCATAAAACAGAATTATTGAAATAATATACGTACCTATCTGCAGCGAATGTCTCCTCACGATACTTGTCTCTCTTGTCTTGATAATCTCGGTCACGGTACTGGTCGGGTTCTTGGCGTCTATTTAAATGATAGAAATAATATTTAAAACACCGAAATTAAATTTAAGCATCTGAAATTACTAAATCCATGAACATGAAGAGGTTTGATTTAGTGCACATTTAGTAATTTTTGATACTTATTTAACTTGTTAGCAACAAGTTAGTGTTTAACATTTTCTTTTTATAATAACAAACTATAATAAAGAAGTCAATATGTACGACATAACATAAGAAAGAAGTGCTTAGCTATCTTCCTTGATTTGGCCAAGGCATTTGACACGGTCTCAATTCCCCTACTTTTAAATAAAATGGAGCGCATTGGTGTCAGAGGTATAAGCACTCTCGCTATTCAAAGACTACCTTAATATTTTTTTAATTAATCTACAAAATATGTACATACCCATATTGTAGTATGTGAATTTGTGAGGAGAAATAAAGATATTTATTATTATTATAAACAATTTTTAACTATACCTTTCTCTATAGTCTCTGCCTTCTTCATAGTCTCGACGCTTAGGTCCTCTATCTTCATACTGATTGTATCGGTGATATCCTTTAAGAAATTTAAATAATTTACCATAGAATTTAAATAAGACCATATAAAAGATTTTTATTTATACAATATTATTTTGTGATTTTATTACCTCTTGTGTCTTCTCTTTGTGGATGGTAGTTATCTTCTTTTGGCTTCCTTCGATATTCACCTTGTGGTCTCTGATCTTCGTATCTCTGTTGCCTATAGTGTAATGAAGCTATTAGGATATATTATGATGAAATAGGAGTATTTCAAGAGATAAATATGATATCCTCATAATTATGAAGAATGGCAACTACATGTCTAGATGATGAATGGAAAAAATGAACACAGAATTGATGGCAAGTACTTGATAATAGTACCTTTTATATTCATCGAATTCCTGTTGTCTTCTAGAAAAATCTTGATTTATATCATTGTAATATGAGCTATGGCCATATTTGTCTCTATTTTTATCATGCTGATATGATCCATATCTGCAATTTATATTTGAATATGCTTTTCTTATTAAAATTTTATGAGAACTTTGATTTACTTTATTTATTTACAAATGTACTAGACAATGAATGAATACCTACATCAATTGTAACTTGTGCATTATTGTGCTCAATAACATAAAACCAATGTTTAGTTGTGGAATCAATCAAATTATTCTTATAATTACACAAAAACTGTGATTTGAAGGTGTCACAATATTTCTCATCATAAGGTACTCTTTATACCTGTACCTGTCATTGCGGTCTCTTTCGTAATACTCCTGATATTGGTGATGTTTGCGTTCCTTACTAGAACCACGATAAAATCGCTGCACCTCTCTTTCCCTCTCGTAGTCTCCATCAGAAACTGAATGACGATATTCCTTCCTAAATAAAAAATTCTATTAAATAAACAAATATTCAATATATACCATTCTTAATCTATAATTAAAGGCTGATTGCAGAACTTATAAAGCTGAACAGAACATTTCTACAATTGTTTGAATTTCACGTGAAATAAAATGACACTGACATTTCCTGATATTGTAATGGGTTGTGAAACACTGATCAACAATTAAACAATGCATGAAAGACAACACATAATCAGTTCAGAAGAAGTAAAATCTCTGAATGCAAGAAAATTCATAAACTTATTGGAGGCTACCAGGTTTAAAGAGCTATTCTGAAACTGGTAGGTCATAATATATTTTTAGATAGGCAGTGACTAAAGATTCCATAAACCTAGAATAATAAATAAATATTCCTAAGTTATAGAGATTAAAACTCTTACACTTGGTTTCTCAATCACATCACTTAAGCAGGTTTTCCTTACTGATTTTAATTTTTTAAATTATTAGTGATAGCAGTTTATTAAAAACTATGACTTTTTCCATCAGTTATACAAACATCGATTAAGGTTTAATTAAGGATGCCTTTAAGCTCTTATGAATGTCAAATTTGTATGGGTAATGTCGCATTAAACTAATGACAATTTTAATGAATGTTAGTGCAACTGACTTTTTGCCTTGTGAAAAGTTAAAAAACTTAAGTATTGAAAATAAGTTGAGATTTTGTACTTTTCTCACTTCAGAAACAGGCTGTTAATATTTTTGGAAACTTTATCATATGAGGGTGGATAGAAAAGTTCGCAGCCTAACACATAAATACTTAAACTATTTTAACGTAACTGACTCATTCAATTAGTTTACTCTCTGGTTGTCAAATTGTAAAATTCTATCGCAATAGCATTAACTGTATTTAAATTAAACTGCATTTTGTGAATCTTTGTGCAGCATTTTTCAAGAATGGAAAAAATTTAGCAACTATAAAAACACCTTGAAGGTCAAAAATTTTCATCAAATGAGGAGGTTAAAGCTGCGGTGGGTGACTTTTTTGAAGGCCTTGAAGAAATTTTTTTATGACCGGGATACAGGCGTTGGAAACCAGATAGAAAAAGTGCATAGAGTTAAGTGGATAAATAAAATTACGTTTGCTTATATCTTATATTGTTTTCTTGCTGACGCCGCGAACTTTTCAATCCACCCTCATACATAAATAAATCAATTTCTTGGACCAAAACTACAAATTTATAAAAACAAGAAAAAGTTAAAACTCAAAACAATGAAGCTTTACTTAAGCAAATATTGAATTGGACCATTTGATATAATGTCATAACTTTGATCATCAATTAAAACCTAGCATAGCCATTTAAAGTTATTGTTTCACTATCAGTGGTGTAACTATACCGTTTGAGGCCCATGCCAAATTCATAATTTTTTTTTGTACTAATAGCGTAATAATAAATGTCAGGTGTCTTCTGACCTGGAGCCCCTTCCAGCGGGGGGCTCATGGCGTTTTGGCGACTTGCCATCCTGTAGTTACACCACTGTTCACCATGCCAAGACAGAATATTGTGTAACTAATTCTGCAATCAATGTTAAAGTCATGACAGTTATCATCACATCCGATATAAACCTCGACTATTATGGTGCATACAGCCTAATATTCAGTTAGTAACATGCTAAGACAGAAATAAATTGAACAAATAGGAAATAAAATAAATCATTTAATAAAAGAAGAAGAATAATTGTAATGGTATGTTAACTTACTGATAGTAAGTGTGTGACGGTTGACTGTCTGCTGAAGAAGCTCTCCGTTCTTTCACCACACTATGAAGACGACGCTCCACACGAGCTTCTTCTAAAAACACATAATAAGTAAACAACCACTTCCATAAAATAAATTATTTTACCGATTGAATTAAATGGCAGGAAATAGATACCTAATTCACTTTCAGAAGAATTACGAGCACGTTTGCTATGTTTATGCTTATGCTTGCGTTTCTTTTTTGGAGAAATTTCACCTTCACTTATCGACCATAACTCCTCTGCTGATGCACTAACATCTTGTGAATTAGCTCGTCGCTTCTTTTTTGCATGCTTCTTCTTCTTTTTCTTATGTTTACGTTTCTTCGAACGTTTTTGGCCTTCAGTATCGCTATCAGAGTCTGACGAATCAGCACGTTTCCTTTTTTTCTTGTGCCGGTGTTCCGAAACAGAGGAATCATCAGTTTCACTATCGGAAGAACTGCTTGATTTTACACTGTCATCCGATATCTCGGATTCTTCCGAAGAACTTTGATGCCGTTTCTTTGATTTCATCTTAGATTAGCCAACTTTATTCAAAGAGCACCAACAACAATCAGATAAACTAAAATAACACGATTTGACAAACTACCTAGAACCACAGACCAAGAAGAACATACTAATTATTACGCACCAGCGGAAACGAACGAAAGCGAAGCCAAAGACAACAGCATAGATAATACATAATACAGCGTTAAACGTAGACCATATTATCTATGACGTAGTGTATAATAAGGCATAGAGATAATATTCTTTTATGTCTATGAAATGAGGAAGTATTTAAAATAAATAAAGATAGCAGCACAAATGAGGAAACATGAAATCAAACTAGATGTCACTAGCGATGTTTGGATCTTGTCAATGATTTTTTTTTTGTTATAGTGGGCAGACGAACAGACGGATCACCTGATTGTAAGTAATTACCGTTGCCCATGGACACCTGCAACACCTGAGGGGCTACAAGCGCACTGCCGGCCGAATATCCATTCAAATTTTGTTTCTGACGTAATAAAATTAAATTGAGTATAAAAAATTAATAAATATGATTTATCATATCTAACTTTCAAATTAATTTTCATTTATTTGAATCGTAAGCTTAAGTTATTTATTATGTTACGTGTAAAGGACCGATGTTTGCTTTATATATCAACATTAGCGATGTGCCAACTTATTGTTGCTCGTAACTTCAATTGACTCGATTCATCCGAATTCAGGTTTGGAATCAAGAACAAAAGGTGGAACACTGAATTCAGTGCTGCCATCTAGTGACATTATTTTTTGTAGTTTCTTTATTTTTTTAATACTTCCTTATTGTAGAATCTGAATATTAATTCATGACGTTAGATCAAAAAAGAGTAGAGTTTGGCAAGCGAAACGTGACACCACCTATTTTTCCGTTTTCATATGGCAACAACATAGAACTGTCAGTTTGACACTACGTTAGACAATTCAAGAATATTGAATTTTGTTGTTTTTGCGAATTTGAACTTGTGTTTTTGGTTAAAAATTATGTCGAAGCCGATAAAAAGTTCATCGAGGAAAATTCTTTCCATCATGATTGACAAGTTTACTGAAGTGAAAACTGAATTAAATAAAAATTTCATGGAGAAATTACAACGATTAGATAAAGTTGTATCTTTTTTAGGTTAGTTTTGTATTATAATTTTGATACTTTCGTTTTAATTTTCTGTAATTAACTAAACAGATATTTTTTATAAAATATTGCTCTATTTCAGATAACTGTGATGGTGATATTCAACCAATAATGGAGGAGATAAATGCAATAAAAACTTTAGAAAAACAAGAAATGCTGAATTCGGAAACGCAGTACTTACAAAAAATTTCTTCAATGACAGGTCTCTTTTCTTGTTTTGATTTAAGATAGATTGATAGTATTCCTATAATATTTACATAGGTTTTTTATGATGTATTGGTTTTTATTGTTGACATCCAATGATGTCATAAGAATGTTTTGTTTAACAAGGAAATTCACAGAATTCATGAAACTAATCAAACCATGTAATTGTTATACATGCTAAATATGCACATAAACTTAACTAAATTAAATATAAATTGCATTCATAGTTGAATAGGTATTTAAATTATTTTGATGTATGTGTCTATCATTATTTGCTTTTAAATACATTTAACATATCTTTGTTTCAAAGTGTTTAATCTTTTATAGATGTAAGTATAAGGACACTAAGAAGGATAAAAAATGAAGCATTAATTAATAAAGGAAAATGGGACACTCCTGGGAAAAAACGACCTCATCAACCAACAGTGTCTGCTTTAGATAATTTTGATTTAAGTGCAATTCGGAATAAAGTAAATGAATTTTACTGTGTGAAAAAAATTGTTCCAACATTAAGAAGCCTTCACAATGAATTAAAAGATGCAATAGGATTCAGTGGTAGCCGTGAGACTTTACGAAAAATTATGCTTAAGAATGGATTTTCTTTTAAAAGCAATGAAAATGAACGTTCTATGCTTATAGAAAAATACCAGATTTCTGCATGGAGGCACAAGTATTTGAGAGAAATAAATATAAAACGAAACGAAGGAAAGCAAATTGTGTACCTTGATGAAACTTATGTATATAACATCAGAATTATAAAGTTAAAAAGTCTTGGCAAGGACCTTCAACAACTGGTGTCACTACAAAGATATCCTCTGGAAAACGGCATATTGTTGTGCATGCTGGATCTGAGGAAGGTTTTGTGCCTGGTGCATTATTAGTGTTCAGTAGTAAATCCAAATCTGCTGATTATCATGATGATATGAACTCATCGAACTTTATGAAATGGGTCAGAGAAAAATTAATACCAAATTTAAGTAAGCCCAGTGTAATTGTTATGGATAATGCCAGCTACCATATAAAACAAATCAATAAACCGCCTATAATGTCTAATACCAAAGCAGATATCCGTAAATGGCTTGTAAATAATGGAATACATTTTGAGGAATATCAGACAAAGGCAGAGTTAATGTGTTTGGTTAATGATAAGAAAACATTGCCTGTATATGAAGCTGAAGAGATTTTAAAAGAACATAATCATGAACTTTTATTGCTGCCACCGTATCATTGTGACTTAAACCCAATAGAGATGGTTTGGAGTCAAGCAAAAAGAAAAATTGCAAGCAGAAACATTGGAATACCAGGAAAGGAAATGGAAAACTTAATAATAGAGTGTTTTAACTTAATTACCCCTAGTGACTGGAAGAAATACACTGATCATGTTTTAAATGTCGAAAATGATTACAAATTAAAAGATGGCATTGTTGAAAACGAACTTGAAAAATTTATTATATCTGTTGGTGCAGACAGTAGTGAAGAGAGTGACTCTGATGATTCCTTGTCATTGTTATCAGGTGTAGAATATTTAGAAACAGATTTTGACTATGAATCAGACTAAAGTATTTTTAGTCTGATTCATAGTCAAAATCTTATCTTAAATTTTCTATTGTGATTAACATGATGATTTTGTGACACCTGTATTATGTAATTTATCCATGGCACTTAATTGTAACAAAAATAAATGTTTTTTTTATTGTAATCTGGTGTTTATATTGACTAATTTAATTTGATAGATAGTGGTTCTGGATCAGAGCAAAAGGTTGTGATGAAAATCCCTTAGGAGACATGTATGTGTTATGAACACATTATAAATATAAGGGCCAGAAATCAAAATTGGCTAACATCACATTTATTAAAAAAATGTGGCCAGAGTCGCCCATATTCATTACAAAAAAACAAAGAAGTCGTTGCAAAAAACACCCTTTTAATTAATGACAAATATGAATTTTTAATATTATAAGTGCTGTTAGCCAATAGGTATAACGAATGGGTTAAAAAAAAGATTCGATTTAGTCCGTCAGTCAGATAATAGAAAAATATTGGATACGTATTTTTTTTCGCTTTAATTTAACAACAAATGGCTTAAGAGGTACTATGCGACGACTTCAAATATGCTTTGCAACAATGTTACTTTAATACAGTTTATCGATACGAAATCAAGTGTCAAAATGGAGTCCAGTGGAGAATGCCGATATTGACATTTCGAAATTGCTCATCATTGATAGAGAATACGAAATAGTGATTTTGACACAATCAAAGTGTCTATTTTTTACGGTGATGACGATTCTTGGTTGTCAGTTGAGTTAGTGAATAGGCCTACTGATATGCTGTTAACTGTACAATTAAGAACAGTCACGCTTTAGTCAAATGTTCCAAAACAAATAATTTTAATTGATATCTAAATGTTAAGATTAAATATAATTAATAAAAGTATCAAAATTATTTTGCAGTACTACATTCAGTGTTTACTGCTTAAGAATTTTTGAAATTGCCGCCCTTTTCTTGTGACACGTTTCGCTTGCCAGACTCTATTATCAGTATTGTGAATCTGATAACTTGGATTAATATCGTGATGAATAACAATTAGTTCAAGTTACGCAAACGCAACTCGATTAATACCAATGAATCTTTGAATAAAATTTTTTCTTATTTTCATAAACGAAAATGGAAACTAACTCAAGGGAAGTGAGCATAGAGAAGGTGCAAATAAGTCGTCCATTCGAAATTAAGTTTTTTTTAACTAAGAGCCGTTACTAAATCTAATATTAATAATTAAGGTATCTTAACAAATATTTACAATCAACAAGAAATGAAAAGCAAGGTTATAGCTTTAAATTTCAATATCACAAGACACGTACAGTTATTATACTATCGCTACTGAACTTGCATGTTAACGGCGGACATCGAGCCACGTGATATGTTAATGAGGAAGTATTAAAAAAAATATTAACTACCGGAATCAAGCTAGATGTCGCTACAGTACGTTCTTGATTTCTCCATGACAACCTTTCCGGTTTCCTTTCAAGTTTAAAAGTAAATTAGTTTCAAAATTCAATAAACAACTCATATTATATTTGTACTTTTTCGTATTTGTATTGATATCTAAGTTTTGAACTTTTCAAATTTCAGTTTTTTAATATGTTACCTATTTGTTAATAGAAAATCTACTAATCATATCGATCCCCTAAGGATTGCTCAGCCAAAGTAGCTACTACACTACGTTTTAAGAAATAATCGAATGTTATTTTCGATTACAAAATCATATTATATAGTAATTAATTGTTCTAAAAATCGATTAATAGATTCCATGCACCACTACTTACTCTACGAGTCTATGGTATGCTGTTGTGGAAAGAAGAATAATATAGAGTATCTTTTTCTGTGCTTCTTCTTAATCTATGAGAAGAATGAAAGATTACTTTATAAAGAAGACAAACAAAAATTTAGTAAACAAAATTTACTTCCTTTTTAAAATCAAAATCTAATTTAATCATAATCATTTTGGTGTAATTTAGTATTAACTATGATTAAAGTTGCCTTAGATTATATCTAAGGGACCAATTACAAGTTTATGAATTATTCGTGGTCGATATCTAACTTCTATATTTTGATTTCATTTGATTCATAATGGCTATGAGAAAAAGAAGCGGTTCTGGCTCGAAAAGACATTTAAAAGAGAAAGTTGTGCAAATATACGAGTCCTTTTTTAGAGGGGATGATTTGACCAGCGATAACCCTACTTTTTGGGATGAATTCTTTTTACTGAAACCAAAAATACCTCAGTTGGAGGCTGAAATTCATAAGCTTTCTGCAGAACAGTTGATGAATATGACAGAGAGCATCAACATGTTAGTAGCGCAGTGTATAGAAATGTTAGGGCAGGAGCATCATATAAGGTATAAAAAATATAACAGTAGTAGTAGCTGTGTATATTCATATTTTCTTGAATAAAAACTAATGTAATTTTTCTGTTACAAATGTTTGCTTTCTAGGTTGGTCTATGGCCTACAAACAATGAGTGCTCTTCTAATTACAATGTATCAAAGAGTTAGTCAAGATTCTAATATTAATATTAAAACTATCCTTATAGGCGAAACTGATAGTGACTTAAAAATGCAAAAGCTTCTTGAGCATTGCAGCAATATATTATCTGGTAGGTGGCATTACATTTAACATGATAACAGGTAAAGTAATCTAAGCACAACATAATTCAGCCATTTGCTATTTTTCTTATGTTGATGATTAGGATATAAATAAATTGCTAGGGGTACAGGCCTTACCTATAAATCGAACCAAAAAGCAAGATTGAGATGACTCAATTTGTGGGTATGGTATGAATTGGTCAGTTTTACATTTACTAATGCAGCTTGAACCAACAGCTTAACATGTCCTTCAATGCATAGAGGAACTCTACTATAATTATATTATAAGATTGCATATAAGATCTTTAAGACAATTTGTTAACAAACTCCTATTTGAAAGTTCTATAAATAATGCATCAAGAATGAAACAATGTTATATTAATTTTTTATTTCCAATTTGTAAAATTATACTGTCATTGATTTTCTTATTTCATATATTTTTTCTAAATGCAGGTGATGTTCCAGAAAGTTTGAAATCAATGGTTCTCAAGCTGTTACTAATAATAGCAACAGGAATAGATAGTATTGATGAAAATCCGCTTGTTGAATATTTAATGTTAAATTCTTTATTTGAACCACTCATACAGTTATTATGTACATCTACAGAAAGACAACAACATGGTATGATTTTTAATAAAACTTTTTTTTTAATATTATTTCATATTTTATGTGGATTCAACTATTTATTGTATTTAAATTGAATACATAAACTTCATATTCAGTTGTCTATATTATAATGCAGTTACAATATTAGTGTTCGTGTTCACATAATGATATTATTAAAATATTTTTCTGTTATTTCAGGATATGATGTTGTAATGCTACTCATGTTATTGGTCAACTATAAAAAACAAGAATCGGCAAATCCATATGTTGTAAAATTATCAATACTTGATGATGAATTAGCATTGAATGGGTAACCAGTTATTATATTTTGTAGTTATTACAATTGCACTGTAAAATAATAATTTACAAATAATAATAATAAGCAATTTACTAGTTTATTTTGTAAGTTGCAATGTAATTTTTTTAATTTGAATCATATTTTATTGTTTTTTGGAAACTGGTTTTACAGTTATAAAATTTTTTACAGGTATGGCCAAGTGATTATGGCAACATTAAATGATTTTGTCATGACTATATTTGGAGGAATGCAAAGTGGTGGGGGTGGAAGTGGCTGGCTATCTTCACTCACAAGCATGGTGGGGGGGATATTCCTCACTAGTGATGACACTCAACCAGTTGTCAGAGGACAAAGGAATAGGTATGCATATGCTCTGTATTATTCCAACAACTTTCAAGTCAATACACAAGCCCGCATTTAATTTTAAAAAATATTGAGATTGTAGATTTAACTCTCAGCATTTCACAAAATGTGCTCTTTGTCTATATTATCATTACAGGACTTATCTTGACCAAATGGTTGGAGTTAATGTAAAATATGTATGTAGTTAACTAGCTGTTTTCTCATGATTTAGGCCATGATAATATTGCATTTTTTACCACATATTTTAGGTGAAAGAATTGTTATTATTGGTCGCATAATTTCGGAGCTTATTTAATGCTTACAAACAATTAACACAGTTATTATATATAAAATAAAAGAAACTAAATCAAACGATCTTCGTAATGATGATGCGACATATATATATACTTTTTGTCACCTATGATCCCGAAGCACCTAATAACTTTTACTTGGAAATTCTGGAAAAGTGTTTGATGAAAGGAATGTTAGTAAAATGTATTATTACAACTTGCACAATGTATCGAGATTTCATACTTGTATGTAGTTGCATTATTCAAACTTAGTTGGTGAATAAAAAAAAATGTAATAAAATTGTGGGCAATAAGGTTTTTATATATGGATATCATACTTTATATATATTTATTATAGATAATTTTGTCCTTTTTATGCCAAACCGGCAAGAATCTGCAAGGGCTGCTTTTTTTCTCCCTGTTTTATTTCATACAGAGTCGTCAAGATTGAAAAATGACTTGATTAAAATATGAATTTACTTTCCATTACAATATTAGAAAATATTAAAAAGTATATATTTATATACTCATCAATTGAATCACATGTCAAACAATAATATTTCAATATATTCTTAATGAAAAATGCTTAAAAAATCAACTTTGTCCCTCAGAGTGCAAAGGACAAAGTGGAATCATTTATTTTTTCAGTAAAACGTGGTGAATTCAAAATTTATCAAATATAATAATTTAATGTACCTATGTAAAGTAAAATAAAATGGACAAGAAAAAGTATTCTTTAACAGACTCGTCTCCAATAACAGCACCCGTTTATGAGCATGACGCATAGGCCAGTCATCGCCTCGCGTTCCGATTTCTTATTAATTTTGTCCCGATTTTTGATAACACTCCACAATCGCTCCATTTGCGCCCATACCTAAGGCGATGCAATTGACATCCTTATAGTCTATGATATTCATGATTTCGCCTCTGCCGTTCTATGACGGCAGTGCGTAATGCATTTTCTCTTCAATTTACTTAATAATTTGAAAATTTATTAATACGACAGCTAAAATAGAACTAAAAAGTAAAATAAAAATCAATAAGGCGAGTTTATGTCTACTTGTTACAGGGTTGATAAATATCAACGAATATATATCTTCAATTGATATTAATAATATATATTGAGCTGCTGAGATTCAATGTCTCAGTTAAAAAATTAAATAACTCAAAGTCAAGCTTTATTTTAAACTTTTGCTTTAAAAGATTAAATATTAAATATAGCAGCTAAAAAATCGCAGATTTTCATATTCATTATATATATCAGATAAATATCAAATATCGGATATTTTGATATTTATTATAAATATCGGATTTTTGCGAACCCTAATTTTGTACCTTAATTGAATAAAAAAAAAAATTTTATTGTACCTATGATCCTACATCCAATTATTTCTGATTACCTTCCGAATGTCCCGAATTTTGTTTCAAAAGGTACCAACACTGGTTACTTATGTGAGTGAGGCACTAAACTTAGTAGCCTACTAACCCCATGAGAGGCGGGATCAGGACCGGATCAACAAGTCCACAGGATACTTATTTGTCTACTCGAATTTACGATTTAATCAAAGCAATTTGCAGCCCCCTCAGGACCCGAGGCCACGGGGGTGGATCGCCCCCTCCCCCCACTTGTCCACTTGCCTAAACTTTATTATATCGAACAGCGACGGTGAGGAAGGTATGCTGCTGGCATTGTACGAAGCTGCGCATCTAAACCGTAACTTCATGACGACTCTCGCGCATTCCTCTGCCGCGACGTCTTCCACGCCACCATCACCGCCTGCCACGTTACCGCCGCATGCAGTAAATATGCTATTTATTTTTATTTGATTTGTGACAATAAACATTCGTTCTTAATACAAAATGCTTGTTTGAGCTGCAAAGCTGTTTGAGTGGATTTCTGAGCATTGATGAGAATGCGCTCTGTAGTAGCGAAAAGTAACAAGTGCTTGAAGGATTCGTCAGTCCATTTAGGTCCTGGGTAACTCGGTGGTTAGAACAGTCGCCCGGATTGCGAAAGGTCGTGGGTTCGAATCCCATCTCAGGGTGCCAGTGACCAAGTGGATTTTTTAAGCATTTTATATTAAGAATATATTTCAGTATAGCATTGTGAATGCCAAATGGATCAAATATAATAAACATACAGTAATCAAAAAATTAAACAGTTTGTAGTATATGTGCCAAAAAAAAGCTTTTATTAATTTAGTACTAAAATATTGTTAATTTTAAAATTGCTTATCTTCATGCCTCATCTCCAAACGATACTTTATATAAAAATTAATATAATAACAAAAAAAATTATATTGTTAAATTTTTATGGTATTTATTTCTTTTGTGTAGAAACTTTTATAAATTCGTGTTCAAAATATCTGATATCTCATATTCTTGGTAATAATTAGAAAAAATATTGATTTTTAGGCTCCACCAAATTTGGCCCAAATACAAGCCTTGGACAATGATCAGCCCACTAATCTTCTAGTAACATTCTTCCAATATTGGTGAGTGTTAAGACCTTATATGAATTATATTAAAGTAAAAACTTCTCGCTTGTAAAGGGCCATCCATAAATTACGTCACACGTTAGGAGGGGGGGGGGAGGACGAACTGTGACATTAGAACAATATTTAGTAGAATTTGTATAGACAAACAGGTGACATGAGGGCGAGGAGTTAAAAATCATGAATTTTGTGTGACATAATTTTTGGACGGTACTAAGGTACCCCTAAAGGTAAAAAGTAAAATCTTTTTCTTTTTATTTTAATAGTTCTATAGTAATGGCGGACACAAGAACAGAGGCAAGCATAAACAAATGCAGTTTATGTTTCATCACACTTACTTGTATAGTGGAAGAGCAATTCGCGAACTCTATAATGCATGACCAAAACTTAACATTTAAGGTAAGAGATATCCCGATTAAAATGTCTATTTATTAGTGAAATAAATTATAGAAATGTTGTATTCATTTACAGGTACAATTATACAGATTACCTATGAGGCATAGAAAAATAGTACCCGAAGAAACAACTTCTCAGCCTTTAGCTTCCACATTAATAGGTAAACACGTAGATTGTTATTAAATCGAATCATTTCTTAGAATCCTCTTAAAGTGGTTGTATAAAGTTTATATGATGACGACACTTTTAAGTGAAAATGATAGGTGTAGACAGTACTTAAAATAAAATTCATATATATTTTATCACTCTGACGCTTATTAATATTTATAATATTACTCGTCACGTGACCACAAACAGCGTGTGACGTCAACAAAATTAATTACAATACACTCATATTTGGGCAGTTATGTAAGAAATCCGTTGAATCGAAATCCTCCTTTATTAAGTCATTTAAAAATAGGCTTCTGGAAATACTCGAATATGGAATACGAGAATATTCTTAATGAAAACAATGCTTAAAAAATCCACTTTGCCCCGAGGTACTCTGAGATGGGACTCGAACCCCCGACCTTTCGCAATCCGGGACCCCCGACCTTTCGCAATCCGGGCGACTGCTCTAACCATTGAGCTACCCAGGACCTTACAGAACTGACGAATCTTTCAAGCACTTTTTTCTTTTTTGCCTCTGGCGAGCGTATTTTCGTTAACCCGTATCCATTTTCATTAAGAATATTTTCCAATATAGCATTGTGAATGCAAAAAAATTAATGAAATATAATAATAACGAGCACTATAAGAGTATGATCCGAATTGTGAAGGAGTTAAAGTATTCTGCTTCCAACAGACCTTCTAGTCGAGTTCATAATGTGCCACCTGCTGAAGAAGTTCCCAGGGGAACTATACGAGTTGTGTGTAGGAGTGTTGCTCAGGCTACTTAGTTATCAGAAACGGTGCCGAGTGAGACTCGCGCGAGACTGGCGCCCCCTGTGGGCGGCTCTCATTGCATTACTCAAGTTTCTCGTCACCAACGAAACTGTACTCCTGCGCAGGCATAACATATTCACAATGGCCCAGCAGGTACTTACGAACCTCAGATTAATTTTTTTGTAAAATAAGTACTTGTCATCGTCATCATCAGCTATTATGTCCTCACTGTAGGGATTCAGACCTACTTTATGGGTAGTTAAGGACCTGGCCCAATGTGGATTGGAGAGTATTAATGACGGCAAATGCATCCGGGACCAATCCTTGCGAACGTCACTAACCAAAAATGACCGCAGGCCACAGCGTTTATCTACTACGCTACCGAGCTACTTAAGTACTTGTATTCCGAGATAAATAAAATAAGTACAGTAAAATAATAGGCATAGCTTAACTTCGTGTTTTCGTAGATGATCGAGAGACCTAGATAGAATAATGATATACAGCCTTTTTTACAGATTGTATGCACTTAAACAGAACAAAATACTTGAAAATATTACATAAAAACAAAACACGATGTCGGGTTATCAGTTCAGTATAGTTCTAAATATCTATATGCACATCCTTCTTGTTTTCAATATTATCAGCAAACTGAAAAATTTATGCCACTCGCGCGGCTTACAACTAATTTGCTGTTTTTATAAATGACTTTGATATTTATTTAATTGCGGTAAAGTTGAAATTGTAAATGATTTCTATGGTTAAATTTTAGGGTAAAATGTTTATCGATATTTCGCCAATTGTTGGCCGATTTTCAAAAATATTTTTTTATTCTAAAACTTAATGGACCGAAGAGGTCCCAATGAAATTTAATCGAATCGAATCAGTAGTTTTCCTTTTATAACAAAACAAAATACGCCTAAATATTTAGATGATTGTTGATTTCAACTAAAAAACAAAAAAAAAGCGTATTTTGAATACGTTCAAATTCTGAAAGGAGGATTTTCTCTGTTCGAGTAGTTGGTATATTTTTTATGAAAGTTGTAATTGTGAACCAATTTCTGTCAAACTAGCTGTATCCCCGCGACTTCGGCGGCGCAAATTATAGCCTATGTTAAATATGTATTATGTAGCTCCCTGTATATGAAACACTTTTATAAATCGGTCTTATAGCTCCGGAGCCTATCCAATACAAACAAATCAGCAATCATATCTTTCCTCTTAATATCAATGTCACTAAAAGTATCATATAAAAATTTATTCGAGAAAATGCTATTGAAATCTAACGCCAATCATTTCATTAATAACCTTCGCCCGACTTCAATAGCATTTTCTTGAATAAGTCACTTTTGAGATAATTATTATTTATCACTTTTTGAAGTTTGAAGTTGGTTCAATTTTTTTTAAAAGATTTTATTGTTAAAATCTTTGTATTGTCAGACGATTGTTTATGATGTTTTGCGATTCCCATAATTTATCTTGAAGCACTGAATAATATTTCATGAACTTAATCCAATATATTTGTTGCAGGTCGTAAATATCTTCAATTTGTTTATAACTTTTGGAGACACGTTTTTGCCGACACCGGCTTCTTATGACCAGTTGTACTATGAGTTGATTAGGATGCATCAAGTGTTCGATAATCTATTTTATATGGGTATGTCTTACAATTGCATTATATTATTTCAAGCTTGAACTCACTTTGTACACAAAACTTACAAATTCAGATTTTATTTTAAAGGCTTCATTACATAACACAAACAAGCGCCATCTATTTAGGGAAATATCATAGTTATAATTTACAAGGAGGAGGGAGGCAGGCTTAAGACTTATTTTTTCTTTTGAACAATCCATAAAATTCTTACATAATAATCATTGATCATTTATTCCGCGCTGGTCACAAAACCGTTACAGCTTTGCTGGACGTCGCACAGACAGGTATTTGGCCCTAAAAGTTGGACAAAATCCATTTTTTTTGTTTTAGTAAGACACTCTTTTTTATTATTCCTCGAAATTCAACAGTATCCCCTCCTAACAATAGCACGAACCCGATACGCTAGAGTCTTTCCCCCGCTCCATACAGTCAGTCGGAAGTTACCGTTCGCTTGACGTGGTCGTGTAAATTATTCAATACGCTCGACTTTCGTTGTTTTCAAATATTAAATTTATGGCGAAAAAGTCTATTTCGTGTGAGTTTCTACTATGAATTGTACACAATCAGGTATGTTCTTTATATTTTATTTAGTTTTGTTATGAAAAGAGGGATTTTTTGTACCTTTACCTCCATTAGTAAGTAGCCCTTAAAAAGTCGTATAAAATACGCATTTTAAAAAGTCATTAAGCGTTTTAAAGTATTTCTGAGCATTTCTAAGTAAAAATTTTTATGATTTGTTTTAAAGCAGACTCTATAGTATTCTAAAATGCATAGATCAGCCACCCAAACCCACCCCTCTATTTTTGGCAATTATTTTGTTGCATGGACTAAAAAAAACATGTGTTCTGTGTTTTTATGAAAATTGGTTTTTCTTGTTTCCAGGCTTTTCTGGGGTGCGGGTATTAACTAGAAACTATTAATTTACTATCATGGAACGCTCCAATGCGTCAACTTTTAACGAAAAGTTGGAATTTATGGAGTTGGAACTTCTGCATCAATACTCTGAAGGTGACCCAAACATTGCCGAAGCAAAGCATAAGTTGTCGATCATACGTCATCAATTCAAGCAGAAATGGTCAGCTGCTCGCAATACCAAAGCCAGATTCCTGGACATGAATAAAGAATGGCTCAAGGGCACCATATCCCTACCAAAATCGAGTACCTATTTACGTGAGACATTACTCTTTTTTTGGTTCGATTACATTTCATTGAATTTTATCAGTTACTAATAAAGGTTTATCTTTTGTTACAGGATTAAATACAGGTAGACCTCAAAAGTCATTCTCAGAATTATCTGAAAGGAGTAAAAGGCGAAAAACTGAAGATCTTCGAACATCTGACTTACATGAGCTGGCATACGCAACACAAATGAAATTGCGAAAGACTGGTGAAGTCGAAGCATCAAAAATCGTAAAGGTCCTTATCAGAAGTCCTCTGAAAGCAAAACAATATTCAGCAGCAATAAAAGAAAAAACAGCTGAACAACAAAAAGAAGTTTCAACGAAATTGGCACACCTTGTTTATGTTTGTTGAAGCGGGGCTTACTCAGGCACAGTATGAAGTGGTTCGAGACACAAATCCAGACTTTTACCCGTGCTATTCAATTCTAAAGAAGTTGAAGAAAGAATGTTACCCCGAAATCCACAGCATAACTGAGACCTGTGCAGAAGTAAGGGTACAAAGCTTAATGGATCACACAATCAAGCGGTTATTATTGCATCTTGGTGAGGAAGTCCTGGAGCAACTGACTGAATCTGAAAAGCAGTCCTTTGTGCTCATCAGCAAATGGGGTTGTGACGGATCTCAGCAGACTCAGTATAAAATGAAATTTGAAAATGAGACTGATTCCGACGCCAACATTTTTCAAAGCTCTGTCGTTCCACTTCAACTTGTCTATGGAAAGAAAAAAAAAATTATATGGCAAAACCCAACTCCATCATCACCACGATATTGCAGACCAATACGCATACGATATGTGAAAGAAAACACTGACGTAACCAATGAGGAGATCGAGTACGTTGAAACTCAAATAAAAGAACTAAGCAAGACCAAGATCGACGAGATATCCATCAAACACAAAATAGTTTTTACCATGGTGGACGGCAAGGTATGTAACGCAGCAACACATACCAAGTCAACCATGAGATGTTACATATGTGGCGCCACATCCTCCGATTTCAACGACCTTACAAAAGAAAGGCCCTGCAATACGGAAAATATGCGATTTGGTCTGTCTTTGCTGCACGCTCGAATAAGATTTTTCGAGAGCATTTTGCATGTAGCTTATAAATTACCGGTCATGAAATGGAGGGCTCGCCTGACTGCCGAAGAGAAGAAACTAGTGGAGACACGAAAAAAAGAAATCCAAACCAAGTTTCGTGAAGAACTAGGATTACTAGTAGATATTCCAAAGGCTAACTTTGGAAACACAAATGATGGGAATACCAGCAGGCGATTTTTCGAAGAATACGAAAAATCTGCAGAAATAACTGGGATAGACCAGAATTTAATCTACCGATTAAAAGTCATTCTAGACACCATGTGCTGCGGGATAAAAATTGATACACAAAAATTCGAAATTTACTGCAAAGAAACTGCTGAATTGTACGTTTCTTTGTACAATTTTCACCCAATGTCGCTGACATTACATAAAGTGTTGCGTCCTGGGTCAGCTGTGATAAAGGAGGCGATTCTGCCAATCGGGCAACTGTCTGAGGAAGCTGCAGAAGCCCGCAATAAGCACATTCGAGCCTTTCGGCTAAACTACTCCCGAAAATTTTCGAGAGTAGCTTGCAACACAGACGTTATAAATAGGTTGTTATTGACATCTGACCCCTTGCTGACGGGAATGAGAAACGCTAAACATAAAAGAAAGAGGAACCCTCTTTCAGCGGATACCATGAATCTTTTGGAGGAAAATGATATTTTCAATATTAGTATTGAAAATGATTCTGAAGATGATGAAAATTAGAAATAAAATTTGTTAAGAATAATGTTTGCCTTTTTTTAACTCTATTATACCTAAAACTAGAACAAAATACTTTAATAATACTATAAAACGCAAAAAATATTTTTGTCCGACTTTTAGGGCCAAATACCTCTCTGTGCGTCGTCGACTTTTTGACGGAACAAAATGTGGGTAACGGGACTATTTTGGTCCTATTAGATTTTACCCGCGCATTTCACACATCGAACCATAGTCTACTCTTGGCAAAATTATCGTTTTATGGTTTTGACAATAACGCATTGAAATGGTTTTCGAGCAATCTAAATGCACAGACACAAGGTGTTGAGATCTTGAATTCCACTACTGGTGAAAAGACATCTTTAGATGCCGTTCTTCTCGTTCAAGGTGTACCTCAGGGGTCAGTGTCAGGCCCAGTTCTTTTCTTTTATACAGTGCAGATTTAATCAAACGTATCAAGAACTGTAGGTATTATATATATTTATCTTTTAAATCAAATAATATATAGACTGCTTTACTTAAAAATATAGGATCTATGATTGGGCTGATAAGAATTGCTTAGTATTAAATCAACTAAATTCAAAATGTATTGTTTTAGGCTCAGACATTCAAGTTAATAGCATTAAATATAGTGAAAAACTGCTTCTATAGACTTTATAGTGTGTGAGTTCCTTTAAACTGACCTGAGGATGCACATTTGTGAGACCTTAGTACTCTTTAAACTGAATTATTCAGATACATTGATCGGGGGGTGTCTACTTAGATACACTAAGAACCTTATTCAGCGTGTACAGAACGCATGTGCCCATTTGCTTCTTTATCCCACGGAGAGCACATGTTACACCTTAACAGGGGAAACCTCATGAATATGGAGGCTAGCCGTATACTTCATTTTGCGTGTTTGCTGTTTGGTTTTATTACAGTTACCGGTTTACTGTACGACAAGCTCAATTTCTCTTGTGCAGTCAGGAATGCTACTCATCTTTTATATCCACGATATTTGTTGGTATAACATTCCTCTGCCTTTAAAATAGTTTCGTGCCGTCAAAACATTTAATAACAAATGAAAAAAAAACATCTATTTGATTTACAGAAGTTTATTTGAGTGTTGTGTTGTATGATTAGTATACAGATGTATAATTTAAACTGCATTCTCTTTTATCATATTATCTGTCATGCATGGTAAATACAATTTTTATTTTATTCATATTCATACGTATCGAATTCAAATATATAGGTAAAGTACTTCTTATAAATATTTATGTATGGTGCATAGTAGTAGTGTGTACATTGTATGGCTGCTAAATAAATAAATTACTGTTATTTTATCGGGTGATAAACTGATAAAAGTAATCAATTATTTGACTAAAGTTGACGAAACTTTATTTTGTGCCAAAAGAGGATTATTAAATTATTTGCCTACACATCAGCAAAAAGGTAAATAGTAATAGATAGTTTTATTTAATTACTTCGTAGTATTGACCTTAAAGATTTCGTAATCCATTTTAAACTGAAATGTTAACAGATAAAGGTTTAAAATCTGCTGAACTAACTTGATATACAGTCGACTGTTAAGTTGCGGCCTTAGAACGTCGATTTAAGTCTGAATTTAAAAGACTTACTAAATATTAAACCTTGCTTTCGTCACCAGCTTATTAACGTCCCTACTACTAGGGCTCAAGCTATCCCTATAACTGGAATTGCATCAAATCGAATTTGGATAATGGGGCTACGGGATACGGATACGGGAGCCAGTGCGGATTGGAGATGATTAACGACTGCAGATGCAGCCGTGACCAACGGCTTAACTTGCCTTCTGGAGCCTAACTTGCCGGAGGAGCTCGGGATAATACATTCTTGGTCACCTATCCTACGACTGGCCATTGCGAATGTTGCTTAACAACAATATCGCAGGCCGAGCGCGCTAACCACTGCGCCATCGAGCCCCTCCTTAACCTTGATAGCATATAACGGGCTCAAAACTAATTGGTTTAAAAATATTGAATGAAATGTAAAAATAACTTCCAGCTTTGAGGTATTCGACGGGAGATGGAGAATACAAAGCCGAGGCATTGCGGCTTGCGAACTGTTTAGTAAATGTGAGGGCTATTATACAACACTTTTCGCCTAAAATCGAGACTTGGTTAGCTTCACAAAACTTATCCACGCCCTCTGAAGACCAGGTTAGTTCAACCACGAAATCCTTTTTGTATTAAAGTAAATCGGAATCTTCCATCCTTTTTAATACAAAGTTTAAAACATAGTAACTACAGAAAACGGTATATTCTTAGTACTGATGTACGTAAAAGCTATAATCTTATATTGGTAATGAACCAATATAAGATTGTAGCTTTTCATTAAGAGTAAAAGAACATTTTTATATAGCAGTCATGGAAAGTTACGGCCCGCAATCACAATATATCACAAAAAAATAGTATATTTTTTTTAAATATTTAAAACTGCGCTTGAAGCCTGTACGGTGAGTTTATAAGTAATTTTAAGAGTACCTCGAGCGTGGGTGAGCGAGAGAGTAAATTTTTATACTTAAGTATGTTTTTTTTTTTTATTGGAACCAGGCCCGCTTATACATTCTAAATCTAAGAGCCTTTCCACACGACGTATATTTAACGCGCGTTGAACGCAATTAGGATGCCTAGCAAATGCAGGATCGTCGACCCGTTGTGACCTTTGCACACTAACCTCGCGCTTATATTTCTACAAACGCGCAGACAACGCAATAGATACGCGCGTTTGTGCTATACCTACTAACGCGCAGATGCCTTTTTTAATTGTAAGCACAGTATTACGATGACTGCCGTATGCGCACTCCTCCCCCGCACCCCTTTCTCCGCGGCTACACTTTTTGACGCGCGTTCGACTTACATTTGTTTTGATACAAAAGCGCGTATGAAGCGCGTTCGACTTGCGTTTGTATCTTGCGGGTACTAACTGCCAAAACTCGCTGATAACGCGCAGAGGACGCACTCGTCAAAACGCGCGTTGTCGGCGCCTAAGAAAAACGTCATGTGCAAAGGCTAATATATGGCCCACTGTAATTATGGATTTGGCACCCCTCCATTTAAGTATATAATGAGACCGTCGCAATATAAAATGTATTGGAAATATTCCATTCTGAAATAAAGAATAGCCAGTGTTATAATATGTATTAGATATTCAGTAAAATTATCAATAACCAAATGCAGGACTACCTTTAACAATGACAATTCCTTACTATTACTATTAAATTTATTTCAGATTTTGGACGTAGTTAGAAAAAACTACGATAGTTTAATATTAAAACTGCAAGAAGGATTAGAGTCTTACGAGAGGTATTCTGAAAAAGGTCACCGGCCTTTACTATCCAAGTTGGTTCTGACAGCAATAGCTGCCGCCAGAAATCGAAGTGACGCCGCAACGAAACATCTCAACACAGCTGCCGCTGATGCTGTGTCCCATTATGCTGGGATAGCTTGAAATTAACTCCTACTAATGCAGTTTGACAAATCAATACTATTTAATATATAGACACAGTAATATATTTTTAGATAAAACAAGGATGTGAAGAACTAAACGTGACATTTACGTAAACAAAGTATTTCGATAATTGCTTGATCGAACACTAACAAAAATAAGATATTTTTTTTTAAATCGTCTCTTTATGTGTAAAGGCCACTAACGTGGTAAAAATTCAATTTTTTGGCAAAAAATATTCATTAAGATAATCGCATCTAAATGGATATTTTAATATGAAAATGCTACTTATTGATGCAGTAGACTTAAACTTTTACTGTAGCAAAAAAAATACTTTGTTTCTTTTTCCAAAAATATTTGTATCTTTTGAGATGTTTATTGTAAATATTGATGAAATTCATCCTTAAAGTTGGAATAATAAACAAAAACAACACGTCAAATGTCACATCTCGTTCTTAGAGAAATAACACTTTATTGTTAACACCAAATAATATATATTTTTATTTCCATATAAACCAAAGCAGAGAGAAGGGTTGCTATTTGTTTGATTCGATATTGGTATAACCAATATCGAATCAGATCGAAATCTTCATTGTCTAAAGTTATTCAATTCAGATACTTATTTTACTCTTCATTTGCATGAATGTGACCATTTTTTGTTCATAATATTTAAGATTTTTTTATTTTCCCAAGTTCCTATTATTATTGTGATTTCATAAATGAAAAACTGATATACTCTGTGGACTACTAATATTATAGAGAAAATATGTCGAATCATAATATTATCGAATAACATTTTTACTTAAACATTGATTTATAATCATCATTAAATTACACAATGTGTATAGTTCCAGCAACAGAATTCAGTACTGCCATAGTGTTTTAATTATTTAAGATTTATAAAAAAAAAATGCAGAAATACCCTTTTTCCTGAATGTGAATATATACGAATCATATGCGTAGTAATATTTGACTATATCTAAATGTCGTGAATCTTATAACGTGTGAACGCTTAAAGAAAAAAAATGAATCAAAACAGACACAGTACCTAATAGGGATGACGACAAATTTTTGTTTGTTTGTCCGTCAGGTAGACTATTGAAAAATATTAAACACGCATTTTTTTTATTAATCATTAAATTACGGCGATACATTGAGTTAAAATGTCACACGACGTCACGTTCGTAAATCTACATTACTGTGACGTAGCGAGCCCCCGATCCACCACTTTAATAAATAACAAAAGTATATATTGCTATTGCCAAATATATTACTTAGCTAGTGATACCTACATACCTATTATAACATTAAAGTGTGCTATATAAATAGACTTAATATAATGGGTTAAAAATCCGTTGTCATGGACTTTCTTGTTGTAGCTTTTCTTTAGTTAGAATATATAAATTATCTTGATTTATTTTTATACTGTAGTGGTATAATAATGCTTTGATTTAATTTATCCAATCATTGTAATATGATTTTAATATAACAGCATATCCCTTTGTAGCTATATTTACACAAATACTAATATTCTAATGCATAGAACTGAATTTATTTAAAGTATGAATGTTATCCTTAATATAGGATTTATCAATTTATTTTAAAATTATATAATACATATTGGCTCATTTATATTGATCGATAAGACCTCCATGCAGAATACGAACGATGCGTTCATTACATTGGTTAACCAATATAAATCAGTGATCGCCCAATGAAAATGAAGTACATGAATCGATCGCACACCCCACGCGGGCTCTATCGACCAATGTAAATGAGCCATATTAGATATTAAATAATATAAGTTGTTGATAATGCTAATAAAAGCATATTTGTAAAACTTCGTTGTAAATATAATTAAAAATATTTTGTGCAAGTTTAAGTATTTTTATTGAAAAAAAAAATCTTTAGATATTTAATAAGTACCTAAACAAAAATATACATGGGGGTAGTTTTCTTCATCAAATCTTTTATTGATATAAGTAATTTCTGTTCTGATCTAAATAGAAGTTTTAGACATCATTTTTCTAGATAAAATAAAACATTTACTTCAATGCATACATCGTTTATTACATCATAATTTAATTATAATAATATTTCATTAAAAACATATGTATCTATATAATTAAACAACAATAAATATGCATACAGACTACACTCTCGGTCGTAACCATATTTGAATTTCACCATTTAAATCCTACGTAGGTTGAATACACAAAACGTGTAAATTATATATTAAACATTAGTTTGAGCAAACGTAAAATGAATATGGAAAATGGTTCAACTCAAAAAAGTTAATTACCGGCTTTAATATGTTAGGTGCCTAGCAACACTTAAAGTCTCCAGGAACCTTATTTTGCTCAGACGAATAATTGTTAAAGAGCTGGTTCACGCAAGCTTAACCTTGCACACCGCAAGTAAGAGAGATTATCTACATTAGATGGAAAGACCTAACTATTGTCGAGAGGACATAAACATAATGCAATACTATTTTCACCTACTAGCGATGTCTATTGCCTACTTGTTTCATACTATATTTAATGTGTCCAATAAGTATTGTTTGAAAGTAGCTATGATTCTTTCTTTTTTTTTTTGTAAAACCAATAAAACGTTTTAATATTATTATAATTTATTACCATCATTAGTGCTTTTATAATAAACTCTATGTAAATATTTTTCAACATTAGTTCGTTGCCGTCTTGAAATGATTATTAAGAAGTGAAAAAAAAATCATTAACTTCAAAATATTCTAACGTAATTCAGAGCGGATATGACGAAAACGTACACGTATAGGGATATCACTGTTACAAAAACTTAACATCAATGTATTACGACGTAAAATAACCAACAGATTACAATTTAAAGAATGTTTTAAGCTTTTATTTTTATTTCACCACTTTGGTTAAAAAATATCGATTAGTTTGTTAATGGAGTTGGGTAATTGAATAATAATTTAATCACTCAAAATCCATATTTATATAAAATGGCATATCTCTAAAAGTTATATATATTATTATAGTCGTACACTTTAACGTCACAAGTGCGCCAAAAATTTCAGCGTTAAAACTGCTCGTAGGTGTTGCTTATTTTCATCCTAAATTTTAGTTTTTTGATGCTGTGTATTTTTTACAGTTATATAAAGATGTAAATTTTCATATGAGAACGTTTTCAATTGCGTCTAATAATGTGATTTATCTCAAAATTTAGTTTTTTTTTTTACTTATTTCACAACAGGACATTAAATCTTAAAATAAAGCAGGCAAGGCTTATCATTATTTTTAAATATAATATGATAACTACGCGAATGCCATTCGTACCCTAAAATAACGGTTTGTTACACTACCTCAATACAATTCGAAGCCAATAACGGTTTGCTACGTTTCATTTCAAGTAATATGAAAAAATATTCTTTCGTTATATGGTAAAAAATAATAACATTTAGATTTACTTCCACATTTACGAGTCAAACTTTAAAAAGCTTTGATTTTAGTGTAATAATTTTAAAAGTAGCTTCACAATTATCTCTAGTTTTGACAGATGTTATAACCTCAAAACATTATTACAAATTGCTCATCTCCCTGCGCTCCTGATGAAAAGATGCTAAGATATTCTTCTATTTTAAGCAAAAAGTAGTTTAAATTATCACTAATAGTGAGTATACGCGAGCTTTACAAAAACTTGTGACAGGTCAATCAATCTATGGAAAATGAACATGATTTTTTATATTACATACTTGCCCCCTAGTAAAGTATAACGTGGACCCAGCTATTAAAAGTACCTATATGCGAGAGCGTGGTCTTTCAGCGACGTACATGAATATTTTCGCATCGTCTCCACATAACCTAACTACAATTGCTCCTCAAAATTATAGTAGTAATCAAGACTAGCTTTTTACGGTACATATGACTAGAATATATAGGAATGTATTTGGCGTTAAGAATATTAAGTAACAATTTACATATATAATTTACTTCACCGGCTTCATTTCAGCAAGAGCTTCTTTAACCAATTCTTCTAGTTCGTATGGTAAAACTGTTTTATTCAAGCTTTTATTACGATCAAAACCACAATCTTCCTCATAGCAAATTTTTGCGATCCCATTGGATTCATCACCTGTATCTCTATTTATTATATTTTCTTCTCTATTGAATTTATTTTTTAAATTTTCTTTATACTCTATTCTATCTTTCTCTTTCAATTCATCTGAATTTATAGAATTTATGTCTGGAAGAAACTCCTCTAGTAACATTTGTGAGGGAAATATTGGTATATACTTTTGTCCATTACACCAGCTTTCTAAAGTTTTTTCAAGTTCTGTGATTCTATTTGCTAGGATTCTAAAAATATATTAAAATAAATAAATATAATATTAACAATTATCATATTTAACACTAATCAGTGATTAATATATACATACTGATTTGTTTTTCTTTGATGCTGCAGAGCTATAGATTTATCATTTAGTGCTTCAAACAATCCCAAGCAAAGTGATTTCAATTCAGTAGCTGAATTTCTTTTTTGGCCAGTTTTAGTGTTTACATCTAAAAACTCCTTCACTGAAATAAATAATGCTATTATATTTATGTAATTAAGAACTATTATTATCTTGAGAAACTATTTCATGTGTAAAACAAATATACCCTATTTGTATTACAAATATTATCTATATCTATCAAATCAATATATAAAATAAGACTTGTTGAAAAATCAAATACGTTTTTATTGAGTTTAAAAAATGCTTTTGATGATAACAGTTTAGCAACAATTAAGAACCTTGTCTTTGTGTCATGACATCCACAAATCCTTTTTTCAGATTAATTGCTTCATTATTGTTCCTATTATCCAGAAGTGTCTGTAATAAACAAGGTACAATACATGTTGACAGTTACAAACATAGACATTCTCAAAATATTCCTTTCCACATTATGTAATGTAGTAAGGCGCACACTAGTGTCTCCTCAGCACGCCTGTTCCTATAGACTACATGTTGCAGAGATAAAAGGTTATTCCTCTAAGCTTATGTAATTAAAGTTGAAATTTGTGTTTGGATTTTGTCACAGAGTAATAGTCAGTTGCACAAACATTCAATAATTACACCTTTAAGCTCTAATTTATGTCAAATTTGTGTGGGTAATGTCACTTTAAACAATTTTTATGGACATTGCCTTATAGAGGTTATTTGATTAATTATATCACATATTCTAAATATAATTATCTCATTACAAAAATTAACCTTATATTTTGTCAATGTTCTTTTTATAATTTCTTTCTCAACTTGTAGTTGTGTAATCCTTTCATGAAGATATTTATTCTCTGTCACTAAGGCATCTATGTCAACAATTGGTTTTGGTGGGTCTATCTCCTTGTCAGTTTGTACTTTGATTCTGTTGGAGAGAATATAACTAATCTGTTGGTTTAAATGTTGAACTTTGTTCTTGTAATAATCACGATCAGATATCAACTCTTCCTTCTCGTCTAATGTAGCTTGGTAGTCTAATTGAATTTGTTGGTACTGAAAAAAAATTGAAGATATAAATGTAAAAAATATAATATAATGAAACCGGAATAACTCATTATACAAAAATTATTTACCTTCTTATGAATTTTTTCAAGTTCTAGTATTAAGTCTTCATAATCTTTGTTAGAATAACCAAGATTTGTCATAGGCTTTTTAGGATCAATATTGTTGTCATGGAAAAGTGATATTTTTTGCAACTGTTTTCTCAACGCATCAATATCACCAGTAGCTTCTTCTAATTGACTGCGCAATGTCTCAACCTAAACAGTCACATATAGCTGAACTTTATTTATGGTTTTCAATTTATTATAATACCATTTCATAATAATATTATTGGTAATTTAATAGATCAAACCTATAACAGCTATAATAAGAGATAAGAGAGATTTTATAATAAGTCTAATTGCCTCAATAGCAAAATGGTTTCTTACTCTGATTTCAAGATATATTTATCTCTAGTTTGATTCTTGGTCAAGTTAATGTAAAAAATCATATTTTTTTTATATTGTTTTAACATTGGCTGGAAACATAATTTTTTCAGATTTCCATAATACAAGATTTAACAGCTATTAACTTGATCTATATTCTAGCAAGATTATTATTATAATTCAAGGACAGAGCTCAATGACACAGCGGTATGCATGTTGATTTTTTTACAGAATAGCAAAGCAAAGTCAAATGTTGTTTTAATGAAATAGCTAACATAAAATGTAATTATTTTTAGGCACTTGTGACTTACCTCTAATGTAAGTTTACTGTTTTGATCTCTTGTTTTAGCAAGCATGTCCCCACTACTGACAGTATTTGTTGGTGTGAAATTATAGAGACTTTTATTGGTGTCTCTATGAGAAAGAGTTGGTTTTTTACATTTCAATTGTTCCACCAGAACCTTATACTTGTCTCTTTCCATATTACATTTGTCTAACTCTTTACTCATTATTAAGAGAGCATCTATCTTACTCTGAAGTTTACTCTTGAGTACTGAATTCTGTTGTGATAATAAATATTAAAAAATAATATGTAATAAAGAATAATAATTATATATATTCAATTGCATTTCCACCTATATGTCTAAAGATTTTAAAAATACCCATAAGGTACAACATTGGTCAATTGAAAAAACTAAGGAAAATTTTAAAACTGCTGTCGGTTTTTCTATAAAAATATGTTATTTAAAAAAAAATGATATTATTTTTATCGGATCATACAGTCGCGTAAGAGGAATAATTAAATTATAAAAATAATACGTATGCAGAGCAAAGGGTTATAAAAATACGCACCTCCAGTAGATAATCATCCAACTGTTGGTCTTGAAATTTAACTCTGTTAGAGCTTTTGGTAAACATATTATAAGTATCGAACTAACTATCTACTATAATAAAACCCATCTCAATATTCGAAAACCTTAAAAGAATCCATCAAACAGATTTTAAACGTAGTGTTAGATCATTTTTGAAATTTGTGAGACTGAAATCAACTAGAACTTCAAAGCAACACCAACACTTACTGTTCTCTTTGACCAACACTCAATTCAAAATATCTTCTTCTTCTTCTTCTTTTTTAATTAATGGCTTATCTGCGCATTTCGCACAATTCTGCCAATGTCAAGTAAATAAATAAATTTTTACATGTAAAATGAAAATGAAATGAATGAAAGATCAATTCAAAATATGTTTGTGAAAAAAAGCCCTAAGTGAAGTACGTTCTCAGACTACAAAAACTGAAGGACCTGCGCACAGATATAATACTAAAGAGTAATGGAGTACACAAACTATTTATGATTAGGGATGCCCGATACGATACGATATATCGGAATATCGATACAGGACCATACGATATATCGATATATGAAACGATATTTTAACCATACGATTCGTTGCGATATATCGCATTCTCACTACAATATCGTATCGACGTATCGCATTAGACTGAGACATTTTGTTTACAATAAAATTAATGAGGATTCCATTACTTAACGGCACCGTCTCATATCATTTTAATGTGATGAATACTTTGTTATAGCTTATAAGTAATTATTTAACATGTAACAGAATACTAGGAGATGATATGAGACGACTTTTATTTATATTTTGTAGGTAGATTAGGATTACTTAAGATCTTTGTAGTTAGGTACTGACAAATTTGTTTGAATATAAAGTTTATCGCTTGTGTTTATTCCTTGCGAGTTCGAGATGCTCAAGCTTGTGCGAAGGCTTTAAATGATATAATTGTTAAAATCAAATTCATCTGCTGATTCAACTTCATTCTCTGCTTCTACTAGCCAGAGTCAGGAAGCTACAGAGAAAAATAATATCTGGAAGTTTCATAAGGAATTGGTATCTCAGTCGTCTCAATGTGAACCCAGAGAAGGCATAGATGATATTTTGAAACAATATATGAGAGAACCTCTTCAAGAAAGGAAAGAAAACCCTGTATTATACTGGGCATCAAGAAATAATATTTGGCCTGATCTCAGTGATTTGGCGCTGCGTTATTTATCTGTTGTGGCTACTTCTGTTCCCTCCGAACGTTTATTTTCTTTAGCTGGATCCACACTTTCAGAAACCCGTAATCGATTAGATCCAAAACGCCTTTCTAGACTGCTATTTTTACGCAGCTTAAGTGCAGAGCAATGGTAACTGTAAATAAAAAAAGTTTGTTTTTATTTAGAGTTCTGCAATAATTTGCAAAGTTTGTTTTTGTTATGCTAATAATTATGGTTAGACTTTGACTTTGTCACTAAAAACGAAATACTTACCTCATTTTATATAAAATATCGTATGTATCGTTACAAAAGGATACGATAATATCGTGTATCGATACAAACACATGCCATACATTACGATACGATATATCGATATAATTTTTTTTGGGCATCCCTATTTATGATCAGTTTCACAAACGTCCATGAAGAAGTATTTAAAAAATAAATAAAATAATTCTTGAAATCATACTAGATATCACTCGCGATGTTTGGATATTGTATATGATATTCATTCAATTTTTGTTTCTGACGTAATAAAAGTAAATTGAGTTTCATTTTATTTATATCTAATTAATGTAATTTATTTTAATCATAAGTTATGTTATTTATTATGTTACGTGTAAAGAAACGATGTTTGGTTTATACGTCAATATTAGTGATGAGTAGAGGTCGGAATTAGGTAGAGTTATTTATGTACTTGTATCGAAATGTTGATATTAATGTGGACCTTCCCGGGATTTCTTTATTTCTTCTTTCTTTATTTCTTTCTTTCATTTATGTAAGTTTGGCAACGTCGTGCGTGCAGTTGTTTAAATTGTGTAAAAGTAAATAACTTTTTATTTAAAAAACCACGGGATTTTTCTGCTCTTTAAAATTAATCTTGAGATTTGAGGCATATCCACTTTATTCTTTCGCTGTATGAAATCAGTGTAAGTACATGAATAACTCTACCTAATTCCGACCACTGGTGATGAGGAAACTTATTGGTTATTACGAGTAACCAATAAGTTGGCTCCTTGACCTTTCATAGTTTGGAATGAAGAACAAAAGCGGAGTTTGTATTTGTATGTGTCATTACTCATTATGCATCCACATATCGAATGATATTAATATAAATATCAAAATCAAATCAGTTGACTGTTACATAGTAATACTGCCCCAGGGGCAGTAGTCTCAAACCAGTTTGCGAACGCAATATTACCGAATTCGGTCGCTAACTCATAGCGATCGTAATTTAACGAATATTGTAAGTCTCTACATTTTAAGTTATCGATTTTTGTCGGTAGCGTAGCGAGTTCAATTGTCAAATTAACGAATTTCGTTAGCTCTGTGGCGACTGATACATAGAGACATCTAACTCATCGCACTAACATCGCCACAAAAATCGAATGCGAGAAGATTAGCATCGTCACAGCCATCGTTAGCAAGACGAACTGCAATAAGTTTCAACAGCGAGTAACGAGATGTCACTGCACCAATATAAATTAATAACAAGAAGACATTTAGAACAAAGAAACCTACATCGCACAGAATAAGTTTCATTACCAATTAACATAAATAGAACGTCCAACCTACATCGGTTGGACAGCGGTCTCCGGGCTAACAACACCTAGCTAGGAGGGAGACAATTATCCTTTAGTCTCCCTGGCCAGTTGTCTCCATCATCAAGTAGGAACTAACACCTCTAACCATAAGGTTCCTAAAGCTCCTTAGCGACCAAATTTGACAGCTCGATAAGTGGATTTTGCAATCGTATTTTTTTCGATTTTTTACGGAATTTACGGAGGTATTTATATCGGAAATTTAGTCATAAAGATATTTAAAACGTGATGGCTGAAGCATATTTTTGCATTAGATTTAACAGTGCTTGAACATCGACACCTAATGGTGAGGCGACGGCAAATAGCCAGAAACAGGCGATGTCTCCAAAATCCTTTGACTTTAGATGACACAGAATTTCTTATGCTATATAGAATTAGCAGAAGATTGATCGAACATTTTTATTACCTAAGATTATTTTTTATTTCAATATATTTTATGTAGGTAGATGTACAAATTAAAAACGACCATATAAGTTGTAAATTCACTTTTATTTATTTTGGGCCAGAAGCAAAATACATCCCCTATTTTACTCATTGCCTGTGCATGAATCAATGAAGCTTCGGCCTGCTTCATTGCAGCCTCTGTCTGCAATTTTGATGCAGCTGCCAGCATCTATAACAAATAAACTAAATAAATGCGGGACTCCCTTTACCCATATACTTATAAGGTATTAGTCTCATATGCAATTTTGTTGAATTTGATATAATCATAATGTTTTTGGGTATTTTTTGTTTAGCTATTATTAATTAATTCATTTCAAATACATAACAAAATCACATTTAATAAAGATTGTGTAAACAAAAAAAATTTTGGACGATTCAAAAGTACTTTTAAGAAATATATATTTGAAAAAAAAATACCTTCATTGATTCCGCATTTGATTGTGCAATGGCGAGAAATTGAGTTCTGGCCGAATCGTGTTGCTCTGCAACACTTAGCAATATTTGGAGCACGCGGAGCCTGTTGCTCGTGCGACTCCGCATTTGAATCTCCCACCATGACTCACAACACAAATTATTTCAATAAATTATGTGAAGTTTTTCACGAATCAGCGGATTGACTCACAACAAAAATTATTTCAACAATATTATTGTAAGAACCAAAAAGCACATACCCACCGTACGAATTAACTTAACATATTCATTCACGGTAATATTATTGTATGCCGCAGCTAAATGCTACTTTTAATAATTTCACAGCATTAATTCTATCGATTTCCATAACTTTTAAAAAACGTTCACTATGCACACTTCCGTTACGTTCGTTTCCATTTTTATTTATACAAATAAAAAGAAAGTTATACAAAAATTGATTGGTATTACTCGAGTTCTTTATTTTTTTTAAATACTTCCTCATTATAAAAATACAACACTACACAACTTATCTGACTCGTTTAAATATAAAAACAATTTTTTTAAATTTATTTCATCATCACAATTTATCTAATTCGTAACAAATTACAAATCAAAATTTTAAAATTTTCTTAGATAAATATCGTCCGCCTAGTTTAGTTTAATGTTTCCCGCGCTTGTTTCAGCAATTTTCTTCGGCGAATTTCTAATCTGAGGGATAGCATGCTTAATCGTTGGCAGTACAGTGCGTGTCTGCCTACAATACAAAAGGAATCATGAAATAGAGATGGTAAATCAACAAAAGTTCTGAAGTCAACTCACTCATAAATTACGATTTTTGTATCGATTTTTCCATAGATATTATCTCAATTCCTTGCAAAATTATGTTTTACAGTTATAACATACTATGGATAGACTTTTGCACAGCTCTAATTTATGAGATATTGTATGGGTGAAGGTTAAGAGTATAGTGTAAAAAAAAATAGTCTGTGCTGTCCTGTGTATCGTACACGGTTTTCTTTGTAGTTTTTACAGATGTTGAGTACATTCTCGTTTCGTTTTGATAAAAACAATTTTCTCGGTGCCATGTGACTGTGTCAGCATCAAAGAATTTGAATAATATCATCTTAACATTCGGTGGGAATGGCTTCGTCTGTTAGTGAAATCGAAGATTTCTTGAACGGGCCTCTTGTTTCGTGGGTGAGTGATCAACCATCCGTGTACCTATCTGTTTTTATTACTTAGATGTGGCCTAAGTGAAGCGTGAGACAAAAATACAAAATTACTTTGCCGTTCCGTCTGAATGAATGTCTTGGCTATCCCATTTTTATGTATCATCAACTTACTTTTCTGTAATCCCAACTTGTTTTTAAAATTACCATTTTACTGTAATTAGTAAAATTTATTATTCAAAACTAAGAAAAATATTTTGTCTGCTTTAGTAGTACCTAATAATTTTATTTAAGTATCTACACATCATACAGCATCATACAGCATAAACATTGAAAATAACACAGGTATTTGGAATTTAACCAAAGATATTTTTCTTTTGTTTCTATTTTAAAATTAAATTAAAGGACTGTAAAAGGATTAAATATTTGTAAGTGTTAATGTACTACTGCATTAATATTTTAGTGTTTTTATTTCTTGATTCACACCAGTAACAAACAAATTGAAACTTTCAAGTCAATGTGTCATTAAGCTGCAAATGTTATTGAGATTTACTACTAAGCTGATTTGAAATCTTAATTATCATAATAAATATACCTTGATAATTATAAAACACTACATAAACTCTTTTTTTACTTTAGGACTTGTTATTAAAAGAGAAGCTTTTGAATCAACTATAAAGTGTTTTTTTCTGATAGTGAAAACTATCTAGGATTGACCTAAAAAAACAAAAAAAAAAAATTAGAAGCTTCCTTGTAATATTTTTATTTTATTTATGTTTTCATTTCATAGGTAATTTTTTTGTCTAATTTTTACAATTTAATCATAGAAGAGCCAATAAAGAAGAAATTGAATTCCATTAAATCCAATTAAACAATTTTATGTTGTTTTGGTTTCAGCTTAAATCATGTTTATTAAATCCAAACTTAGTTGTAGAATACGCATCTCTTTTCAATGGGGATATTCTTCATCAGCTGTACCTTCAAATTGATCCAGAACCATCTTATCATATTACTAAATTAACGGGCTTGGAAGAACAAGCACTACTTCTTGGAAGGGTTAAGAACTTTGATGCAATTATAAAAAATGTAAAGAATTTGTATGAAGAAGAGTTAGGAATGACTCTGCTGGTTGTACCAGAATGCATTTGCTTGGGAAAATCACCTGAATCCAAGGATGGCCTTGAAAATATGAAATTACTTCTTTTATTATTACTTGGTGCAGCTGTACAGTGTCCAAACAAAGAATTGTTTATCACTCGGATTAAAGAACTAGATGTAGAACTGCAGCACAACATTGTGGAATGTATTAAACAGGTATGGAGCAAATGTTTATTTTAATAGATTAGTTGCTCACTGTATATGTTATTGGATATATTTGGATGACTGGTATTACATAAGCAAAAAAATTATTATAATAGTCATTTAACTTCTAGGTGGGTGCATGTCTGACAGAAGATCTGATAATTGTATCAACAGAAGTATGTGCTTTTCTTTTGACAGAATGACATATCATCTGTTTAGTATTATATCAAATATTTGTAGGATCTTTTATCAGACACTGACGGTTCTTTTGGTTGGTTGCACAAACAGACATTAAGGTTTAATGACTCTTTTAAGGTCTAATGAATTTCAAATTTGTATTGGTAGTGTTGCTTTTAAAGTAATGATAATTTTAATAGACTTTATGCTACTGGCTGTTAGTCTCCATCATAGACAGAGAGTTTGTGACAAAAATATGCAAGACCTTTCAAAAGCTTTCTTTATTAGTATGTTGGAGTACTAAGGGTGTAATAACATAACTCAGTGCCATCAGGCACTTTTGGTGGTGGCGGTGTGGACGGAACAGCTGGTGGTGGCTGTGCCAAACAAACTACTAGCGATTGCTGAATGTGTTTATTTCATTAAAGTCTAAGTATTTTTTTATGAAATAGCTACTATTAGTAATAAATTAACTTTCAACCATTACAAGACTTTTGCACACCTGAGATCTGCTGAGTTGCTGCATTTCACAATTGTGCAACCTGAGCAGTTCAGTCTTCTTTTTTATATTAAGAATAAGTTTCATGCTAATTTTAAACTATCAAACAGTATATTAAAAAAATGTGTTATGATTTTTCATACCTTACATTACCCTGGTGCCACCAGGTATTCCAGCATCTAAACTCCCCCTTGGGCAAATTTGTTTTACTGTTCTTTTACAAATAATTTAGTTTTAGTTTATTTATATATTTCATTACTGGATTTTATTTTTCTTCAACATATACAATTTGAAGCTCCTTATTTGTGGGTTTATGTTCCGTAAATTCAGAAACCCTGAATATGGAATGGCATTTAGGATGGAATTATAGGGGATACACTTCAGGGTGCCGAAATGAAAGCAATAGAGATGATGACTAATTTTTGTTTGTTTGTCCGTCAGGTAGTGTTAAAAAATATTAAACACTTATTTTTTTATTTTTTTCGTAATCATAAAATTACGGTGTTACATGGAGTTGAAATTTCGCATGATTTCACGTCACGTTATGGTACTTTTCTACTCAACTGTGACGTAGTGAGCCCCCACTCCTCTACTTTAATGCCTGTTATCTAAGCTATTTCTTGTTAAATTGAAGTAAAAAAAGAATACGTATCTAATATTTTTCTATTATCTGACTGACGGACTAAATAGAATTGCGTTTTTTTTACCCAGTCGTCATCCTTATTCATCTGGCGAAACAAATCCATATTGATAACTAGCTGTAGCGTTCATTTTATTTACCTTTTTACATTATATGAATGCTATAATAATGTCGATTATCTGTACCTATTTCCACAAATTGATATTTTTTCGTTTTTAATTCTATTGTTTTGCTAAACGCTTAAATAAAAGACTATACCAACTCAAAGGTTCTGATTATATTTTTTTATAAAAATTGATTTTGTTTTCATTGTTTTTTCCATGTTGCTGTTTTTCTCCCACTTTTAGTACATAACTTGTTCAAATTTGATGTCTTAGGGTATATTTTATATAGAAGTCGTAACAGGATTTTCACAAAGCTTATCTTATTAATTAATGCACCTAATCATAGCATTACACTGATTCTTTGAGATGTTTGGAGTCTGTTTAGACTTGTAGTTAGTCAAGTTGTATTCAAAACTACATTTGTTGAATGTATAATTTTTAATCGTTTATAATATGTTCCTATTAAAAATCCTGAAGTTATATGATCAGCGGCACAGTACATGGGCGATAAATTAGTAGTTTATATACTATGTATCTTTTCTGCTGGGACTTATTGTTTGGACAACAATAGGCATAACTGATGACTATTGTGATGATGATTTACTACTGTAAATCAAGATCGACCTATCAACTTAGCTTCTTGAGTTATGACGTGTAAAAGCCATAATAAAAATGTTAATTTTATTTTATTAAGCATAGGAGATCAATTAAAACTATTTTTGTAGTCTGTTTTATTACGTGTTTGACACAGTATATTTTATGGAATAGCACTTAAAATAAAAGTTTGCCCTAGCCAGTATGGCTACATTAATTTATAAAATCGCTATTCGTTTACAGGTTACAGATATGCAAACCGTAGTACTAACGCCTGATGCCATAGATCTTTTTCAATCTCCCACTTTATTCAACCATATGCGCCGCATAGCTAAAGAACGAGACCATTACCTTCAAAACTGGGCTTCGTTGGTGCTTAATGAGGATTTATGTGACAATGATAACGAGAATAAAAATAAAAGTCGCTCCACGCAAAACGTTAACCAAAATAATAGCGATAGTCAACATCTTGCCGTGGAACTGGCCGATTGGAAAGCTCGATTGCGGAAACAGAGGCAAGAATTGTAAGTACATAATATCTATTAGGAACACATAAAATCTTGTTTTTGTTGAAATATTATATTAATTGATAACGTTTTCAACAATTGTACAGGGAAGAAAAATCAGAACAGTTATCAGAATGTCGAGAAGAATTGGAGCATACGAAATTGGTATTAGCTAAGTTACGTTCTGATAGTCAAGAATGGTTTAACGAAGCTAGGAAAGCTGCAGCTTACAGGGATGAAGTTGACGCTCTCAGGGAAAAAGCTGAACGTTGCGATAGGTTTGTGTTGGTGCCTTTGCACTCAATAACCATAAATATAATCGAGTCACTGTTGAATTTTTGACAAAAAAAGTACAATTTTTATGTACATATAAAAAAACTTATACAATGCAACTATTTAATAATTATGTATTTATTTTTAAGGCTCGAACAAGAAATACAACGGTATCGAGATCGGTTAGTAGATGCTGAGTACTACAAAACTCGAGTTTCAGAATTACGGGAAGATAATAAAGCTTTGATGGAAACAAGAGATGCCTTAGAGGAACAACTTCAAAGAGCACGTAAAAGGGCAGACCAATGTTTAACATTAGAAGCTGCTATGATAAAACTTAAAAGAGAAGCAAACGATATAGCATTAGTAATTATCACCTGGTTTATCATAAATTTGAATTACGTATGAAATGATTTTTTATGTGTTCTGTTATTGTTTTAGGAAAGAGATGCTGATCAACAGAAGATCCAAGAACTCATTGAAGAAAATAATCATTTACAGTATATCACAAAGTCTGTGTTAAGTGAGAGTAATAATAGTAATTTAGATAGTGATAACGAATGTGAAAGTACATTAGAATCAGGAGAAAATAGCTTGTCAGAACAGCTAACTAGTAATGCACAAGCTAGAGCCTTAAAACTTGAATTAGAAAATAAACGTCTATTGTCTACAATTGACAGTTTGAGGGAACAATCATTGTTAGAAAGTGGCGAAAAGTTATTAGAATTAGAAAAAGAGAAAAAGAAATTAAGCTTGAAATGTGAACAATTACAAGAAAACTGTAATAGACTTATGCAACAAAATTCAGAATTAGAAGAAGTATTCAAGAATGCGTTAGAAGAGAATAGAAAACTTCAAGATTTGTTGGATAGCCAAAAGATGTTTATTGATAGACAAGCTATTGATAGAGATTCTGAAAAAAATAAACTACAGGATTTCGAGAAACATTTAGAATCTCTAACCAAAGATAAGCAACGTATTCAAATGCTTTGTGATTCCATACAAAGAAGAGCTGATGATTTAGAAAAGGCATTAGATTCAAGAACAAAAGAATTAAATATTCTTAAACCAGAAGCTGACAAAGTGACAGGACTTATTATACAATCAGAAGAGCTAAAAACAAAGTTGACATACAGTGAGAAAGAATCACATAATCTTCAAAGAGAAGTTAATAAACTGAGAGAGGCTATTGAAGAAAAGGATGTATCCATTGATAAATTAACGACGGAAATTGAATTAAAAAAGAAAGAACTGGAAAGGTTGGTAAAAGAACTGGAAATTAATCAAAACACAATTAACAAATTCCAAGATTTAGAACAAAAAACTCAAGAGCTAAAATCACAAAAGAAAATGGATTCAGAGACTATTCAAACTTTACAAAAGGATTTGATTAAAGAGAAAGTAAGTTTTGACAAAATAAGGAATTGTCTGGAAAAACTTGGTATACATGTGTCAGAAATAATGAATAAAGACATTAATGTGGAAGATTTATTAGAGAAAATAATTACTAACTCTGATCATGAAAGCGTTATTTCTGATATTGCTGCTAAGGCTAATTTAATGGCCTTAGTACCCTGTACTTGTCACCAAAAACCTGATATAGAAATTGAAAATGATAGCTTGATTCACCCTCAAATAGAACAATTAACAGCAGATTTAAATGCATTACAAGCTTCATTAGAAAACTGTAATGCTGAAAATGCGAAATTACAAGTTAATATAGCAACATTAAATTCACAAAACGGTTCCTTAATTTCCCAACAAATGACGTTACAGTTAGCTAATAGTCAGTTGGCTGCAGAAAAAGAAGAAATTGTTAAACAATTAGAGGTTTTAAAAGACAAACAGGACAATTTATTGAGAGATCAAGTTGCTCTACAAACACTACATGAACAGTTAAACACAGAATATGAATTGCTTCTTAGTGAGAGAGAACCAGTAAAAGCTACAATCAGAGACCTGAAATTAGAAAATAGGGAGTTAAAAGAAAGGCTTGAAGGTTATGAAAGGAAAATATCAGAATTTGAGTTGGAAAGAGAGAACTTGAAAATCGAATCTAGAAATTTGACCAATCTTAGAGCGGAACATTCTAAACTAAAAGATGACTTTAGAAACCTATTTACCGCTAGTGATAGACTTAAAAATGAATACAGAAATATGCAAGAAGAATACCGAAATCTTAGAAGCGAAGTCACTCAGCTAAAATTAAGAAATACTGAAATGTCAGGTGAAATCAATACAAAAATTGAGATAATCACTGGTATGGAGTTAGAGATTAACAAGACAAATCAACATTGTGAAATGCTTGTACACATGAATAAAAGTTTGGATGCAGATCGACGATCGTTAATGGACCATGTTTCACAACTGTTGACACAGTATCATGAATTATTGGCACATTCACTAAAGGATAAGCAACATTACCACGAAGAAGAGAAAATGTTTGCTGACAGAGTAAACGCTTTATGTCGACAGAAAGAAAAGTTAGAAGAAAAAATCATGGAACATTATAAGAAACTCGATAATTGCACTCCAAAACGACGTGGTTTTGGAGCATCGTTCGTTAAAAAAGTTCGCAAAGCTGGCACTGATTTAATAAATAAAACTTCTAGAAATAATAAAAGAATAGAAGATACAGGTCGTTCAAAATCTCAACTTACGCTAGCTGGTTCTGAATCAGGTGAATCTGACCAAGGCAGTCAGGATATGGAAAAAAATACAAAAATATCAGAGCTGGATCAAGGATCATCAAACCCCAGCCTAGAATCACCGAGACATAGTTCAGATTCAAATTATAGCAGAAGATTTGACGATAGGATTCTGAAAAAATCTGAGAATAATGAATTAACTAGTGCAATGCCCAGCTTAGACTCACCAAGAATTACTGGTGAAGGTAGTTTTGCACGCAGGTTATCTGTGACGTCTGTGCACAGTGGAGGTGGTGATGATGCTCTTATAAGAGCCTCTTTGAGAAGAAGAGCTCACAAAACAGTACCATCATCACATCGTAATAGTTATCAAGGCTTAGAAAGTGATTCTACTTTGCCTCCTGCAGGTAAAGATAACATTTTATGATTTTGTGAAATTTAAAAAAAGTGATATGCCATGCTAAATTTTGTGTTATTTTTATTTCAGTGCCTTCAGCTTCCTCTCCTGTGTTTGGCACGGCCGGTAGTCGCCGTACAGTTTATGTAGCAGACGACAATCCCGACGTAACTTTAAACACAAAACCTCACAGTACACCTGTCAAAGAGAATCCGACTTACTTGGTATACAACAGAATATCAACAGTAATTGGTGATGGTGCTTCTCAAAGTGTAAATGAAAGATCAAATAACGATGTACACCAATCTATACCTGAACTACATCTTTCGCCAACTGACGACGGTCTACAAGACAGGGAAGATCACAGACCTGATAGAAGAACTGTAAGTCGTAATGATAAACCAGACAATTCAAAAGAGTCTGCTATTTGGTATGAATATGGATGTGTTTGATGATTGTATGCTTTATATATTCAATGAATAATCATTAACAGACTGATAAGATGCCTTCAATTTAATTGTTTACAATTGAATGTGATGTATTCGGGAAATAAGAATGTTACAGATTGTGATGAGACTAAAATAAGTGATTAAGTACTGCAACACATCTTGTGTTTAAGTACTGAGGGGCCTTGTTGGATTTTCGCAAATGAAATAATTAAGCTTTAGTTTAATCCTTCAAATAATTAACAGTAATGCAAATCAAATAATATACATTTTTATCGGAAGCATTACGAAACTGCGATCATTATGACCACGGAAAATATATCATATTCTTTAAGATATATAACTTCTGAAGTAAAGTTGTACCTGCTAAAACCAAAGTTGATAACATTTGTTCGAAAATTTTGATTTGATTCTCGTCGTATATACAGACAGCTTATGATTGTTTGAAGGTTTACTAAAACATAAGAATTACAGTATTAATGTGGCATTTAATTTATATTTTTATATCGGCGAAATTTATCATTCCGTTTTTTTTTTTGTTTCATCAATATATATTTCGAAGCTTTCATTCAAATCTCATTTGATTTTTCCATAATAATGTTAAGAAAATACGTAAGTAATTTAGATATGCGAGTATCTATTGATTTTTTAAACAACAGTTAAAAAAAATCAACTGATTTTCTTATATTTCACGCGCACTATTCATTAAACGGAACAACTTTAGTATTTGCATTTATGACATTTCGGACGCTTTACAAGTTCCGTATTCACTTAAGATTAAGGTGTCGATTGTCTTTTTTAATTAAGAGTATAGCTACATTTAAAACAATACTATTGGACACATTCACAATACAAAACATTTGTATTTTATAGAAACATTTACATTTGATAAATTAAATCCTTAAATAATTTTATAAATTAAATAATTTAAAGGGAACCTATGAAGTATCCGAAACGGCATGAAAACAAATACAAGCGTTGCGATGAAACCGTTTAAAGTTGTTTCATTAATTAGTTAAATTACCTATTGAATAGGCCATATCAATGGACGTAATGACGTAAGACGATTTTTATCAATTTTTGTCTTCTGTAAAGAAGAAACAAGAAAATTAAAAAGAAGATTCGGCCGATCCTTTTTTCCTTTAGATTCCTTTAAAGTCTTGACTAAGAAACTAAAGGAAAAAGGATTAAAATCCTTTGTTTATTATTATCATTTTTCAAATTACTCATTTAAGCAGTGTTACGACTTCATTTACCCTCATACTAAAAATCAGACTTGTTGAATCCCGTACCCATGTAGTAAAAATGTAGTACGTAATAAGTGGATGCGGATTATTCAAAATGATCAATTTTTTTAATGTATTGACTTAAGTTTAAAATCATTTACAGAAACGTACTATATTGTGATAATCTACAAGTATCAGGTTATCATGGATAGTGTAACTGCCCTTTACCTATTGAATGTTGTTCGTAGTGTTTTAGCGGGTATTTGTGATCAATTGAAATTAATGTTCTTAAATCAAGTTTCTGCGAGGCTTTATTTTTATTTGTAAATAATTAATTATTTTTTACACTATTCGATAAATTATTTAATTACTTACCTATGTGTTAATTAATGGACTAATTACCAGCCTTGCCAGTGAATCTATGAGTTTATATTATGACAGACAGCTATATATTTAATGTACAGTATACACCACATCAGATTATCCAAATTGGTTGTGTAATTTGATGTTTTATTTTGAGATGCTGCTAGTCTGTGATGATCTTAAGCAATCACAAGCAACTACTTTAACAAAATTTATGAAATTAAATATGAAGAGCATAATTTGTGTATGTACAAAAGTGTATTATTTATAATATTTTTTTATACTTATTTGTATTTTTTTTATTGTAAGATTACTTTATAGTTCAGTACAAAATAATTTATATATGTTTTAATTTTTAGCTTATAACATTGAAAACATTTTGTAACAAATTAATATGTATCACAGTTGGGTATTACTCAAAAACTGTTTCTCACCTGTGGTTGGATCAGTAAAAAAACGTAAGCATGTTTTAAACAGACCGTCAAAGTAAAAAAATTACCAAAGTAAGAAATTCGATTGCAAAAATCTCATTCAAAATGGTTTTGTCCTGGATTTTTCAGATTATACTCATCTGTAACCAAATTATACTACTTACATATGTACATACATATATGGAACCATTTATATTTGTTGTAACAGTAAACAGGATAGCTCTATCTTTGATGCATGCAAGTATTTAGATATTTTCAGAAAACTTTCGGAAAATTATGTACCATTTTATCAACAATTATTACCTTAAAAAAAATTAGAAGTACTTGTTTGACGATTGGTTCTAAGAAAATGGTGCTTAAAAATATTGTAATTTGTAGCTCTAGGTTGTCCATTTTCTATTTACTACTAAAAATATGTATCTGAAATAAAACCGATTTTCGTTAGGCGAGCCAAATAAAATAGGATTTGCTACCAACTTCATGGCTTCGCTATCATTTTAGTACTAATAGCAAAGAAAATTAAGTTTGCTAATTATTTTTGGATTCGTTTAACTTTATAGGTACATATATTATATTATTTGGTTTATTATCATTATTGATACGGCTGTATCAAGAATTAATAAGATATATATGAAATTTTATGATCTTGAGTTCAATTACAAATTTCAGTGTTCCGTAATCGAATATATCATACATAAAATAAAAATTTCGTTTCTATTTTGCAAACTTCAGGGTGTAATGAAGCTGAAGCGTTATGCGAACGAAAATGGCTGTTTGAGGGTCCTATTCATATATGGCTCGCCTAATATCATATGTAGCTTATACTTTTAATGATAGCCTCTCACCGAATTTATATACTAGCACATGACGTAAATACAGGACTTTTTGTATAAATAAAATTACAACATATACATCCTAGTTTCACTTCAATCATTTTGGTCTACCGAATCCTTGTATTCTTACATCTCAGAACTTTTCATTTGGTCTGAACCTTCTATGAAGATATGTATCCGCGCCTCCCCTTCTGTATAAGTAGTTCATCTTCGTCTGTACGCTGGGATCTTTTAACAGATTTTAGTGCAGTTTTATCAATAAGTGTAGTGATTTGAGAGGAAGGTACAGGATCGCGCGGGCCAAGCCGCTGATGGAGAGCTAGTTAAAAATAAAAATTATGTAATTAAAAATACGATTGCAGTACATACAATAGAGTTTCATCGGTGATGCGCCTTTCTGAAGGAAAGTCGACAGTCGACCGTTGGCTTCTGCATCGGCCTTTCATTCATTTCAGCATTCGTTCATCGCAATTAATGATGAATAAACGTGGAAACACCGGCAATTTGTTTCACTGCTGCAGTGAACGACTAATCTTTAAGTTACTTATCAGCGCCACCAGAGTACTTTGTCTTTATTTTATTTCATTTTTCAATAATTAAAGAAATACCAATAAGTATAAATGTCATGGTTATGGCTATGTATTCTCACATTGTATCAGACATTGTGAGACTGGCCAATGTTTCTCAATGTTTATGCTGACTTTACTTTCACATTATACCTATGTCTAACTACGAAAATTAGTTCACTATTCATCGTTCATCGACAGTGAGTGACTTATGATGAAACATCTTATTTCGGCTTAAGACTGGTTAACGTAATTTGAAATTTCGCTATTCCGGCGACTTCAGTTTCAATATGGCGAGTCTCCATGGTAGTAAACGATTGGGTTCAATAAAATAATTTAATAACTTAAAAACAAGCTTTTGTTTTTAAATGCGTTAATCAATTATCCTATAGTCAAATGGTACGCACGCCGGTTTGAATTTGTCGCCATCTTTAACGTCCCGGGTTCGGAAGGGTTAATGTCAAAAATGGACTTTTAATAAAAGAACAATATTAATAAATAAATTCACTTATATTTACATTTTTAACGCAAAATATAGGAACGGCAAGGTATAGAAATATTTTCATAGAAACAACGGAACCCGAAATATCTGCTTTTATGTTTAAAATAGTAGTATTATAATTCGTCCATGGGACAGGCGAAGGAACTAAGCCATACAGCCAAATCTTGGATTATATTATTTTATAAGGCAAAGCCTAATCTTCTCTTCCTGTTTTCATTTTATTTCATCTTGTCTTGTTTATTTTTTTTTTTAGAAGGCTGATAGCCAGATTTTATGTTTAAAAATTAAAAACGAGTGTTTTTTTAAAGACCATAATGACAAAACGGCAAGAGACATTTGCCGCATCTTCGTGGCTAATCCTGTTGTGATTGGCTTGTGTTTTGATTAGTGTAATTAATTTTGAATTCTGTAAGTTTTGACACGTACATGATATACTAGAGAAAAGGTTGTAAGATTGAAGTAATTGTTTTCTCTTTGAATATCTTTGATTTCAGTGTATTAATTTTGTTTTACTAATGATACTGTGCTATTATTCTATCCTGATACTAATGCCAAAGCAAAACTGTATAGTGTTTTAAGATTCATGGCGTTTTAAATTTTTATTGTATTCCTGAAATTCTTGTTTTATTGGTCCTATGATATTGCAGTTTTTTGTTAAGAGGAAATATGCTATCCGTAAAATTAATCCAAAAAATCAAATTAACTCTCTCGATAATGCAATACCTATACAAACATTTCTTCTTACCTATAATATAAGATTGTTAAATGAGGAAGTATGTATTAAAAAAAACATTAGTTCTTGAAATCAAACTAGATGTCGCTTATAATTATTAGTTTTTTATCATTGTCATTTACAGTCTTATATTAAGTTAAAAAGAAGTTCATTACTTTAATAATAAAATACAATACCTATTGTGATATACATAAGTAAACTTAATGACGTTATTTTATGTTTAATTTTTTTACTGAGTAAAATGTAAAAATTAATGATTATTAAATAATCGATGTTTCATTCTTTATAAGTACTGATTTCCAAAGTACTGATATTTTTTTACATCCCTTATGATGATACACATTATATTACTGGATCCTAAGATTTGGCTGAATAGCTTAATTCCTTCGTCTGAACGATGGACGAAACTACTACTGGTCTGTGACCATAGACTATACACTTAATACTAGTATCTGTGACTAACACCATAGACAAAAAATACTCTTTGCAAATGTTATTGTTGTGTTTGTTTGTCATTCAAATGATTTAAAAATTAGTCTTCAAAGTGTACCGCAACGCAGTAAAAAATATAGTTTTTGATGATGAATGGCTTCATTGCTGTTCATTGTGGTAAAGCATTATCATTGTGTTCTGAAATTGAATTTTGTGATCTTCATAATGTCACTTATAATTTGTTTAAGGTGCTGGTTATCACAGCGAAGCGTTGAAGAAAGACTATCAAAAAATATGTTATTTGGCTTGTAGAAAGGCAGTAGAGGCATTAAAAAATGGTGGCAATGCTGTTGATGCTGTTGAACAAGCTATTATAGGTTTGTGATATTTCTATTGTAATTTATTCTTACTTAATATTCAATTTGATTTCTTCCTTATGGCTCTTTTAAGATTTAGCCACTGCCCTATTGCTTGGTTGCCTATCAATTAATTGGACACTGGCAAGTAAGAATATTTATGTTTGTACCCTCTTTTATAGAAGATATCAAACAGGTCACAGTTTGATATCAACACAAAACATTTCTTAAATATTTTCTTGAAATAAAATAGAAAAACTTGTTTAAAGCACCATCACAGACATTTTATAAATCAACTGACTTACAATGTCCTCCTACATGATAAAGCTTTTTTTGCCTCTCTTCCAAATTCAAACACCATCTCAGTATCTAATAGATTTGATGCAGTTCCATAGGAGACTAGTGAACTAAAGTTATTAGTTTTTTTACAAACTATTAAAAAACATATAAACCTCCACCAATCATATGATATGGCATATATGATGTGAAAGAACTTTCAAAACTTATAGGCTCAGTCTGTATTCCTAATAACTACAAAATACAGATCATAAACAAAAATTTACTGTGAATCATTGTAGAATCAACAGTCATCTACAATGATGATTCTTTGTAAACTTAGAAACATCAGAAAGTAATAAATAAGTTAAAGAAATAAAATATATTTTCTGTCAACACATTATTATTGATGATGCGATAAAAGCAACAACAATAGTCTAGTGTCAACAAAGCCAGCAATATGGTCACTCCAAAAGTAATTGTATGTGACCATATAGATGTCTTTAATGTGGAAATAGTCATAAAACTGCTGACTGTCCAGAAAAAGACTAGAATACACCAGCAAAATGTTTACTATGCTCTTGTGATCATCCAGCTAATTACAAGGGCTGTCAGGTCTACAGAGAAATATTGGCTAGAAAAATAACACCATCCTTTGTCTAAACAAGTTGCAGATAATAAAACCATTCGCTTGGGAAGATTTGATTGGTAAAATTTGAATGGGCCCCAACTGTGAGTTGTTCTGTTCTGCATTAGAATTTATTATTTGTTTTACAAGTGTATTGATTATAAAACTATTTCAATTGTATAGTTATTTAGTATTACTTAACATAATTCTAAAGTACTGGGCTTGTCTTTTTCTTTTTAGTTTTTATTTAAGTTAATTATTTCATGTATTTTTTAAAATTTGTTTTTACGCAGTCAGGTTTTTTGTTTTTCTTTTGTTCTGTTAATAATGCTTTATGATGGGGGTCATACGCTCGAAGGAATTTTAGAAAAATATATTTCAATAGAGAAATGTAAATTTTATACTCGTTAGAATTGAACTGGCGACACTGAGTGATACCCGGGACGAAGCACGTGCGTGTGTCCACGGGCAGAATCACGCGACGTGTGCTTAGGCCCTTAATGATTTGTCAACTGTGGGGTACGCATAAAGTGATACATAAGATGTTTCTGATTGTCCAGTAATTTCTATACCCATTTTGAAAAAATCTTGTTGATATTCAGTAGAATATACCTTCGATCTTCTTTTTTTCTAAAATATCTATATCTGATAAAGCTATTTGCTTGAGTAGACTCTATATACATATTTATTTTAGGTACAAAGATATTTCGTCTCATTTTCAAAATATCTCATGTATCACCAAACATCCGCTACTGTTAAAAGTTTATATATTCTCAGTTTAGCGTATGGCGGGCTCATTCCATCCGTAGCTTTATGACAAGAAAGTTTGCGCCACACGCCTCACTTGATCCTCTTTGTCATCGTATTCGCGTTCCTGTATTTCGCGGGCGGAGCCTCTTTAAAACATTATTGTTTATAATCATTTTGGCTATTTCAGAATTGGAAAATAGTCCACTGACCAATGCTGGTTATGGATCTAATTTGAGTTGGGATGGAACTGTGGAGTGTGATGCCTCTATCATGAATGGACAAACTTTGCATTTCGGAGCTTGCGGAGCAGTCTCCAATGTTTGGAACCCCATCAGTTTAGCTAAACATCTTTGTATGAAGCAATGTGAAAACCTTTCACTAGGTCGGGTTCCCCCATGTATACTTACGGGACAAGGCGCTAGATCTTGGGCTGAAAGAATGGGTCTGGAAATTGTGGATGAAAGAAAAATGATATCTGCTCGCGCATTTCGTAATTATAAACACAGCAAAAGAAAATTAAAACGATATTCACTTCAAAATGATATCTCGTTTAGTCCTTTAGATACCGTTGGTGCTATATGTGTAGATTCTGGTGGAATGGTAGCCTCGGGAGCCAGTTCTGGTGGCGTCTCTTTAAAACATGAAGGGAGAGTTGGTCAAGCAGCTTCATTTGGCAGTGGCGTGTGGGCAGTCATGAGTAGAGATGGCAAAAATCCTTCAGTAGCATCATGTACATCAGGATGTGGAGAGCATTTAATACGAACACAATTAGCAAAAAATTCTGCAGAAAGTTTGTTAGATTCCTCTCCTACCCTAGGACTAGATAAATGCTTGAAAGAAAATTTTTTGAACTCTCCATTTCTTTGGGATGTCAGTGAAAGACTAGGTGGAACACTGGCACTGCGTTTTGACCCAGATAATGGTGAAGGTGAACTTCTTTGGGGTCATACAACCAAAACTATGTGTATAGGATACATGTCCACAGAAAACGAAAGACCAAAGGTAAGGCCAGACACGTTTTATTTTGTATTCTTTATGTCTCTACCCTTTTCTGTTTATAATGTTTATATAATTTCAGTGTATTCTATCATATCTACCTACGAAAGTGGAACCAGGACAAAAAGCTGTGGTTTCTGGGACTCCATTCAAAGTTCCCATTCTACCTTGCCCTATAATCCACTGGGAAGTAAAGACTGACACAAATTGTAATGGATCTCTTTAATTCATGTTTGCAATATTTTTTATGATAAGAAGTTGATATTTTATGTTTGTAATGATTAATGACTAATATGTATATTGTAAATCTTCTCTCAAAGTCATTTGTTAAGATCAGTGTTTCTTAACCTCGGGACGCAACCCAAAACCCAAGTGATTAATTTATTAAAACTAATATGTAATCAAATTAGTCAGTGTCTGGGTCTTCAAATATAGGTATTTATATTTTGGGTCTTACGTCAAGAACTGCGGTTTTAAATCAATCTACTTAAAAATTAATAACGTAAGGTGTTATTTACTTCTATGTTACGAATAAACCCAATTTCTATAAAAACATGCAGTGTCAGTGTAACATTGTTTATTAGTATGCTCGACCGACGTCAGCGTAGGAGGTAGGAGGAATTAAAGCCTATAATTGGATAGCAGTAGCGTAGCTGAAATAAGGAGGAATGGTGTGGTAAGCGAAAAAATGGACACCAACAAAATTCCATTTGTATTGGTTTTTCTATAACCAATGTTTGTAAGTAGCATATTAAGAATATTATGAATATGACTTTAGGTATATAAAGTAGCACAGTAATTTATAAATATTTTGTACTTTACGTTTTTGCTATTTAAAACAAAGACAGCATCAAATAAAAACATAATTTGGGGAGTGATTTTCGCCCTGGTACTCCATCATAGTAACTACGACACTAGTACCTGTGATTAAAATGAGTCGCAACAATGTATTTTGTTATCAGCATATCTTAAATATAAATAATTTGAGAAAAAATAATGTTGTTTTTATTTTTTCCTATCTCCAAAAATGACCGAGATATTAAAGTACGCAAGTCGTGAGCGGTAAAGGACTGGGCGCACTCCCTGTTTGCCTTGGTGACGACTTTGCCTGTTTAATCAAATGGTTTTAATTGTATTCTCCGTAGTAATACGGCATTTCCGAGAACATAAATCACCTTTTTTGTCAGTTCATATACAGATTTTTCCCACTTTATTTTTTATTACTAATATTATATATCGGCATTTCAAATTATATGAATTAACTGGTTTTAAAGTATCATATTTCATTCAACTATTTGAAACTTTGACTGCTCTATGGGTATATTCACTTACTTAACATTGTATGCTATTTCTTTCCGAATTATTGTTACGTTACACAGTCCTGACCTAACCTAAGATTTTTTTTTTGCCAGTAGTGAAATCTGAAAATCCCCCCCCTCCCTCTAGTTCTACGAGTTTTATTTCTTTTATTAAATAACTTTGAAAACATATCCGTCCTATTGTGGCCTAGAGTATTTGAATTTTGAAGACATTTTAGTGAAGCTCGTTCTTCTCTTAACCATATTATATTTTTGGCACTGACGCTCGCACCGGGAGCCAATCTAAGAGGGAATGCTCCTGCTTGCCAATCTTAGATCAGCTTTGATTTTTCATAATGGAAATATGAGTTGTTTGGTCATCATCATTTAATACACCATTTGTTCCAAATAAAAGAAGTATAGATAATGGTTATTTATTAAATAAAAAGTACTGTACTTTTTCTTAACATTTGCTTTTATACCAAAGAATTACATTTCTTCAGTGTTAATCTTATACCGGCTTTGATTTTTCATAATGGAAATATGAGTAGTTTGGTCATCATCATTTAAAAAAAAAAAAGTCGCAAAAATATTTTTTTCTAAACGCTTGGCCATCTGGTGTTACCATTTCGGGTAATTTTATCTCTAACCATGTCCTAAATGTCCTATAAATTTGAGCGAAATCGGTGATGATGAGTAGGGAATGCCCCTTGTAAGATAAAATGAGGACTACAAAAAATAATAACACATTGAGTTTAAGATATTTACTTACTTATTCTATGCATTTCAGTGGATACATAAATGAGTGATATTTTTTGAAAATAATATGTTAGTAGAATATTATTTTCAAACTATCCTATCCTGCTACATTATTTAATAACACCAAATGCATTTGACTAGGATTCTTTAAACTTTTTGGGTATTGATAATATATGTATATTATAAAAATAAATATTTGTGTGTTTCTAAAATTATTTTTTTAGTAAATTTGATAAAGAAATGTTTACCAAGGTTGAGCATAAACAGCACTAATATGTTCTTAATTAGGAATATACCTGATCCTAAAATAATTGCTTACTTTTATGATCATCCTAATCAGACTTTTTATGTCCTCACTGCAGGGGCTTAGGCTTTCTTATGGATGGTTAAGGAGAATGGGCCATGTTAGGCAATGTTATAAAGAAAACTAATTTAATTTGTATATGTAGTTATACTTTTCTATTTGGTAGTAAAATATTTTAAAAATATATGATTGCACTATGTTCTATAAAACTTACATTTAAATTATATTAATATTTACTTAATTGTCTTCGTAGCTGACATCATTACACCAACAACCACTGCTGTTATAGTAAATCCTTGTGCAACAATTCTCAGTCGCATCATGTTCTGTGACATACGTTTTTGTCCGGTGCGAAAGCTCCATAAACCATATGATAAAGCTGCAGCAGTTGCAAGAGCTCCTGGAAATTAAGAAAATTAAGTGTAAATAAACTTGTTTTATAAAAACAATCTGCAAAATTCTTGCGAGTTTTACAATGAGTTCAATTCCATGAAACTACATTAATAGCCTTGTATTGATATAAAATAATAATGAAAATGCCTACCATCTTTCAATACAGGTTAATTTGTAGGATACCACGTGTAAAGCAACATATATCTTTTGAAAGTATTGTGCTTATAGGAAAAGAGCACCTTTAAAACTCCTGGCATTAGTCTGCCTTCAAAATTAAGATTAAGATCTAGGCAGAAATTACACCTAAAATCTAATTCTTTTAGTAATTCAGAAGGGTTTAAAGTTGGGCTTAGCTCTAGATGTATCTTTAGATTTTATGTTGATAGAATCTACCTATTCCTTATGAACCTTTGAGTTGTTGAGGGTTGTTCGAATTATAAATATGGAACATACATGTAGATTTTTATATGAATGAAAAAGTTATAAATATCTATTATGAAGCTATTGCATAAATAATTGTTTTTATTATGGTTGTGCACTGTATTAAGCATAACATTGTTAAACACTACCATAGTTTGTATACATACTTAAAGTCAAGTGGATTGGGTTAATTTTATGAAATTAATGTGATAAATACATTGTAGCATTTACAATGGTTAGAAATAGAAAACCAATTAAGCAGACAAATATAAATAAACCAACCTATAGGGACAAATGGATTTTCATTGAATTTACGCTGGAATTTTTCACTAAAAGTTTCGATATGCTGAGCTGTAGTTCCCATTTCTCGACGTAGTTGAATCCAGTCCAAGTCCGATGGTTCATCGTTTGAAGACATTTTTTTAATATAATAATGTATTTTTAACTTATTTAAACAATTTTGTCCTAAATTAAAGTCTTCTTTTTCTTAACTTTAATGGCACTTTGCGTCAATTTAAAGTCTTCTTCTTCTTCTTCTTTTTTAATTCATGGCCTATTTGCATTTACACAATTCCGCCAATGTCACGTTTGTGGTCTTTACACGTATAGAAACAATAATAAAATATGTAAAATTTTGAATTTAAATAAAATAAAAAAAATAGCTCTGAGCGCGTCTATCTGATTACATTGTTAAAGATAATACAAATAGAATGTATATGGAAAACAAATATATTTATAAATTAAGACTATTATTGATTGTAAAGAATTTTGCTAAAATTTTGAATGGGCTGGGATTCTCCATACTCAAGATACATTTTACGAGGGTCAAACTGAAAGTTCTTGGAAATCAAAAACTGATTACATTAGCCAGTTATTAGTTTTATTATATCTTTTCAAAATATTGTCCATTCACGTCAATACACCGCTGCATGCGATGGAACCACTGGGAAAAGCACTTTGCCCACTCGTCCTTAGGGGTCTCTTCAATGGCATCGCGATACGCAGCCACCGCTTCTTCAGCATTCATAAACCGCTTTCCTTTAAGTTTTTCTTTAATTTTTGGAAATAAATAAAAATCACAAGGCGCGAGGTCGGGGCTATACGGCGGGTGACCCAGTAATTCAACGTTTGATGTCGCCAAATAGTCGATCGTTCGCTTGGCGGTGTGCGACGAGGCGTTGTCGTGGTGAAGGAGGATCCTACTGCGAGGTCGTTTCTCTCGAACTTTTTCCAAGACAAGTGGCAAACAATTGGTAGTGTACCATTCTGCAGAAACTGTTTTTTGATCCTCTAACACAATTGTTGCAAAATGACCTATCCTTCCAAAGAACGAGGCCACCATTTTTTTTCCCGCACTTCGATCTCTCTTCACTTTAGTTGGCAACTCCTCGAAAGGAAACACCCACTGAGCAGATTGTCTTTTGGTTTTAGGATCATAACAGTAAATCCAGCTTTCGTCACCTGTTAGTATGTCGAACACAGCATTTGAGTCACCTCCGTTAAATCTTTCAATCATTTTACGACACCAATCCACACGATGGAGTTTTTGAGCCTCAGTCAAATTATGAGGTATCCACCGGGCGCAAAGCTTCCTGACCGCTAAATGTTCGTGGAGGATTTTGTGCACTTGACTCATACCGATGCCTAAGCTTGTCCGAATCTGTTGATAGGTCACTCTTTTGTCAGTCTCTATCATACGCCGCACAACACAGATGTTATCTTCAGTCGTCGCCGTAGAAGGCCGTCCCTCACGTAAATCATCAGTGAGATTAGTGCGACCACGTTTAAACTCATTAAACCAGTTGTAAACAGTCGCACGAGATGGGGCTTCATCATGAAAGGCCAATCGTAGTCTATCATAACTTTCTTGTTGACTTAAATGACATCGAAAGTCATAAAAAATCATTGCACGAAAATTTTCTCGTGTTAAATTCATGATGACGTGACACAGACAATTTTCAATTTGCCGCCAAATCGTAAAACAAATGACAAATGAATGAAATATATACTCAGTAATATTGGCAAAGAGTTATATTTTCAAATTTTAGAATTATTTTTTTATTATATTGTTTATAAGTGGCCAGTTCTAAGAACTTTCAGTTTGACCCTCGTATATTTGTTGGACGTGGAACTTTTGATGGTAGCAAATCATAAAGCGAAATGGATAAATTTGAACAATTAAATAAAATATGATCCGTAGTTCCTTCCTCAATGCCACAATCGCAGAGGGGGTTGTCTTTAATTTTAAATTTGGCAAGTCGAACCGGCGTACACACATGTCCAATTCTCAGGCGACAAATAATTGAAATCGTTTTTTTACTTAAAAGCTTTTCCTTAAAGAACCAGGGAGTACTGGGGATAGTTCTCTGAATTTCAAAATAATACTTTCCCGCTCTATTTCTAGTATTTTCCCAATCAACATTCCATGACCTCATTAAATGTTCATGTGCTAGTACAAAGAGATCGTGATGAAAAAGTTTGGAATATTTTAAAGAGCCAGTTATAACAGCTTGCTTAGCACATGCATCAGCTGTCTCGTTCCCAGGAATACCACAGTGTCCTGGTATCCATGCGAGGGTAATGAGCAGCTTCTTAAGATGGCACCTATGCAATGCTTGTCTTATTTTAAATATTATTGGAAATTTATTTTTAGAACGAAACGGATGTGATATTATAGAATGTAAGCAACTCTGTGAATCTGTGAAAATGATAGTTTTGTTAAAGTTATGAGATTCGGCAAATAGGATGGCCTCAAGGAGAGCTAAAGCTTCTCCTGTAAATACAGAAGAGAGAGAGGGAATTTTGAAACTTAATACTAATCTGTGAGCGGGAATCCATACTGCTGATCCAACTGGATCATTAACATGCTGCTTGGACGCATCAGTGTACATAGAAATCCAGCCTTTATATTCCGATGCTAATTTCCGTGCCATTGTACGCATGGCATATGGAGAGTCTTTGTCGATCCCAAAATCAAGAAGAATGATCGGCTCAAAAATAAGTGATTCAAAAAGTTTAAGTAAAATTTAAAGTCGACTTTTCAATCTCAATCTCGATCTAAATTGACACATGCAAATGTCAAATTTAGAAATAAAGATACCAGCTAGAAAAAAACTTTTTTGAGGGCCATCGCCATCTTTCATTCATTTCATTTTACATGTAGAAATTTATTTATTCATTTGACTTTGGCAGAATTGTGCGAAGCGCAGATAAGGCATTGATGAAAGAAGAAGAAGAAGCTTTTTTGAGCAGCGTTGACCTAAACCCGGTATTTTGGATAAAAACTTTAATTTATTAACTCTGTTAGACGATAGTCTTAGTAACACCTTTTAGGAACCGTATGATTGAATGTTGGTCCCTAGTGTGGTGATGGAGACAACTGGCCAGGGAGACTAAAGGATAATTGTCTCCCTCCGAGCTAGGTGTTGTTAGTCCGGGGACCACGGTCCATTGTCTCCCTCCGAGCTAGGTGTTGTTAGTCCGGGGACCACGGTCCATTGTTTCCCTCCGAGCTAGGTGTTATTAGCCCGGGGACCGCGGTCCAACCAATGTAGGTTGGACGTTCTATTTATGTTAATTGGTAATGTAACTTATTCTGTGCGATGTAGGTTTCTTTGTTTTAAATGTCTTCTAGTTATTAATTTATGCTGTTTGTATTGGTACAGCGCCATCTCGTTACTTGCTGTTGAAACTTATTGCAGTTCGTCTTGCTATCGATGGCTGTGACGATGCTTGTCTTCTCGCTATCGATTGTTGTGGAGATGTTACTGCGATGAATTAGATGTCGCTATGTATCAGTCGCCACAATCTAAAATGCATTATTAATAGAGAGAGATGGACATTTAAACGAAAAGCACTTAATTAAGCATGTTTTTTTAAATAAGTGCAAAAGCGCTTTTTCACTTAGAAGAAAAGTATGCTAATGCTTATTGTACGTCCCGTCATCTATCAAGATATAACTACTAGCTTCAATAAATTTTTCTATATGGGCAATTTTCTATTAGATGGCAACACTTGACATAAATGCACTGTATTATACTATTACGCGTGATGTCCAACGAGAATTTTGTGCAACAACTTTTTTGGTTGGTTGGTTGGTTAAACGGAACTTATACTTAAAAAAGCAGTACGCTTTAAAAAGCAGTACGGATGTTCATTAATTGTGTAAGTTGAATTGTATGCGTAAATAAATTGCTACTTAAGTAATGACTTTTGTTTATCAATGTAAATAAGTTTTGTTATGAGGTGATGGTGTGTATATAAAACATTTTAAATATTATTGAACTGCATTAGTTTTAAGATTGTGTAAATAGAATACCGAGAAACGGTAATAGTATTGTGTGGGAGTATTTCAATAGAAATGTGAAGGACAGAATCGCAGAGTGTAATATATGTAAAAAAAATCTTTCTTTCAAAAGTTCTATTACTAATTTAAAACAACATCAAAATCCGTTGCGTAGTTTTAAAGATTTAAGCATATGTAGTGATAACACAACGTTGCACGCTTATTATAACGATTTCCAAACGTCAGTTGAAAAAAAAGCGTTTAAGCAATAAGCAGTTTTTAAAAGCTGCTTTTTAAAAATCGTACAACGTAACAACACTTAAAAATTTTAAGCAGTTATTTCCACCTCTAATTATTAATAATAGAAAGACTCTTGTCATCCATCATTCTTCACTTAACAATGCTAAAATTTTTGTTTAAATTAAATGAATCAATAATGGTTTTAAAAATAATTTTTAATCGGCAGCAGTTGGATATTTTTCAATAATTAATATCTTTATTATATGATTAATATAAGTTAGCTTAGTCTATGTCACCCGCCTATGATGAAGCGTAAAGGCCATATAGTTACGGTGGTCAGTTTGTCTGTGTCACTCATAGCTCCAGAATAAATAAACCGATTTGAATGCGATTTTTTTAAAAAGAGTTGTCATGGAGAAATCAAGAAAGTACTGTAGCGGCATCTAGTTTGATTTCAAGAACTAATTTTAATTTTTTTAATACTTCATCATTCGTATTTGACTACCCAATAGGTAGTATCAAAAGTTAGAGTCGCACTACATCACTAAAACAGTTTAAAAATAACTTCACGAGCTCCACTCTGATTTGTTTTCATCATTTGTAACGTGTTTTTTTTGGAGTATAATATACGTAGATTTTGATCCTGGTTTTAGTCACTTTTAGGCTTATTTTTCAACCTGAATGAGAATGAATGAGAATATTGCTGTGTGTGGAATAAAACAAATTATATAGATTAATAATAATGATACTTCTATGCTTTATTTTACACTACTCAGCAAATTACAAATTACGTAATATTGTGCAATTTTATTAATGGTAAAACCACTCTTTCAAAACAAGATCCAAAACAAGTTTCACGTCTTTAACATCAAAAATGACAGACTTCTATGTAAAATTTCAACCCTTCAAGTGTTTTAGTGAACAGAATACTGAAATATGATCTTAAGGTAAAGGCCTATAGCCGAAGAAAAATTCATTTTTTAAACGATCGTCTTCGTAAGTTACGACGTGAACGTTATCCATTGCTGCTGAGGAGACGTGATGCCAAAAACTCTTCATCGACGAGAACATTTTTATTGTCGAAGAAAAGTTCAACCGGCAAAACAAAGTGTACCCTAAAAGTAGCAAAGATAGCCCAGCTTCTGCACGGAGTGACTCGCGCACTCATCATCCGGCTAGTGTGATGGTATGGTGGAGAGTTTCGTATGAAGCTGTCATTCCGCTCCATTTGGGCCAACAAGGTGTCAAGGTGAAAGCCAAGAATTATATAGTGATGTTTTAGAGTCCGTGGTGAAACCCTTGTCTGATAGGTACGTTTTTTCACAATAAGGATTGGGTTTTTCAGCAAGACTCGGCGTCATCCCATAAGGCCAAAAGCACTTATGCGTTGCAGTTTCGTAACATGTTTATAGACGAACGGTGCGTTCTTCGTTTACCCGTCGACTTTTAACAACGTATTGTATTATACGACAAAACTAAACCGTTGTAGTCTGGGTACGTTGATCGACGAACGTGACTCTCTTCATATGACCATTGAAAAATTAACTAGTTGAAATGTCAACTAATAACGTATGAAACTACGTCGTCAGGATAGTTGTCGACGGATGGGAGTGTGCGTTCGTTTATCTATGGACTCAAGCAACGTACAAATAATAAGCTTATTGCATGGACTATATAGACTTTAGAATATGGCCGAAGTTTAAATTATTATTAGTTGTTATTAATTAACTGTAACTGTGATAGATTGACCTACTTCGCGTTTATGGAAAGAAGATAATGTTAAGTTCGTAGTTAACTAGGTGTAGGTATAATAGAAGAAATTTACGATTTCATGAATTTTAATATTCTAGCTAGAAATCTTTAATAAATCTCTTATTATATTTATCAAAAAAAATATAGTGATATGTTTAATATTTTAACAAAGTATTATTGATGTACTGAACTTTAGGTTTTGTTGTTTTGGTTCAAAATTAAATTAGTTATCTTAATGTTCAAAATGATTCATATAACAGTTGACCAGAGTGAATTAAATTCTATTAAAAAAAAATCCATAAAAGTACTTTCAGAGAAAGAAAGGTTAGATAAATCATTCAGATAAAAAAAATCGCAAGGGAACCCGAATAAAACACACAGAAGAGTGTATGCAAAACAAAGAATACTTTTATATTGCAACAATAGTTGACCTATACTAACTAGGAAAATTCCTAACGCCGTCGTGTAGATAAAAACAAGAATTGTATAACACCATCTATTGGAAACTAACGTAAACAACAATCACATTTGATATTCATATATACAGGGCATAGGTACATAATCTTTATGAATGGAAAACAACCGAATACCATTGTACTAAACAGATGATAAAGTTACGTGTTGCAGTTTCATAGCATGTTGTTAGATGAACGGTGGGTTTAGGCGTCGACTATTTAACTAGTTAATCAAAAAACTGTCAACCGTCGACGCGTTGATTATACGTTAACGGTTGATTTAACTAGTCCGTTGATTCAACGCCCATCGCTACTGGTCAGAGAAGTAAAAAAGTTATTGTGGTGTTGTATGGTAGTGCAATATTTGTCTTAAATATGGTTCAATTTGGTATTCTATTTGTGCTTGATACCGTAAGTCTTTTTTTTATTTACTTGTAGTTAATGTATTTTATTACTACACACCATAAATGTAGCTGTTTTGATATTTTAAATTATTACCTACTTGTCCTTGTCCCTAATAATCTTATCACGATCCTCACGAGTAATATTAATGACGATTTAATTCAATGGTATGATATGCGTACCCACCTTATGTTTGCATTTGCAGTTTTTACGCTGATCGTTGTTTATGCTCTCCCTATTTAGCATTTCGTCTTTCCCAAAGCTGACCTTGTCATATGCATGCAAAGATACAAAATGTGCACACTATTAGCCAGATAATCTCACTGTTTTATTGATTTTGCTCTATGTTTATACTACTTAAGAAGTGTTAGAATGGAGGTATACATACATACTTTTATAAATCATTTTGAAATTCGACACCGTCACTTAAGCTAACTCTACTGTCACATGATAATGTTCTATCATTTTGTAGCGACAAAAGTCTGCCAATAAATATGCCATCCTGGAGAATGTTTACAGATGGTTGGTGTCTCTGAAAGAGGTGATTCAGGTCATAATAAAGAGTCATTTGTACTTTGGAACAATGAGTTGTACAGACAAGCTTAACAGTACATACCTACTATGAATTATTCTTCATGAGAGTTCTTAATGTACTTAATAAATGACATCTGTTATTTGTTATTGTGAGAATTTCATCAATATTTTTAATAACCGATAGACATAAAAGACCTTTCTAAAAGAATTCTCAATATATACTAAAGGCACACATATTTAACTTTCATTAACTTACAGGTTAACAATTACTAATCCCTATCCTTCCTTGTATTCTCAGCACAACAGATGTTGACTGGAATTTGGGGACTAAAGTGTGTTAAATAATGTTGACTCTACAAAAACACAATATTACAATGAAGTTACTAAGACAAATTACAATTTTTTTGTATTCATAGACCCATAGAAGACATCTACAACCTCACTTAAGATGCAGCTAACTGGCTCAGAATACTGAATGTGGACTTGTGATAACTATTTAAAAAGAATTATGTGTCTTCCCCTATTCTATAGACCGCCACACAATAACATAAAAAAAAAAAATCACAAACATACTTGAGAAAACAAAACTTACTCTGTCAATCAATATAATTATTATGAACTTAAATTGATATAAATAACATTTGTTAATAAAATCTCGACTTTGTTTTTTAAAATTTTGTTGATGGATGGACATCAAAGTGTAAAATAAAATAAAAAATATATAGACTGCAAAAATATGTTAGCAAGGGTGCATTATCAAGTTCCTGTTCCAGTTAGAAAAAATGTTGATTGCTGCCAGGTCTTCCTAATAAATAGTTTTAATTGTGTATTTTTTTTGTTTCAGATGGCTTTGTCAATTCTCTGTTTCAAATCAAGTGAATCCCCCCGGGTCTCCTGAGCTCTATAATATTTGTAACATTAGGTTAACAGAGTAGATAGTATACATTAGCTTTAATATCTTCATATATCAATGTCAGTACTCTATTTTCAAATCAGACAACCTTATCTTTTCTGCTCAAGATAATATTTTATTTCACATTTGATATTGTATCAGTTGCCTGACTACTTAAAGTAATTTTGTTTGTGTGTAATTTTTGTAAGGAGATTTTAATTAAATAATTTTCTGAGATGGCGTCTGACCCTGAAATTAAGGATGGATTAAGATTACCTGTCTGGATGAAGACCAAACCAACAAGGTGAGTAATTACCATATATTATTAATAGAAATTAGTTGTGCAGTTGCTTGGCATTAGTTGCCAATGTATATTCTTCTTAAGGAATATATCTATAAAGCACTAAATTAATTTAAGAGAATAGAGAATGTACACAAAACTGCAATTAAAGACATAATATGATATATAATTTAAAACATTGATGGAAGTTAGCGTATCTGATTCAATCCTAGAAGCTGTTTGCCAATAGAGAGAGGGAAAAGAATGAAAAAAATAATATTTAAAATATTTAAAAAACCACCCAACAGCGAGTCGTAAATTTAAAAACCATAGAGTTTCTATAGGTATCTGTAATCATGAATATTGTGTGACGTAATTTATGGACGGCCCCCTAGTACAGGTGGGGGTAAGCTTTGTCATATAGTATACTATGGACTTGTATTTCTTTCCACTGAATTAATGTTAAAACTATTTATTAATTATGATTTATAATACAAAAGACTTAAATGAATTATTTTTTATTTATATTAAGTCAAAGCTAATTCATAATTTATGTAGGGATCTATAAAACAATTTTTTTCAATGATAATATTGTTTTTATCAATGCATCACAACACATGTATATGTTAAAGTAAAATAATATTCTGAATAATTACTTTTGTTTTTATTATCATTATTTATTTGTAGCCTGATACAAATACCAACTTTCAGTATGGAGATCAAACATTAAAACATAACAGCTGTTTTTTTGTTATTATGAGGGTATCATATATTTCCTTTTTAATATATGAATTAATCCAACGACATTTTTTTTCGGATTATTAGTAAAAAAAATAAAATTCCTTTAATTTGTCAATGGCATGATAAGCAAAATACATATAAAGTGACTTCTACGTATTTTCACACTGTTACTTATGTTACTTCCATGAAATACATAAATCTTCCTAATATTATATTTGGAAACTCATATTTTTATATAACACGGACAATAAATATTTAAAACATATTTGTAAAAAAATCAATAATATTAACAATGAAATACGACTTCAATCGAATTACTATATTGCGTTAAGTATATTTTGTTTTGAATCCAATGAAAATTTCCATGGGAATATTGCATACCAATATTCCCGTGGAATATTGGTATATAACACGCAATATATGCAGCAGACTTTTGAATTAAACACATATTCTACTAAATATCATTAAAATCCACTCATAAATATTTAAATAAAAGTTTTATTCATATTAAACTACAACAAAAAACAAGTAAAAATAAAGTTTAATAAAAATCACTATTTCCTGTAAATTTTTTAGTTGGATTTCAGTAATTTTCATTGTCGCTATGATAAATAAAACCAAAATTTGTGAAAAAAGTCGTGTTAGTAATTTTGCGTGAAGGAAATGCAGGTTTTTGACTTGATGTTTTTTTTATACCTTCCGTAGCTAAAATGTGATGGATTCTTAAATATAGTCTCTTTTAATTGGCTCACAAACTCGATTAAAAATATTCCAGGCTTATATCGAATTATTTCCGTTTATCTCGTATTTGTAAGTATTTTCTATATACTATGACTAAAACATTGTTTATACCTATTTTCTTTATCACTTTTTTTATTCAGCTGCAATCGAATGAATATTAAAATATAAACTCCGTCATACTGATTATGAGTTCCAACGGAAATTAATTACCTACCTAATTTAAAAAACAGGTATTATCAAGTATCCAGGTTTTGATTTTACTCACAAATCTGGTACTCGGAATAATACTTATTTTGATCTAAAAACCGTATTTCATTTTTTATTAACGTTACGATCGAGAAATAATTGTTTATGTATCTATTATTTAATGAAACCGTTAAGGACATTTTAATTTCTTGTTTCACAGTAAAATAGCAACTAAAAATGTGCTAAATAAATTCCGACATAACGAATATAAAGCCCTTTTTTTAAAATAAATTTTAGTTAACTCAATTAATTCGAATTATCCAAATCACATTCGTTTTGTAATATGAAATAATAGATAGTTGTTATTGTAATATTTTGTCTAAAATATTAAGTTTAATTTAAAAGTTAACAAAGTTGCGTACCACGGGTGTCGCTGAAGTCGTGCACGTAGTCAATAGGGAAAATAGATAAATATGCTTGAGTCATCTTGTAACCGAGGGTTTCGAATAGGTACTTTTACAATACACAAAATCAAAATTAAATTGCCTTAAGAAAATCCTTACTAATATTTGCGTAAGTAACTGTCTGTTATGTTTTCGCGACTAAACCACTGAACCGATTTTGGATTTTGAAAGGACATTGGTTGCTTTATATAGTGAAAATAGGAGATGAAATTTTGTATGGAAGTTCGTAATTTTTGAAGTTAGTAATATGAAACTCTATATTTGCGTTACTGTTTAAAAATAAGTACATAGTTATCCGTCTCAGCATTTGTGGAAAGTGATAGATGTAGAAACACCTATGGGAAAGTAGGCGTTTAAAGTTTGTATGGAAGAAAATTGTGCAATCCGCTCTGCCGTAGCCACTGGCGAATGTCAAGTTTGAAATAATTCTATTCTTTCGCATTAAGCAATAAAAAATTAAGTGAATTATCAATGTTGTATATCGATTGATATACGACAAGAATGAATTATAACAACTGGTCGATGATGATATCATGCTCGGTTAATAAACATTTGTTCAACTGTCAATAGCTGAAGTGGCAATATGAATCGCTGAACATAACTCGGGCTTATCGCTTTGTTTGTCCATGGCAACGGTACGCTGATGATAATCATAATGTCAATATTTTTCGTTACGTCACAATGTAGGTGGTTAAACTAAGATTACCCTACACAATCTTTATCATTTTTGTTTTGAAGTTTTTTTTATGATAGTTTTGTGTTTATCGCTATATTAGTTGCCAATTCATATTATTATTTTAGTAATATATGCCACTGATAACCAAAGTTGTCTATATCGACCCCCAAGGGCGATGATTTTGATGACCGATGAAAGATTTGAGGGTCCCATCCGTGGGAGTAAGAACGGAGCACTACTGTGGGGAATCTTATTTTTTTTCGCTAAAGGTGTTGTTACTAGAGTTTGAAATCCAAAAGTACATTTAAAATTTGCAAAAAAGGAACTCTATCTTACCGTGGGTCTAGGTCCCAGAAGGTCCAAGGTACCCCAGGTACCAGGGGTACGTAACAGTGGTCTACGAGGAAAAAGGTTTGGGAAGCTCCGGATATCACTTTGTGTTATGATTGATGGTTTTCAATTATCGGTACATTTAATATCTCGTGTTTATATTATACAATAATAATATCAAGATAAAGTATATTTTTAATGTACACAGGACTTTAATATTTTATATTAAACAAAAAAAAAATAAAAAAATCGCGCTCCCATTTTACAAATATAATAAGAATAATTTTCTTTCGATTTATTAGTAATTTTTATCTAAATTAAACTATTATTTAAAAAAATATGTGCTAGTATTGTAGTAAAAGTCTTTTATATATATTTTTTGCATTGGGTATATCAATATCTATATAATAGTGTAGTTGTCGTTTGCCATAGCAGTCTTCTATTTGTTTCTGAAAATTTCAGTCAATTCTCTAATCTCTGAAGTTGATTTCACATTTGTGACATTCAATGCAATTAAGAGGGTAAACGATGTTACATAAATATCGGTATCGGTACTTAAATTTAATTAAATTCGTTTTTTAGTACTTTTTGCACTAACTAAAGATGTTATGTTTTTTTTTTCAATTGACTGCAAAAACAAAATAGGATTTCAATGCAAGTTAATGTATATAGTTATTTCGAATTAATTAGTTCAAACCACTTTCATCATTGAAAAAAATAACGTTCTGTGTCAGTAGGTACATAGTATTTAAATCAAAGTATACTATGCAACTTTCTGTTTCTTCGACATTATCGAGTTCGATGGAAACGATAGTAGAAAAAAATGTCGATATCTTTTATAGTTCTTTCGATAGGCGCTGAATAGTAATAAAACTTTTGCTTGACAAGGCTCTACGTCATGACCGGCCGCTCGACGCCCGTCCGTAATAGACACTGTTCACTTATTTTGTTTTTTAGCTGTCCAAATTGTAATTGATTTTCAATAAATCCGATTACAAAATAAAAACATGTTTAAAAAAATATGTCGATGCATGATTACTTGAGAGATAAAGAACTTTAGAAGGAAGTGACGACACAGTAGGGTAGATAAGCCCCTTTTCGTACAATTTGTGGAGCTACCAAATTGTACCCAAAAAAATAGTGGTGACTCCAAATGATATTTTTAATAATAGTATAGTTTTTTATAGTCAGATAAATGACTTTTTCATTATATTGAAATTCTAACGTTAAAATGCGCTCTTGATCGGTTTTCATCCAAAAAATCTAGTTTTCATCCACCTGCTACCCAGTTTTCGAGCAGTTTTTACACCTTTTTAAGCCGATTAGGCGATGATTTTAGTAACATATGAAACAAGTCTTTCATCAATTCTGTTTATGCAAAATTTAAAGTAAAGCGGACCTAGGAATCACTTTGTCCCATACAAACTATGCCCCCGTTTTTCACCTAGGTGAAGAGTTTCGGGAAATTCTTTCTTTTCGGATAATTAAGTTCTATAAAGAACACATCCTATAAAATTCAGGACTTTGCGATCAGCGGTTTAGGCTGTGTGTGATCCGCCAATCAGTCATTCAGGACGAAACATTGCAAATGTATAAAAAATCAGTTCCCTTAGCAAATAGAAAGACCGATAAATTATTAATAGTAAAAATTTATAAGTTTACTTATTTTATAAGATTCTCTAAAAAGTAACCATAGAAAAATGAGTTCACTATTAAAAATACCTCGTGTGTTTATAAGTTTTGAGACGAAATAAATTTGCGTAACTTTTTTAATAATTAACTTACATTTCTAAAATTTTTAGTAACCATTAAATAGATAAAAATGACATCGAAATATATATTTTATTCAAAATGACCGCCCTTGTTTTTAATATAAGGCCTTTAGACGATTTGACCAGTCATCAATGGCGACACGAATCTTTTCTAGCGGAATTCGCTTTGCTTCTCGAGCAAGGGTTCGCTTCAGTGACTCTAAGTTTGGGTGAGACTTTTGGCAGGCCCTGAGCTCTAATTCAGTCGATAAAGAATAATCCAGCTGGTTGAGGTCAGGACTGGAGGAGAGCCACTCGTCCGCCGGCCGGCACATTCTCCCTCAACCAAGCTTGGGTGCTTTTTGCCTTTCTGTGTTCTTTCCTCTTTTTATGGGTTTCGTATCCCAATCGGAAACTGGAAGCTCTAAAAGCTCAACATCCAATTTCCAACCAGCAACTGTATTTCATAATCAGTTTATATTTAAAAATAAAATATTGGACGAAAACTGACCACCGATTAATAATGGTCACTAGAAATCGCATTATGAAATAAGATTTTTGTCTTTTGAAACTAGATTAGATTATGAAAAAGTACCGTACATTTTACAGACAGCAAAGAATTTTCAATTGGACGTGCCTTCCCACTTTTCGAGCACCAAGTCGAAAACTGAATGTTTTAATAAAATGTACGAATAAAGGGACCTTTAATCGACCTGATTTTAATAGAATTGTAATGAAATTTACGTTAAAATCTAATTTGTTCCCATAATACAGGGTATACGAGGGTAATTTGTATATCAAGGTTGCCATGTGTTTAGGTTTTGGACACTTAAGTAAACCAACATTACTGTTTTTGATCTTTTTATAAAGGATGACCGTTAAATAGTCGAAAATGAGAGGTTGACGGGCAACAGGCGCTTTAAAGTTATAACTAAAAGATTTTGATATTTTTTAATCCAAACCGAATCCTACAAAACAGATAAGTGGTTTCTTTTTTTAATCGTGTGTAAATTCTGTGTAAAAGAAGAATAATGCATGATCCAAATACCAAAATACTGATAGCTCAAAATAACTACTACAAATGTTGGCTAGTGAGATCGAGGCTAGTGAGATCGCAATTTTGAATATTTACTCTAAACAACTCGGTGCAGTTCTATATTTATATTTGCGTGAATTTCCTATTGCCTGTATATAATATGTATGATTACGACAACGAACATGTCATGTGATAAGTCATAATCATATTTAAACTATGTAAATAAAAGTGAAAATGATTTGAGATTTATTTAAAGGCGGTGTAAAGCATTTACGCCCGAGAATGAGATATTAAGAGAAAGAGGAGGGCAAATTGGTAAACTAGAGGTGCGCCGAATAGTGGCTTCACCGAATAACGGAATACCGAATAATATTCGGTTTAAGTTTAACCGAACCGGATATTCGACCGAATAAATCAGTTTACCATTTCATTGTCTTTCTCAGTACTCCTGGTAGTATAGCGTGTGTACTGTATATAGCGAACGCTTATTTTGGAAGGAAGCAACCTATATGGAGAAACTAGCCTTCCGCCGGGCGGCTTCGCCTGCGTGATCTAGTTTTAAGTCCAGAAATGAGAAAATTCTATAAAAACTTATATCCCTTAATTTACCCCCTTAGGGGTCGAATTTCGTAAAATCCCGTCTTAGTGAGCACCTACGTCCTAAAATAAACCGCATGCAAAATTTTAAACTCCCAGTACTTGTAGTATTGGTATATTGGAATATGTATATTTATTTTTTGTTATCTTTTTTTTATCTCTGATCTCTATTATATTTTATATTACTGCTTAAAAATCCACCAGCCTTTTATAGTCGTCCGGATTGCGTAAGGTCGTGGGTTCGACTCCCACCTCAGAGCATCTGGGGCTGGTAGAATTTTTAGCATGTTTTATTAAGAATATTTATATTTTATTTTTAATAAATCATAAATCTTATAAAAGAAGTGGACTTTTAGTTCTATACCGTGTTGTGTAGCCAGGAAAAAATAAAATAAACCGAATAATCGACCGAATACAAATAGTGAAAAGGATTTCGCATACCGAATATCAAACATGTATTCGGCCCATCTCTAGTGGACAACGCTACTATTTTTTTATCACTCTAATTTGGTAATAGGTTTGGTTAGGTATGGGGAGAGGAGTTCCAGCGCGGATTGAGACGGGGCCCTCCTTGCAGCGGGAGTCCAGTGTGACTGGCCTATATAAAACCTTTACTTTTTAGGGCGGGGTGGTTGAGAGCTCGCATTTGAAGTTTTAGGTGCATTTACCCTGCGTTATCAAAAAAGGCTAAAAGCTTCTGAGGAACTTCACAGGTTTTGGAGAGTGTTAATGGGCTGCCAAGTATGAGTCTCCGATGTGCATACACGCATTTTAGGATTGCTTGAATGGTTTTCCGGTTGACATTCACACTGCAGAGAGGGCTGTCGTTGATAACTATAATATGGAGATTTTCATTAAGTGAACAGTATCCGGTTATTGTACCTACAATTGTGCGGAGATCTGTCCTGTTCAAACTGAGCAATAAGCTGTCTAGTTTTGGTTTGTACATTCCTTGATTGTCGGAATGTAACCGTTTGTTTGGGCCCATCGTTGTTTATGGCTGCGAATGTGCGCGATCGTAGCCATGCGCTCACGTGAAAAAGTTAGTGGTATCACAGGTCCTATGGTACCAGTACCACTACCTCTCACACATGTCTCTAGTTGGACTGACATCACTTGCAACTATTACCCTTATTGTAAAAATGCATGCAGTAATTTCATTGGCTACAAAGTGATTTCCATATTTATCTCTATAAAAAGAGTACAATTGTGACAAGAAATAGAAAAATAGTGAATTTTAGAGGTAACTTAGTAATTTTGTTTATATCTAGTAAATTTTATATTTTCACCTTTTAACTGTGTCAGAAAATAAGTGATTTTTTATTATCTGTTACAGCTTATTTGGATGTTATTTCTTTGTAACCAGTTGAAATGTAGAGATTTTGGGTGTTGCCTCCTTTCTTTCTGATTTTACATATCAGGTTCGAGTGCACTCATTCAAACTATTGACAAATATCAAGATAAATCTTGTATGGGAAGTGATTTTTCCGGCAGGTCACGCTGCCTTCTCTCTACTTTATTCTTTTTATTTTTTCTCGTGATTACATTGATTACATGTGACGCTTTAACACGAAGCCAATACTGTTTTACTTATTTCTCTTGACTATTGGCCTCGTGTAATATGATAATAAGTTAATTTTTATTTTTTTCACAAAATCATTTGCAATGTTGATTATTAACCATGTGTATTGCTATTATTTGGTCTGCTAAATGTAAGTTAAATATTTTTTAGATAAGAAAATTATTATGGGCTTAAGTACCCACCTTGTTTAGTTAAGCGAAGATTCATTTGTAGACTCGATTGAAAGAATTTATGAGCCAGAGTTCTTTGCTTTAAAAGAAATATTATTTAAATAATTGTCATCATCACGGTAGCTAGAAATGTATTCGTATTCAGAAATGCGTTATACGATGTGGGTACGTCTGGCAAACTATTTCTATTATGATCGTAAAATCTAATTTGACTAACAAATCTCTGCCAAGACGTCGGTTTAAGAGTGACGCAGAAATTTCTACGTATATACCTAACTATTTTGAGAATTCTCTGACCTCCTACATTTGCGCCATTTTGTTTTGTCATGTGCTTTCTTGTCGAGGGAGTGTGCTAATGAGTTCGTGTTATTGGTTGAACACTTGTGACGTCACCGGGGCGTGTTATTTTTCTCAATAGTCGTTCACACTGTTATTATCGTGATAAGATTAGTGCCATACCAACAACATACTGCTAGAGCTCAGATATAAAAGGCAAAAGTGATATCAGAACTTTTCAGTTGGATTCAGTGCTGTTTTGTATAGAGCGCCCTCTCGCGAAAAGCACTCTTGATAAATATAACATAGTTGATCCGCGATATAAATAAATTGGTTTAGATTGTTCTCGAGTGGCGGCATTTATTGTTCGTTGTTTAATTGTATAATGTTTAGAAAACGAAACATTGTGGCTCAGTTCAATTGCTATTTCTCGTAAGTGTTTCTTTATAACTGTGATAGTGACGATTCGATGTATACTAACATGTTTTTTTAATTGTGCGGAACTAGAGTTTGACCAAAGAAGGTAGAGTGATTTATTATAGAATCATTGTCGTTTAAATGTTCATGAACATTAATTATTAATTATGATTGAATCAAAATAGTATTTAACCGTGAATCTATTATGTAATATAAAGACTTTATTGTATGGTATGTAGATAAATAGTTGTTATATTATTACATAATTAATTTTTAATGTTTTCTTTCAATTCACAGAGATTTCGAACCATTTGCTGCTTCACCACCTGCTCCAGAAGACACGTTTTTCTATATTCGCTATCCGAAAACTGAGACTATATTCGGTAAAACAAACGTAGAACAAGATCTGCCCAAGTTGGTGAGTGAGCCGCCGAAAGAGATTAGAGCTGCGTCGGCCTTCCCTAATTCTAAGGAGAAAGATTGGTCAAAGCACACCAAGTCTTGTCAAGACGTCCTGCACGGCATCGCTCCTATAAATACAGCGGGTATGTACTCGGATTATAAATATATTTAATATATTATTTTCTTAGTTTGACAGTTTTGTTAGCAATAAAGATAAACGAAAGGTTTCGCATCTTACTTTGTGCTAGTTTATATAGAAAATAAGACACAATATATATTGAATTTAGAGCCAGTGCTTAATAAATAGACTCTTACTTTGAAATAATAAAATATATAATTCAAAATTAACTAATATATCTGTAATTTGTTATGAATGCGTAAAACAACTTCAATTAGTGAAAATAATTAGAAGAACATTAGTACTGCCGCTAATTATTTCATTTGCAATGACTCATCATTAACTATATAGTAGATATTAACTAATGAAAAAATTTGCAATTAACTACTTATTTGTATTATGGTAAATCATATAAATTCTTGTTAATTTTGTTACGTATTCAGTTGCAGTCTGACGTTTGTGTCGTCTAACGTTTGTGTGCTAGTGACGTAAAACTTGAAACTTTTCATATTGCAATATATTTTTTGGGAAAGAAAAGCAAATATGAAGATTATAATTGAATATTTAATGTGTGAGTAAAGTAAATTTTGCCAGCGTTAAGTATATCATTGAGAATTAAACAGTTATTCCCTTCTCAGTTTAGGAGAGTGCATGTAAAGAATCGCCCTGAAATTTCTGTAAAACCCCTAATCGTTGTTTAGTAGTGTGCTTAATGTGTTGTGTTTTTTTACAGTTAATTCCGTGTCTGCTAAACCAAAACCGGCGGGCGTAGACGACGGGTTCAAGGGCGAGGGAGCTGCGTGTGGCAACTCTGTAGTCAAGGTTAGTACACACTCACCACGAGTGATCTTTGATAATTAATTTAATTGGAGTGGCTCGTCTTTATTATTAATATTTTATTCGTTATCAATATGTAATAACAATGAAATATTTCATCATACATACATAAGTGAATTTGTAGATACTGATATAATAATATCATTTGGCGTACAATAATTTGAATAAACTGTCTGATTTACTAAGTAGGTATATTGACAGAGGGCGGGAATTAGGTAGAGTTATTTATGTACTTGCATCGAAATGTTGATATTATCGGGACCTTCCCGGAATTTCTAATGGACAATCTTGGACATCTTTGGACATCCGATGTCATTGATGTAAGTTTGGCAACGTCGTGCATGCAGTAGTTTAAATTGTGTAAAAGTAAATAACTTTTTATTTAAAAAATCACGGGATTTTTTTCTGCTCTTTAAAATTAATCTCGGGATTTGAGGCATATCCACTTTATTCTTTCGCTGTATGGAATCAGTGTAAGTACATGAATCTAATTCCGACCACTGTATATTGATCACGTGATGTAAATAACAGTATATTGAAGAGTAACCTTAATCTTACTTAGTTATTTGGTAGGTACGAAGGGAAATATTTCGTGTGATTCCAATTACCGCTTCCAACGACATTGGAACGAAATTACTTAATTTTATTTATCATGTTTCCGTTTTGAAGTAAAAATGTTGGACGCGATTTTTGTTTTGTTGTTTTAGTTGGACGCCGGTTCGCAATTATTAAGTTTCCTGGTGATACTAGTTTTACTCGTTATAATGAATCAACCGAGCTTGCCAAGTTTGGTCCTCTTCCATTGGCTGATAGTTATAAAAATATTAAATCCAGTTATGTGACTCACTAAACAAATTAGTTGCATTTGGTAAACACGGATGGACATGTCTCGTTCCCTTGTTGGTACATTAGGAATGTGGAGTAATTAAATGGAATGTTTTATAATGGAAATGTTATTATATACGCACATAAAAAGAATATTTGTCCGGTTTCAAACAGCATCATTTTTATTTTCGACAGTTTTATAAACGTTTTTAAGTCGTATATACCCACGCGAATTCGGTGTAAATTGGTGGGTGTGTTAATGACTGAATGTAGTCGTGATTGACGTCATACGGGCCTTTCAACTAGTGTTGCCATCCGTTAAGTAGATTAGGACAGGTAGATTCGAAATCAAGAGATTTCGGGTGTAAAATCTCGGTTTATACTTCGAGAACAAAATATCGATAGGACGAGAAACGGTTCTAATTGTTTGGTCAGGTATAAGATCTAATATCAATTCAATTGAGTGACTGATATCTATTGCTTTCCTTTTTGTGTAGTAGATTCTAAGATATCTATTAGTTGCGTTTGCTGCGTAGAGGTCGTCGACATCAGACGTCACTCGATGTTAATACGGAAGTGCGATAATTGATTAACCACCCCACAGTTTCTGAATTAAGATTTTAAAGTTAAGCACGTCTCAAACTGTACTTAAACGCAATTAAACAGATATTTCGTTTTTTATTTAGGAATCTTTCGTCTTTATTTTCCAATGGGAGTTCAATAAATGTCAGGGAATGTTGTCTAAAGGTGCTTTTAAACCAAACGAACAAAGAGCTGCAGCAAGAACAAGAGTATACTTTCTTGTTCTTCTATTGCAAACGAAAATTCTTTTTAAGTGTTTACACCAAAAGAATATTAATGAGCTAGAATTCTCATCCTTCTCGAACAAAAGAACTAGAATAGGCGTGACGACTGAAAAATGCAATTCTATTTAGTCCGTCAGTCAGGTAATAGAAAAATATTAGATGCGTATTTTTTTTACTTCAATTTAACGAGAAATAGTTTAGATAACAAGCATTAAAGTTGAAGAGTGGGACTCGCTACGTCACAGTTATGTAGAAAACGTACCATAACGTGACGTCATGCGACATTTCAACTCCATGTATCGCCGTAGTTTTATGATTACGAAAAAAATAAAAAAATACGTGTTTAATATTTTTTAACTGTACCTGACGGACAAACAAACAAAAATTAGTCGTCATCTCAATTCTCCACAAAGTTTAGATCAAACGAGAGCTCATGTAATCGATAGCTATACGTACTCAAATCACTAGAACATAAGAACGATTTCAAGAGACTGCTCCGATGAGCGAATGTCTCCATTCACGCATGAACGCTCTAAGCAACTGTTGAATGCTCTAGTGCAGCTTACAATATTCCGTAGAATCTTTGCAAACGCATATAGAACAACGAGCCAATGCTCTAAGACTGCTTGTACTAAAACAATTTAACAGAGCTGGATAGAATTAGCATTCGCTCGTTTGGTTTAAATCGGCTTTAATTGTGATCGTTGTGCGTTAGGTCGCGCATCAAATGATATCGTCTACGCGCGGATACACTGTGGCGTCACCTAGCGAGGACGCGGCGGAGGTGCAGTACCGGGCGATGCCGCGGCGCGGCAGCAAGAGTTTGCCCGTAACACCGGCACATTCGCCGCCCTCCAGTCCGGCGTCACGACGCAAGATGCAAGGCAATCGGTGAGTATTTTTTCTTTGCATATACATTATTGTATATTTAACGCTTCGTTTGAGTAAAATCATAACTGTATTTAACTTAAAGCACAGTCAAACAAATGGATATTCAAACTTTACTGCTAATTATGAAGTTAAATTTATTGGTGACTTGCTTTCGGCCCTGTAAATTATGCTCCGTATTATTAACGTATGGTGTGTCTTCCTGTAGATGAAATAATTTTCATGATCTGATCAACATTTCCGAAGATTAACACCTATAAACAAACAAACTTAGAAACTACCTCTTTATAATATTAGTATAGATGTAACTTCACAGTACAGACAAAAAAATTTTTAAAATTAAACTGCTAATTGTGAAGTGAAATTTACGTGCAAAGATATTTGACGTCGATGTCACCAGACAATTTCAAAGTTTTTGTTTAGGAGCACTACAAAATTGATAAAATTTAGCAATTTTTATAGTAACGCTATTATACAGAAAAAATGTTGCGTTATCTTACACTTAGAATATTTAATTGGCTTAGATATCCGAGGTGGGAATCGAACATTTTTTATCTTTCGTTCACTGTTCGCTTTATAGGACATGACCTTATATAATTTGTGCGCAACAGCTGACGCAATTTATGTTTTTCTTTCGCTTCCAGATCAGCTGTTATATTGTTGTAAATAATAATTGGAGAGGTTATTGCAAATGTAAACTTTAATCCATTGTTTGAAAGGTCATACTGATTGTTAGATCGTGAGAATTGCAGGCGCATGTTATAACTTATACGACTCATTTTGTCAAACGAATTTTTACGTATTATCAGATATAGGTTACGCGGTGTCCGTAATAATTTTCTGTATTTTAATGAATTGACTTTGCTGAAGACATGTTGGTGTAGAGTGCAAAGTGAGAATTATATAATGTGCGCGCATTATCTTTACTTACGCGCACCTGCTGTTATCATAATTGCCAATAGCAATTAGCAACAGCAAATTATATAATTATATATATAACAGCATGAGAGTAAATGCTTGTTCGATAGTTTTGGTTTTTGTAATAATTCGTTATGAATATTTACACAACATGACATTTTAACTTTAAAGTGTTGAAATTAAAGTTCAAAATCAGTATGTAATAAAAATGTTGTAATGTAATAATGACTTGTTCTCCGGCTTTTCTTGTACAATCATCGTCACATTTAGCTGATTCATAAAACACCAAAATCTTCATGGATTAATCCACCATATCGCCATATACCTATATTATCTATCACACTATAATATCTCGTTCACGCAGTCGCAGTCACGTGACTGTAATTTGATATATAGTGTAATTAACGTATTGTAATCTTGATCTTCAACCGAATAAGTAAATACGTAGTGTTGATAGTTTAAATAAATTTAGAATATTCTTAACGAAAAATACTTTAAAAAATCCATCTTGTCCCTGGCACTGGGAGATGGGACTCGAACCCATGACCTTTCGCAATCCGGGCGACTGCTCTGACCATTGAGCTAATCAGGACTGATTAATTTTTCAAGCCCATATTAAGAATATAAAGATATTTTAAACACTTTTCATTAAGAACATTTTTCAGTATAGCATTCTGAATGCAAATTTGATCAAATATAATAGTTTAATTTAGAATGTTATAAATGTGCCGGTTTTATAAAAGGCCTTATATATAGTTATTTTTTCAACAGTTACTTCACGTCTCCATTTGAGCCATCGGAAGAGGCGCACGGTCGCTCTTGGCTGAGTATGGCGTTGCTCGGTCTGAAGAAAGATCTCGCTACATCCACTTCTACATTAGCAGAAGAAGAATGTATCGAGACGAGATTGCGAGGTAATACATACTAATATTATAGATCAATATAGATCTAATTTGATATTATAGATTGGGTTAGATATTAAAGTTCCTCAGGTCGGTGGCGTAGTGGATAAGCACCGCGGCCCGCGATCGCAGTATTTAAGCAACTTTCGCAAGGGTCGGTCACGGGATGGGTGACCAAAAATTATTGTCTCGAGCTACTCCGTGCTTCGGAAGGCACGTTAAACCGTCGGTCCCGGCTGCATTTGCAGTCGTTAATATCCTCCAACCCGCATTGGGCCAGCGTGGAGGGTCATGGGCCAGCCTCCTTAACCACCCATAAGGAAGGCCTGAGCCCCTGCAGTGGGGACGTAAAAGAGCTGGTGATGGTGATGGTGATTATAGTTCCTGACCTACATATGATTGTTACCTTCTTTGATCTACTAAGAATACTGATTTTACCCAGCATACAAGTTCAACAACTCTTCACAACGTCTAACTAGAGCTAGATGTATGCCCATGATATTGTCGCTTAAATCATATTCCAATTGATTTTTTTTAGAACTGGTCTTAATTATTTAGGTGTTTTGTACCATCACAGACTACACCTATTTAATTTTTTCGTTTACCACAAATAAATACTTTCAAAATGCGTCAACAACTACTGTTGGTTAGATTTACATCTAAACCTCTGAACTTTATTATACAGGACCTAAGCTTCATTTTGATATAAATAAAAGTCAAAGAGATGAAAGTAAGTCAATATTAAGATGAATATTTTACTAGTTTCAGTCATTTTCAAAAGTCAAGTCAAAGTCAAAATAATCTTTATTCAAATAGACTTCTTAAAAGTACTACTGAATCATCCAACATTCTTTTCCCTACCACTCGTTCAGGACGCCTTTTTTTCTGATAAAAACGAGCTAGAAACTCACCAGTTCTAATAGGAGTAATGACATTTACAAAAACCATGTATTACCAGATCAATACATTATAAATCAATTAGATTTTTCATTCATATGATGTCATTGTTGTTTCTCAAACTTAGTGCATGTTGTTATATAATTTCCATGCTATGAAAAGGCAGATACCTGAACAGATATAAACTTTTATCTAAAGATTACATGATTGCGGGGAAATCTATGTAATGTACTCTTTGTTTCTATTTCCGTCGAACAATGTTATGAGATACTCTACGAATCTAATCCATATGATTAGCCTTTAATGATAGAATCACGGGAAGTGTAATCAGTATGATTATTATTTTCGTTAATTAATTGTTATGTGTTTTTCAAATATGTATTTTTCGGGTGACGGTGCAAGTTAAAGTTATATATTTTTTGAAATCCTTGTTCGACAAACAAATTCCTTTGTCTAATCTTACATTGTGACGTAAGATCAAATAGTTTTTAATCACCTTTTTGTACGCAATGTTTTAGAAGGGAAATTTGATTTGCATTAAGTTTTCTTTTTTATTTAAATAATAAAATCAAAATGGAGTCGAAAACAATGAACAACAAAAGTCATCAATTCATCATACGATAAAATCAAGATCCATGTTATTAAACGACAGCTTGATGATCTTTTGTATATACTGTTAATAGATAGAAGTTAAGTTATCGTAATGTCGTCATTTATATACAAACTGTAATATATTATAATACATTTTGTTTGCAAATCTTGAACAAATCTATGACGTTAAGATGTACGTAAGGCATTACGAATTTTAGATTCATAATGGTTTGTTTAAATGTCTATTGTTATATACGAAGTTGGACATTCAAATTGTTTTTAACATTGGTAATATATGAAATACTTTTAAACTAGTACTAAACGTAATAATATTATTTTATTACGTAAGCATAGATGGAATTCCTTGTTCGTTTACTTTTTATGATATGGGCCTGAATGGTAGTTTATGACAGCAATGTTTATATGTACTGGTTTATTAATTATTTTACGATCAAAAAAGTATCACATTAGCAAATGGGGGTGGGTGGGAGTTTTGTTTATTTAACGACAAGAGGGTGGGTTAAAACTACCAAAGGTCCGATCACATAACAGTTAAATTACCTCTAATAGAAAGCATGCTTGGCACATCTTACAAGCAGTGAGTGATGTTCTCCGAAAGTTTTACTTTGATTTTGAAGTATAATTAAACATAATATTGTTTCATTTTCAGGTGGCACCTTAGCGGAATCCGTGGAAAGTCTCGGTCCAGCACCTAATAGGGATACCAAGTTGTTATCTGAAAACATGAGCGGGGAACCCCTAAAAGTTGCTCGTCCCGCCCACGCGTTCCGTCCAAAGCCGTCGGAGTTGCGAGAAATGAATTTCTGGTCGCCCACTTCTATGTGAAAAATTATCTGGCGCGTCTCCAACGCGTTTTCATTTGGATATAACTGTTATACAATTAACGTACGTTAATTCTTTGGAATTTTATGTTCGTATCCGATCGTTTCTAGAGAGAGGGACGCAAAGATTGGCATTGGTGATTTGTAACTCTTCTTCGATGTTCGACTGATGATGGATTCATCTGCTTCTTTTGTGTTCGATGAAGAATTGAGATGTTATCCTTCATATGATATTCCATTAATTCTAAGTTGATATTATTGTCTTCGATGTAGGTAAATAATTAATAATTAATTTTAAACTTGCAATTTTTTTATATCGATTTGAATACTTGTGATTTTATGTTACGATGAAATTTCTCAAAATGATACCTATTTTAAATTGTAATAGCAATAAATACAGAAAGTTCTTTTGTAAATTTACTGCCTACTTGCATTAATATTTAAGGATCCAGTTCAATATGTCATTTTTATTAAATTTTTTTAATTTAAGATGGATGATACCATGTTTTGTGGAATGTTTGACTTTTAATATTTAACATGTATGAATGATGTTAACAAAAGAAAATAATACAATTGTGTGATAATGACGGGTGATTACCTTGAGCTACCATAATTAGAATATAATTTCACAGTTAAATGTGATAAAAACTATGTAATAATTATTTTTTAATTTCACGATAATATTTTGAGCAGGAAATGTTACATTGTATCTTATTTTCTATAGTTCTGTTACTTATTTTGACAATAATTTATAGCACAACATGTATAAGTATGAAATAAATATTTACTGGTCAACTGCATTGATAATATGTTGTTTGATTTTTAAAAATACATCACTAAGGGGCCGTCCATAAATTACGTCACACAAAATTCATGATTTTTACCCCCCACCCCCCTCATGTCACATGTTTGTCTATACAAATTCTACTAAATATTGTTCTAATGTCACAGTTCGTTGAACCCCCCCCCCCCTTCTTAACGTGTGACTTAATTTATGGATGGCCCCTAACTACTAAGCGATGAGTAATATAATTAACTAGCAAAACGCTTTAAATTCCTTAGTTATTTAAGTATCTAATGAAAGAAAGAAAAAAAAATGCAAAAATAATGATAATACGGAGTATCATCGTGTAATAGTTAAAAAGACTATTGCAGGTCAATTATAATAATTATGTAACTAGCCCCCGGTTTTTGAATTGAGAATTTAAAGTTAAGCACTTCTCAAACCATCCTCAAGCCTACTTAAACGACACTTAAACAGGTTTTTGTTTCGGATATTTTTTTAATGTTCCGTTGATAGCAGTTTGATAAGACTAGGACTTTTTGTCATGTGAAACATAAACTGAAGTTGAGAATAATCAGTTAAAATTTTGTACTTTTCTCAATTTAGAAACTGGTCTTAAGCTATATGGGCACTGTTCGTGAGTTCTGCGCCCACATGTGCACTTGCGTCGTTAATGCATTAAGATGTCCATCCTATTTATATTATAAATGTGAAAGTTTCTTTGTTTGGATGTTTAGATGTTTGTCCGTCAATCACGCAGAAACTACTGAACGGATTTTGATGAAATTTGGTATACATATAGGGTATCAGCTGTCTTAGGTAATAGGATTTTTATCCCACTAATAATTTCCCTAGGGTCCACGCGTGCGAAGCCGCTGGCGAAAGCTAGTAACTAATAAATTTTGAAATTTATTCTTGATGGTTGTAATTTATTAGGCTGTGAAGAAACAGAAAAATACATTGACAAGGAGAATTTCTTGTTTTTCAATTATCAAGATCAAACATTCATTTTGATTCTAGATTTTACTTAAATATGGAATAAAGACATTTGAATGAAATACTGGATTAATGGTTATTTGTTCTACGAGGGCAGTAAGTTATTGATCACATAACGCGTGTTCATTTGAGACCCGATGCGAAGTAGAGGGTCTCAAACTAACTATATGAGTTATGTTATCAATAGTTACCCCCGAGGGATAAATAATACTTTGTAGCTATTATAGTTTTCAAACCATACTGGGCCCGTGTGGGTGGGTTATCTATTGCCCTTCTACCTATTCATTGCCATCCATAGGGAATGCCTATGCTCTGGCATTGGGATATTAATAGACTGATAACGATGATGACTGTAGTTTTTGCCTATTCATAACTTTATACTGTGTCAAATTACATAGCGGTATTGTTTTGTAATACCACGATGATATTGTTTTGTTTTATCAGTCACGTACCTATTAAAAGTATCTGTCTATCACGTGAAACATCAGAGAATGAACTAAGATACCCAGAATCAGCTAGTGTCAGAACTAAATTCGCTTAGCTGACGGCAAACCTCTAGTAATGGAGAGCCACATAAGACGAAGATTAGGTCAGTGATAATGAACTTACATAGTGGGTTTAGTTAATAAAACTTTATTGTTACTGAGATCCCATAATGAATTTTGTTGGTTAATATTAATTTGTTGGTGTCCTTTAATATTTTATTTATTTATGACCGCTGCTTTGCATGCGTACTCATCTATTTATAATATACTAGTGGCCGCCAGCGACTTCATCCGCGTTTTCCATTATTTCTTCGCTCCTAATAGTTGCAGCGTGATGTTATATAGCCGAAAGCCTTCCTCGATAAATGGTCTATTCAACACAAAAATAATTTTTCAATTCGAACCAGTAGTTCCTGAGATTAACGCGTTCAAACAAACAAACAAACTCTTCAGCTTTATAATATTAGTATAGATACGTATAGTCTAAAACCACTTCTTGGAGCGCATCGCTTGCGCAGTGATATGGTTTTTGAAACCTATATTCGTCGTGAGTGCTATGTTCTTATGAAGTCTAAAGTAAATAAAAATGAGTTGTTGGAATAGGTATTGTGTCTGTTGATTGAAAGTCAGCAGCTTGGAAAAGATTTGGTTGAGCACGTGTTTTTTATCGGTCTTCCACTGGCGTCGAATGGGTGGCGATTACCAGTCTTTGTTTTTCCCATTTAGATACCATAAAGGCATTCTGCCTTCTCCCGTCTCCTGTTTACAGCTGGCGTAAAAATATTTTTCTCTTTTGCATTAAGTTGTTCTACTTTACGGCACACCATAATAAATTTAATTTACAGATAATTATTATCAATTACTTTTCCGACTATTAAAAAAATTTTTTCTCATTCTTTTTATACACCAGATCTCACTTATTAGCAGCCAAGACAGGAGAATACGAATAGGATATCGAAACTGTAGAAGCTTTGGATTCAGGCAAAATGATAGCGTTTAAAATTAGCTTATTTTTTACTTCCGTACTGACGTCGGTACTGCAGCGGCACATTATCACTTTGAAAATATTTAGTTATCATTATGATAAATTTATAACGTAATGTAAAACTTACTGTAAACACAGTTGTGGCGCTACTTCATTGACGTAAGTACAGAAGTTATCGTTTATCTCTGAAACTACGTAAATTGAAAAGTGCTTATTTCGTCATCGGTTGAGCAGCTCGATGCATAGTGGTTAGTGCTATTGACATGCGATGCTTAGGTTAAGAAATTTTCGCAATAGCCGGCCCGCAATAGGAGCCTAGCACTCCTATTGCGGGTAGTCCACCAGTTACCGGAAACAGTGTGCGTAAATTAGTATATTTAGGTAAGATGAACTAGTATATTTAGGTAAGATTTACTTACACACATAATATTGCACAAAATATATTTATTTATATACAGATCAAATAACACTTAATTTTCAAATACTCGCATATAACACAAACACACGCACTTACAGTTTATACCAGCGTTGCCATTTATACGGCAATTGCCGTATTACATGGCAATTTGGGTAGAGTCAGCAATAAAACACGGTACACGGCAGTATGTTCATTGCCGTGTTCTAAAACACGGCAATCCAATGGTAACAATTTTTTTTTCAATGAGTTTATCGATAGTCGATTAGTGTTTTTATGGCACATCATTAGACTACACTAGACGTAGTTATGACTATTTATTTGGTTACTATTTGGTTACTTTATGTGTATGTGTTGACTGCAGGTGCAGCCGGAGTCAATGGCTCGACGTGTCTTCCGAAGTACGGAGGTGGTCTAGATCCCTATTAGGTTTGATTCGATTCCATATCCGATAGGGAAGACTTGAGCCCTAGCAGTGGGCATTCATAAGCTGGTGGTCTCTGGTTGAAGAGCTGAACATCTTCAACATCTTGTTAGGTATATTTTCGAATGAAAAGTTGTTTTCAATATAATTGTTAAGGGAACATCAAGCTCACGTAATAATATCTGTAACAGCAGTTCACTTTCAACCTCAGAACAGTTCACGTCCCCAATAAGCACTTGTAGGTATTGTCACATTATTCAATTTGTTATAGATAGTAAATAGCTCATATAATTAATTAAATATAACTGTATTTTTTAGCTACGTCTTCTATTGTTACAAATTACATTAGATTTTTGTAATAAAAATTATTAAGGAACTTTATTGCCGTCCATAAAACTAGAAATTTCTCGATGTTTTTAATAAGTTGTGTGATGGATCGTCTTGTAACCTTGACGCAATGTATTGATGTATTGATAGATTTGTAACCTTGACGCAATGTATTGATAGAGTGAGTCGACACTTTACTGTCATACCTGAAAAACCTGTATGAATAAGGAAAAGCAGCAGGAACCATTTTGCCTTTTTGTTTATCCATTCGTCATTTAGACATGTAACATGAAAATGCAACTCTATCTGTACTTCGCCGGCGCAAATTATATGCTATGTCACCCGCATACGATGTAGCTCCCCGTAGCAGAAATAACTTATAAAATATATGTAGTAGATTGCAAGTACAAATTGAGGGGTTCGAAGCGCTTGTTTTGACGTTTTGAAAACATTCAAGTCCAAATTAGTACACTATCTACCTATAGTTTTATCCATGCCTCATTTGTAGTCTTTAGAACTCTTGCCCTTTGCACCGACACGTCTGCCTTGTACCTATTTTGACCCCAATCCGACTGCACTATATTCAGTTTGGAGCATTTCAATTTCACGTCACGTAGTTGTTGACATTATACGTCGAGACCTTGTAAATCTAAGGGCTGAGGGGTCGGGTCCGCCACATTTCAGCGAGTTTATGCATGGTAATATTTCATAAAGAATAAGTATTAGTAAAAAACATTTCCACTAACGCCTCGTGCTTATCGTATCAACTGTCGTCGGATAACGTCCCCTGCGTTACCAAAAAGGATGCGACATCTTAGCGTGTTAAGGCGATATTTCGTTTCATTTTACTGCTTAGTAAGGTATGTCTTGGTGGATACATACCTCATAATTCGAATTTTGAGATCGATTGCATCCTGTAATATATATAGGAATACGGGTGTAGACAGAAAACAATAATAAATACATTTTTTTCTGGTAGTGTTATATATACTATTATTGATAATAAAATTTTTATGCTTATTGTATATTATTATATTTATAAAATTGCTTAAATTAATGATGAAAAAACGAATATTTATACTTTTGTCACGTGACCGCAAGTAGTACATGACGTCACGACCCTCTTACTCATAGCAGAACGTAGAGAATTCAATCTTATGCGCACATAGACATTAGTTTCTGAAGGAGTCATGGCGACGCCATGACAGAAGATTCAATTTCGCGGTAAAATTTTGAAAATTAAATTATTTTTAGATTTTTACTTACAATATACATATATGATACTTTTTTAAATATTTTTTTCAGATATATTTCATGTATATCTATAAAATAAAGATATTAAAAAAGTTGTGCAAACCCCTATTGATATCAGGCTATCAGATTCGGTACATTACAATAAGTTATAAGATA